GATGGCATCGGATTTCTCAGATATTAAATAGATTAGAACGATTTGAAACAGTCATATTTTGATTTAATTTCAAAATGGAGAAGCGAGACTTAGCTTCGAACAACCAGTACGGTGGTTGAAATTATTGCACATATCTCGTCAAACTTTCAAAGCCTAATATTTTTGCTCGCAATAAAGTAATTTGAATGAAATTTTCAAATTATTCATTTTACATTATCTGTTTTTGAACTATTATAACAAGAATGGCTAGCTCTTTATCTAAATCTTACATAATGTATCTTTAAGTAATCTTATTAATTATAACACTGAAATAGGCTAAAATAAAGAACTGCTAGTACATGTATTTCCACTCACAAAATACGAAACAAGGTGGTTTAGTAACCAGAAATTCCAAACAAAATTATATAGAAATTTTCTCAAGACGAACGAGAACAGGTCTAAGTTTAGTTTCAGAACTGTTAATGGAAATGCTCCAAAACAGCATTTTTAGACTGGCTTGAATCAACAGGTCACTCAGTTAGTGACTCGTTTGTGTCGTCAATCACTGTGGTAAATTCTGTTGAAGATTTGATTTCTGCTCTGCCAGGGAAAAAAGTAAAAAACCAATTAAATTAGTACAGTATCATGACAAAACTAGTGTTTCCATTGACTGATACCCAATCTACTTGTCCAACAACGAAATCTGTCAAACCTTGCTTTTTCTCCAATTCTCAGTGGCAAGGTCTATGGTTAGTATGAGATAGGACATATTGCAAATCTATTAAGCATACACTTCAAAGTGAGAACACGATTGACTGACACTGCCAGAGAAAATTAGACATTATAATGATAGGCATATAGAAACCTCTAGCAGTTTTAATGACAAGGTTCTTTTTTCTCTTCATAGGAAATGAGTAAGAGTTTAACAAAGTTAGTGTTAATCATGACTACAGTAGATTTCCTAGCTAATGTTAACTTGTGTACTACATAGGTATTTCCCTATAGATAACACTCATAAATAAACAAAACATATTTACACTTGTAGAGCTTTGTGAAAGTCAGTTAAAGAGATGATATAGGTAGTCTTTGTAAATATTTGAGTTGATTCATATAACACACAATACTGACCTACAAAGTAACAGGTTGGCTTAGCAATTTTACACCCAAGTTGTCTAATGATTTTGTAAAAACAGTCTACTCTTCATGAACTCATTTATTTTTGTTAATACATTTAGGTTTTAACGATGATGCTTTTTTTTTCAAATTGGATGTATGCCTGCATGATTTATAAAAATATATAAGCTTACGGAAATTTGAATGGAAATTTTTTTGATATACAGTACTACCAGATTTGAGTAAGAGGGAACAATGTATTATCTTTTTAATGCAAAAATACCAAATTCAATTTTATTCAGTCTATGTATAAATTCTGACTATTCTGTCTGTGCCAAGTATTTAGCCATGAATATGTCGTTTACATATATAACCATGTATCAATATTGATACATCATTTATACATATTGTAGAGTTTGTATAAAATAAGCTGTCTTTAATCAATGTAAATTCTTATTACACACATGTATGGATCAACTGAGGATCAACCTGATTTACCATATCATCTCACTAATCTCATTTTCTCCCGTCTGTTTTAACAGGAAATAGATAGAATTCTTAACTAACCAATCATCATATGTAAATCATTATGTGGTGAACTTGTCAAGATTTCATTCACTTTGAATTCATTCACTTACCGTTAGTACTTATATAATATTAACTAATAAATCAATATATTTTACACACTCTGAATTTATTTCCTATGAAAGAACAGAATTTGTAAATACACAGACCTACATTATAAACACCATTTTTTTATCTTTATTAATGGCCTGGTGATGAACTATGCAGCAGAATTCAGTGTTAGGGTTTTTGAAATAGACATTCTCTTCCATTTTTTTTAGGTTGTCTTCTTGAATTCCAAAATGTAACATGAAAACAGCTATGAAAATGGTCGCAAACAGCAAACTCAATTGTTACATGATAAATTCATCTTCTGTGTAGTCATCAGTATATAAATCGATGTTATTTCATAATGATAATAAATCATTTTACTAAAGACAATATCGGATCCTACCAGTCTCATAACTGTCAGAAATTGTTTACTATAATTATTCTATAATACCATTTAATCCTATCATTATTATATAAAGTTTTAATTAAAAGATATGTTCAATATGTTGTGCCAAAGATAAGCTTAATGCCACCTACATGTAATAATAATTTTAATTTATGGTTTCCTGTGATCAATAATAAGAGAAAAAATATTATAATCATGATCAGCCTCGTAAACAAACTTTTCATAGAAATTATCTAAATGTAAATGATAATATTAAGACAGAGTCTCCATTATCAAAGATAATAGATAATCAATGAGACAAAAAACATTTGGAATGCTACAGTTCATTGTGTAGACTGTATGATGATTTGCTATTACATGTATCCCTAATAATGTAATATGTGAGAAGAAGGGAAGAATAGCATATTACATACATGTACATACCGGTACCCTGGTTATAAGAGAATTGTGATGTTCAGATGACCATACCATGTAAGTTTAAAAAGCAGAACAGTAGGATGTTAAACCCCATTTCATTTCATTTTATAGTTTAAAAATATTGACAGCCACAATCATGGGTTATATAGGTAATTAATTTTGCACACATATTCTACATAAAATCACATATTTTCACAAAAAGTAATGAAAAATACATGCCCTAAGATAGCTAAAGCTGACAAATTTAAGCCAACTATTTAAGAATGCAAAGATATGCCAGGAAGTCAGGTAAGCAAGACGGGGCTTTTAAACTAGTTTATTCCTCCCATCTTTGCATCCAGACAAAGTTAAACATACATTATGCAAGAGCTAAATCTGCCCATTGCAGGTCTTACTTTAGGCCTGAAATGTTTTCTAAATTTTTAATTAGACATTAATTAACTTATCCAGGTCATAATCAACTCTTGATGGCATCGGATTTCTCCAATATTAAATACATTAGAACAGTTCAGCCATATTTTGATTTAAGCTAAAAAATGGCGAGACTTAGCTTCGAACAACCAGTATGGTGGTTGAAATTATTGCACATGTCTTGTCAAACCTTCAAAGGCTAATATCTTCGTTCGCAGTAGAGTAATTTGACAATCTAATTAAAATATAGATCTATATTTCGTTTCGTTTTTTTATACTTTCGATGGTCTACACTACATGTAGATCTAACAAGTTATATTGGGAGTTCACGTTCTATGACGTCAGGTACCAAGCAAGCGACATTTGACCCGAATACGTCAGTCATTCGATTAACCAATTAGCGACCGCCATGTATTTTTTATCTACTTTTGCTTTTTTTTTATTTCTATTGCCGCTAATGTCTACCCACAGTTCCGCGCAAAAAAGGTCAAACGCTTGATTTGACAGACCATTTGATTGGCTGACCCCTTATTTCAAGCAGAACACGAGTTAAATAACAACGCTTCCAGATCCAAGTGTAGTAAAGACAAGTAAAATCGAAATTTTGAACTATAGAAACAAAACGAAATTGAATCTGTGTTTTAATCAGATTGAGTAATTTCAATGAAATTTTCAAATTATTCATTTTATATTATCTATTTTCGAACTATTATAGCAAGAATGGCTAGCTTTTTATCTAAATCTTACATAATGTATCTTTAAGCTACATGTATCATAACAATCACCAGCTAAACTTAAGAGTCTCTGAACCTCATTTAAAAATGAAAACCACAAGAAAGTTCATACAAGTAAATTGAAAGTTAAAATGTCTAAAAGTTAGTGATGGCTTGAAATAATTATCCCAAATATTCTGAAAGATGGTATTTGATCACCCCCAATATACATGTATGATAACTGTTTATTTAAATCATGACAAATCACGAATCTTTTTTTTTTTTACCAACCAGTGAAAACCTTCAAAACCCTAATTTCTCATTTAAGACCCTCAGAAAGAATTTAAGGTATAAAAATGTAAATTTTCTTGAATAAACATATTTGAACTAGGGTATATCTATATCATCTACCAAACCTAGTCCTAGGTAGGAGTAAGAGTGTATACATAAATATGGACGGAGGGCCTGACAAGAACAGCTGTCTAGTCGTTCGGATGAGACAAAAAAATGAGGTCCCGTGTACACATTAGCGTGCATGTTAAAGATCCATTGAGAGTTTCAATATAAGAGTAGGCTGTAGTGCCGCTGTCCGGGCAAAATGTCTCTCATAGCACACTGTATGGTGTATGCCTGTCTTCATTAGCCCAGTTCGGAGCAGAACAGTAGGACGTTAAAACCAATCCCATTTCAATACATAAATATATAATCATCCACAAACACTAAGAAAAGTTAACAAAAAGGAAATTTCCAATGCACTCCAAAAGATTATCTGAACTCTTTATCCAGTATCCATACATGATAACATTAACCGGATATTTACTTATAGGGTCTAGTGTTTATCAATGACATGTATAATATATACTATACATGTAGGTATATAACTATCTGAAGTGTAATATACACATATTGCACACAAGGGAAAGTGTGTATTACATTGGCCTTGAGCTAAATTAATACACCACATTCATATACAATAACTATGAATTATCATAGATAGGAGATACATAATCTAGCCAATGTGCAATAAAATCTCATCTATTATAGTAAGATCATTTGTTACGATCTGCATAGATAATATCATGGACCTTATTAATAATGATAAAATTAAATACAGGTACCAGTATTTTGCTAACTATATTCAATAAATGTGTCAGTTTCTGTACAATAGAGATCATTTTGTGGCTGACAGTTCTGTCAAATTGTGAAAACCGTTATCTTTACTTAAGGGGAATTAAAGCTATCATCTCTGTGCTGGAGCGTGTTGTGTGCATTTCATTAGACGTGTGAATTGTCACACGTTCCCCCTACCCCAGGTTAAATCTGTTAATTAACGGTAAATCACTTACCTGTAAGACTCCTTAACTTCTCAAGTATAATCCTCTCTCTTTCATTAGCACTGTTATTTCTTCGTTTTAGTAAAAGGTATCCCGTATAACATGTGATTAGAAAATATACACCCAAGATAGAGTAAGCTATTTTCCTAAACGTCAACCTCATCGCAGAACTCGTCTTCTTGTCAAAACAATACAACTTTATTCCCACTCATTGTAGAACTCTATATCAATTGAACTTTCAGTTGCAGTTTCCCGCCTTACATCCGATGAAGTGAAGTTACCGGTAAGATGATGCGGCGAATAATCCAACTGTTTCTTATTATTATTCGATCGACACAAACTCGCTACAAGTTACTTTCAACCTGGAAGCAGTACGTTACATTCATACAAAACATCCACAATAGGTCACATGACCTGCACGAGATTCTCCCTTTATTCAAGATGGCGGCGCCCACTGAAAACGTGGATGAAGACAATTTCTGTATGGTTGAAGCCACGGTGGCCACTGGATTTGAGCAAACAGCTAGAGAAGAAGTCATTGAAAAGTTAAATTTAGATGTAAAATGTGCAAGGGGTAAACTCATAATAAAAACGCCCATATCCTTAGTCCCCAAGGTAAATATGGTTGACAATCTAAACAACACAAGTACAACAAACATTTACAAACCGACAACACTCTCGAATTTGGGTGCTAATGTAGTAGATTAGAATCACACCATTTAGGGTTGGAGAATATACAACGTTTTGGCTACCACCTGAGAACACTCCACAGGAAACAATGACCTACCATAAAAAAATGTCTCCAAATATCTTGACAATTACACCACAATATTTATATATACACACCAAGCCTTAGCCTTAAATTAAATTAAATCAGTTTCGCACATATTGTCACAAAATAAACGGTCATGTTGTACATAATAAGCTATGACCATTTAACCATCCATAAATAATACACTGAAAGATGGCTACGAGTGTCGGCCATAACATCGCCAACAATAGATTTTTTATGGCTGTAATAGTATAGTTGATAGATCAGATGTGTAGAGAATTGCACATGTGATGGCTATTTATAGTCTCATAGACTCTAGCGCTGAGTTTTATCATGCTGCGTAGTTAGCGAGAAATCACTTTGAGACAAGCCACTGAAACGTGCACATTCGCCTGTCGCCAACTTTCTGTACTGAAAATTTTAACTTCACGGGTCACCCTAACTGTTAGTCTCACTTTCATCTAGTTACTTTAGTAAATGGTGTCTGGTTGGACTAGCCTCTCACCGTTACTGTCTGTCCCTATACACATACATGTAATATGGAAATAACGCTTCACACCACCTCGGTTCTAAGGCTGTTTTGGAACCCTTACCGTCTATTTTTCACTGTGATTCTTCTTTGTTCGCCAAAAGGCTGAAAGGAATCATTTCTCGGCACATCTGACACAAATTATAATATTTTCAAGTAGAATTTTGCAATTCAAAAACCCAAATAAATTTGTTTGAACTTGTCGGCCATTAGGAACCTCTGCACTTGCGCAGATTGGAAGTCACGGGTTAGCAGCTATGCTCAGCTAATATTCAAAGTTTAGGAATGCAGTGTTACTGTAAACAAAAATTCTTGGTATACTTCAATTATGTATTAATCGATTTAATGTAATAATTGTTTATTTATGTTGAATACAAATACTTTACTGGTATCAATATTGACAGTTTACTCGGTTAATTGAAGTACTGCAAGAATTTTGTTGACGGTAACGAATTTGTGTTTTTGAATCACAAAATTCTACATGAAAATAGTGTTGAATTATTATAAATTTGTGTCAGATTTGTCGAAAAATGATTCCTTTTGGTGAAAAAATTGAAAAAATAAGAATCACAGTGAAAGTAGACAGTACGGATTCCAAAATAGCCTTAGAAGCAAGGTGGTGTAAAGCATTATTTTCATATTACATGTGTATAGGGACAGATAGTAACGGTGAGAAGCGAGTCAAACCAGACACCATTACTAAAGTAACTAACTTTCATTATGCACCTAACAGGAATGAAACTCATTTTAACACCAATCATTCACTGGACATTAAAACCCATTCCATTTCATTTTTTTAAGTTTATGTATGCACCTAATGCTAACTGAACTCACACTTAACTCTTAACCCTGAAGGATTAATATCCCATTTGTTGTCTAAGTAATGACTAGTTCAGGGGTGAACTACCTACATGTATAGACATGAACAACCCTTTCAAGTTACAAAAAAAAATGAGTGCAATTTTCTTTTTTTTAGATATTGAAACTTGGAACAATTGATAATTGCCGAGTTGTCCTAAAACATATCAAAGGATTCAACTTTCCCAAAGATCAGGTATTTATATATTGCATCAATTCTTCAGAATGAAACTCCTGTATGTTTTAGGCATTGATGAGAGCAGTGGAATAATTAATGTTGTCAGTATGTATACAGCAGATTGAATTACATGTATTAAAAGAAATATGTCTATTTTGAAATGTGTAATTCAAAACCATAGATTTTTATGGAGGCTTACAATTTTTCATGCAGTCAAGCATGACCGTTGCATATGATAACTGGCAGTCCATGCATGGGAATCAAGAAACATTGATGAAATAATCCCAGCTTCACCTTAATAAGAAACAGGTTGCTAAGACAAGATTACTAAATAAAATAAGCACACTGACAGCTTCATCCATGCTACATTTGACATAAGTGTATTAAAGCTAAAGTCTAAAAATCCAAGTGATATTGTTTATTTTTGTTAACTATCATGTAATATACAGTAGAGATAAAAGGTAGTGCATTTTTAGTAACTTAAAAGTTATTAAAAATGCACAACCATAATACTGGTTTGTAAGAATGGAAAGAGTTATCTCCCTTCAATATCTTGAAGAACGTTGGGGATGCTTGATTGTCAGTCAGTCCTGTAACAGTTCTGTCAGACCTGACAATGGAGGTGGTGTGAGTAGAATTGTGACGTAATTAAACACAACAAATATGTTTCAGCTGTCATGGTTGAGATTTTTTCTCATGCAGTTTGCACATGCTTTTTAGCCCAAAATCACCATTTTTATCGATTGTCACTATTTGAAAGAATTGAATCTCGGAACGTTCAATTGAACATCCCCTTAATATCATGATTTTTAGTTGCAGACATTCAAATGTCTTACATGTATAAGGTTTTATCTGCACTTCATTCCTTAAGTCTATAAGCGTGATTTGAGTGATATTGGATTGGAATCCTTTGCAAACTACAATATTGTAAAATTTGAGTATGGTAGATAGAAAATGGTTCAATTCTGTTCAATTCAATTCGGTATTTATAAAGATATGATGAACTGATATTCCATCGATCTATGCTGCTTTCTATGTAAATAGTCCATTTTTCTTTTTGTTTTGCAAAATCTATTTTATGGACCTGTTTTTAATTTGATTTATTTGATCTAAATTTACAAAATATAATTCTAGATTTACACAATACATGTATATTCGTTCTATATGTATTTAGATTATATAGTACATATATCCACAGAAGTGTATTTACAGTATTAGTCTCTTATAGATGCATGCATCGTAAACTTGTAGAGACTGGTAGGAGACGTGTCGCTTTATGAATACTTTCAGATTGCTTTTTTTTTAAATTCTGTAGAATTTAAAAGGTACATGTATCAGAATTGGATGGTTAGAGGTATCAGAATTGAAAATTAAAATATGAATAGATAGAGTATTATTGTTTACATTGATTAATTTATAAATAGGTGATTAAAATGGTCAATTGTTATTTAAAAGGCTGCCAGTTTACAGAAAATTAGAGAATTGGTGAAAGATGTTGATTGGACTCATGGTATAACAGCATGGAAACAAGTTTTTTCCTTTGAACATCCTATTAATACTTCTCATGAAGATGCCACTGGAAATGTTGGAATCTCAGGAACAAAAGACAAAGAAACTTTACAACAGAAAACCAGACTCCGGAAACCAAACAAAAAGGGACGGGGAAGAGATAAAAAGAAAAATGAAAAAGGTAGTTATTGATTTTAAGGTATATCTTCATACAATAAATCTTGTTCAGTCTTTTGGATCTATATTTTTTTTCTGTCCTTGTCTGGTGTAAAAGATGGAAGAACAATCTATATGTAGTATTAAAATATCGTAAACAATGACTGACATTACCCCTCATAATTTCACAGTCAGAATGTTAAGTCAAGACTAAGTGTACTTTGGTCTTTGCATGGTTGACGTGATTTAATACCAGAAACTGAATGAAATAAAACAAATTTGCACTAGTAGTAGTTCTTATTTTAGTTCATTTAATTTCTTATTTGTTTATTTTTAAGGAGCTGGGCGTCAAAAAGACAAAGTTGACCAAAAGCATGAAAACTTGAAAGATTCCAAAAAGTCTTCAGAAACAAAAAAGTATGATAATGAAGCACCAAAAGCTAAAATTCAAAATGAAACAGAATCAAATGAAGATTCTCAAAAGGATGAACTACCTGAAGATCAAGCTTCTATCCCAGATACTGATGATACCCCTGAAAGTGATAGACAAACTGAACCTGAAGGAGCAGCAGCTCCTGCTGCAATCGTATCAAAAGAGGAGAGAGAGGACACAAATGCCTCAACAAGGAACACAGAATCTCCAACTAAAAATGCAGACTCCCTGACATTTGACTCAGAAACTCAAGCCAATGACACAGATTCTCCAATTAAGGAGGTAGACTCTCCAGCTAAGGAACCGGACTCACCTGCTAGTGCTCAAGACAATGACTCTCCAGCTAAGGACAATGACTCTCCAGCTAAGGACAATGACTCTCCAGCTAAGGACACAGATTCTCCAATTAAGGAGGTAGACTCTCCAGCTAAGGAACCGGACTCACCTGCTAGTGCTCAAGACAATGACTCTCCAGCTAAGGACAATGACTCTCCAGCTAAGGACAATGACTCTCCAGCTAAGGACAATGACTCTCCAGCTAAGGACAACGACTCTCTAGCTAAGGACAACGACTCTCCAGCTAAGGACAACGACTCTCCAGCTAAGGACAATGACTCTGCTAAGGACGACTCTCCAGCTAAGGACAATGACTCTCCAGCTAAGGACAACAACTTTCCTGCTCAGGACAATGACTCACCTGCTCAGGATACCAAATCTCCAGCCAAAGAGAAAACAGATATTGATCCAACTAAACCAAAGTTTCGGGTAACATGTAATCGAACTGGAGAGGGACATAAATTTGATTCAACAAATACTGCTTCTAATTTTGGTGGAGCTATTTATAATTATTTTGGATGGAATGTCGACCTGCACAATTTTGATATTGAAGTTATTCTAAATATTGATTGGGATGAAGTTACTGTCTGCATTGCTCTTACAAAAGAAAGTCTGCATAGGCGTTTATTAACATCATTTGGAATGACTACACTAAGAACAACAATAGCTTATAATATGCTACGGTTAGTAGAAATTATTTTAGTTATCTTTAGTTCAGGTAGTTGTATATTTAATTCATTAGCCTCACCATTAGAACAATAGTGAGTTTAAATTCGGGCATAGGCTGAGAAGAATTTTTAAGGATTTAAAAGCTGGGTTTGGTTGTCATTTGTCTGGTTATAAAAAACTATCCCCCAGATCCATTCACTTGATTTAATATATTTGTTTTTTTGTTTATTATTTGCGATGTCTTGTATATTGCGTGTCTTGTCCGCAGGTTTGTTTTATGAATTTTATGTGGGGTGCTGTCCTCCTGCTCTTACTATTGGCAATCTAAGCATTAATTTATTGTGCACCATTGTTTATGTGATTTGAGAAAAATATTTTTATGAATATTGTAGGTTATGTGAAATAATGTGTGGAGATGTCGTTTGTGATCCTATGTGTGGAAGCGGTAGTATACCCATATCGGTATGTTATTAAATATTAAAATGAAAATTGTGCAATTTCCTGCTCCTTCTTCATACATATCTCTCTCTAAATACAAGATGTAATCTCCTATATTTAAGTTATTAGATATAAATAGGAAATGATGTCAAATTCCTTTAGATATCCTGAATGTTATATAGTTGTAGATATTGTTTATGTGGACTTTATAAATCAATCGGTGCCAAAATTCGCCTGGTGTGTCAGGGGCTAGAAATTCGTCTTTTTTTGCGAGAATCCTCTGAATCTTAATTAATAATGTCTAAAAAACAAAATTGTGTTTATTGTGTTATAAAACACCAAAATACAACAACAATGATAATAATAAAACAATCAGATGGAATTTTTGGTAAACACTTTTTAGTGTCAAAAGTAATATCCAGAAAACTGTGAATTAGTTTTCATTTAGTTCCTTATTCCATTTTATAACAGTTTCTTTAGACACAGCTTTAATTTTGCTTCCATGTCAATTTCCAAATAATTCAGTTGATAACTGCACAAAGTATTATAATAAAGGAATATAGTTTATATCCGCACAACAGAAAGTAAAAAAAAATCAAGTGGCCAACCTTGACATTGACAGAATAGAATTGGAATGACCCAATTTAACCATATCATATTGGTGTGGAATTGGCGGAATCAAATCGCTCGAAACGATAAAATGGAACCCAAAATTATTTCATTTCAAGGTTGGCCTGCTAAAGCAGTTTCTTTTAAAATAAATATTATTTAAGAAGGATTAAAATAAATAATTAGGAAAGAAATAAATTTTTATCGTAACTGAAATTCAATGCATAAATGTAAATGGAGTTGCACCGTTATAATAAAGATTCCTTTTGGTGCTCTACTTCTACAAAACGCTGTGTGGTGATTGAGGAATTTTCCACACAATTAATTACATAAAATAAACACAAAAACAAAAGACAAAAACAAGAGAAACTCGTCAAAATTATAAGTTAGAAGTAAACAGTAAAACAAAAACACAACAAATATTTTATTTTATTGTACATGTAGTATTCTATAAAGTAAGTCATACAAATTTGATTCAAAACACCCACACTGACATTCAATAGTCAGACTTGACAATTCTCTGTGATTTTTTTGGGTTTTTTTACCAAAATTTTACGCGAATGCTTGTAGAATCGCAGCGTAAGCTCTTGCGAGAATCCTTGTGTAAATTAGTTTCGGAGATTCGCATGAATTTGTAGCCCTGTGTGTCCAGCATCATTCTGCCCAATTTATATATGGCTGAATCAAACATGTTTGATATTATATTCGCAAAGTGTGTCCGCTTCACGTGATTGTTTGAACACATGGTCAAGGCTATGTTTAGTTGCGTGATGTGAATAGAAATGGAATCGACTTGTGAATCGGGGAAGGATTCGCCTAGTAGGTCCACCATTCGACTGCAATTCGGCACCGATGGATTCGGCTAGTGTGTCCACCCATTTTGTAAAAGAGATTATTTCAGTCCCAGGTTTGTTTGTGATGGGTTATCTTGCGTGATATCTTGGGTTTCCTCTAAGGCTGGGAATCGATATGAAATTTCAATATCGATTATCGGCAAGAATTTGTCAGCGATTATCGATAATAATCGATTATCAATCATTCTTCCGGAAAAACCGAATTTTACCGACCTTTTATTTGTGTTGATCGAGTTACAGTAGTGTTATTATCCTAGTCTAATACTGTGCCGATGTACGTAAAAAAATCAATTAATGTAAAATAATTAGTCGCTAAATGTAGGATTAACTTGAGTATTATTCTAAGTTTTGTTCTTGATTCATTTGAACCTTTTTTTTTATTCCAATATCTCCGATAAATACAAAGACAATACATGGTTTCTCTTTGCAAGTTACTGGCGATCACGGAGTGTTACTAATAATATAATAAAATATAATAGAAGGCGTCTATTGATTGGACAATAAAAAAATAATTAGCGGCTTTCAAAGTCGAATTTTTATGATTGGTTAATTTTGACGAAAACCAAAGTAGAATTCTTCCAAGAAATTACGAGAGATATAGATATTTTCCCGGGAAGTCAAAAACGTGTTTTGTATGGGCTGTATCTGATATGATTTAGTAATAAAAGCTGAGTTGATCATTAATAATACAATTAGTTTTATCGTGAAAGCAGACAATTTCTCTACAAATCAATCAAGAGCAAAGAAGGGAGATAATTCTAATTTTACTATATCACGTGCGATCGTCATTGTTCACAAAGTGCGTGACCTATTTTAGTTTCAACTACTAGTAATAACAACAAAAACAACGAAAATATTAAAATAATGTATTTAATCTTAAAGTTTATTTTTTTTACAATAATATATATTTAAAATGTGCCAGTTTGTAAGCAGAGGGGGAAATAGTTGTTGTGTTGACGTTGTGTATTCGTTCATTCGTCTGCATGCCAGACTACGGCAAGTTAAGTCATGTGAAAGTGACCGTAACTTGCCGTCAGAAGGTAAATATACCGATAATCGATATTTGAATTTCAATATCGATTATCGTATCGCTAAATAACTTCTACCGATTATCGATTATATCGATATTTTTGCGCAGCCTTAGTTTCCTCCCACTTCTAATTTCTGGAATATAATGATGTCACAAGATATTGGATGTCATGTACCACTAATCAAATAGTGAATGATTTTGTTGCAGCGCTGATTTGCTGAACCAGCATAATGTGCTAGCCATTGAGGGTCTACACTATGTTAATAATTAGTAGAGAGAGAAAGAAATGGGGGTTTAATGTTCACTCAACACAAACTAGGTCATTTCGGGACTAACACATGGTTCAACCATATTTCAATAATTCACTTGTGCGTAGGGGTCTTTAGCAATGGAAGGAAACCGGAGAGCCCGGAAAAAACCTGTGAGGTTGGACAGGTGACCATACTCCCTGTCACGTATAAGCAGGGATTTGAAACCATGCCACTTGACTCAATGACAGACATTGTGATCCAACGAGCAGGCATTACTATTCAACCACTAAGCTCCCCCAAATAATTGATAAAAATGTCAAATATTCTGGTCATTAGGATGGTTGGAGAGAGTAACTGGGTTTTGAAGGAAAAAAAACCCAATACTTAGCAGAAGTGATAATGTGATTTAGTGTCGCAACTTGAACTACAATATAAGTTGTTTTGTATTTCAGGCAAGTGTTTCCTGGCCACGAGCTATACACATGTGTGGTGAATTACATGAAAAGGCTCTAATAAAAACATATGAGAATCTAACTAGTCTAAATCTCAAGAAAAAGGCAAATAAAAGGTAAATTAGGGACTCCACGGGGTTTAGTTTTATACTAAAATAACCATAATTCACATAGTCCAAGCCATCCAGACAGCCATAATTCACCCAGGTTGACTAAAATGCCTCATTTCACCCAGGAAGTTTAAGACAGCCATAATTCACCCAGGATGATTAAAATGGCCATAATTCACTTTCTTTGCAATGTAGATGGTGCATAATTATCTCCTGTAGCTCTAAAACTGTGAAATCAAGAAAACACCCTTCTGTCCATACTCCCATCTTGATTTTATTTTCAGTCAGCAATAAAATTGACCATGACCAGATACTTATAGATTTTAGTTTGCTGACCTTCAGAGACATTTCTGAGACATTTAGTTTAGAAATAACATGTATTCAATTGCCCAAAACTAATTAAATTTTAATATTATTTTAATTTGCAGACGTTTAGTTGACCTTGATATGTATCAGTGGGATGCTACCAATCTACCGTTAAGAGATGGATGTGTTGATGTCTTTATTACAGATCTGGTAGGTATTACACTTATATCTTGGTTGTATGCATCTACTTTTCTGCATGGGGGGGGGGGGTTGGATGGCTGAATGGTTAGTGCATGCATGTTGTATCATAAGGGGGAGGGAGGGGGGATGGCCGAATGGTTAACACATGCTCGCTGTATCATAAGGTCTGGTTAGTATGCCAGTTCCATACTCATTAAAGCTTTAAAATTAATCAATTACAAATCACTATAATACAGAGTATACTATTATTTAAATCAAACCTCCTCTTTTGTTTTGTAATGACCAGCTTCTGTTTTAAGTGTTTTATTTATAATTCTAAAATATTATATTTTTAACATTGTTTCTTTTATTTTGTTTCATTTCAGCCATTTGGAAGAAGGTTTGTAATATTTTGTGTAATAATTTCCTTGGAAAATATATCTTTATATCCCAAAGATCTGGGTTCCTTTCGATATTCACACATATCAGACCTTAACTTCCTGAATTATAGCCCCTTGTTGTACAAAAAATCACATTTTTAGCTTGTGGACTCTCTAGAGGTCACAATTTTTATCCGATTTAAATATATCACTGTTATGCCATAATGACAGTGTAGTTAGAATTTTGTGCCCCTTATGCAAATAGTGTAAAAGTATGTAATACTAAGGTTGTGGACCCTCTAGAGGTCAAAATTTTCATCTGAATTTAATGAAGCTTAAAATATATGTTAATATCCGAAAGGTCTGGGTTCCTTTCAAAATTTGTGGTATCGGACCCTAACTTTCACGATTATGGTTCCTGATTGAATGAAAATTTGCTTATTTTTAGTTTTTCTGTCCATCTCTGTGGGCGTATTTTGCATGGCAACAGCTTGTATTCACCTTGAATCATTGTACATGTAGCACTAGAAAATTGCTTTAGCCTTTTCTGCTATATATCCCTTCTAAATTACACTAATGTCATTATGATTCTCAAAGAATGATCTTCTGCCAATTGATTGCACAAGATGGGTGATAGTGCACAGAACACGATGCATGAATGATGTGAGTAAATGTTTAGACTATGTAAGTCAACTTGTGATCATCTTAGACTGGTAATTGACTTTTAATCTGACATAATTATGTGTTTACCTTTACTTTGTATTTTCTAGACATTCACGAGGAATGCCTAACCATAAATTATATCCTATGTTATTAAATGAATTGGCAAGAGTAACAAGAAAAGAAACTGGTAGAGCCTGTTTTATTACTGAAGATAAAAAATGTATGGTGAAGGTACAGAAGTTAATTTGGTTATTGTAGTCTACATCAGAATCTGCAGGATTGTTTCCAATTTTGGCAAAATCCTCAGTAAAACTCATAGGGAAATTATAATGTTTCATTTTCTCTTGCATAACAGGAGTATATATATCTGTCTTATGTTCAGTGTTGATACTGATGGATCTTTATTTAATATATTCTATGTATGACATCAATTCTGACTCGGATTATTGCAATATTTTTTTGGGAGATTTTTTATCCAGAGTGAATCCCAGATGGTAGGATATTAGAAAATAAATAGTAGAACTTAAAACTTGACCATCCAAAAATTGAAATGGATTAATGATAAAATGTATGCTTATTTGAATATTTTTCAGATTATTCAAGAGTCAAGAGTATGGCAGAGAAGGAAAGTTCTGTCCATAAATATGGGTGGTATAAATACAGGGGTTTATTTGTTACACAGAACAAATGAAGATGTAGAAAAGAAGGCAGTTGTAAATGAAGGAACACCATACAGAAATAAACGTCCTTTGAGCTCAACACAGAATGGTGAGACCGAATCTCACACTGATGAACCCAATTCTGATCTTTCAAAAGACATTGAAGCTGAAAATAAAGATACAGACTCAGAAGCTGATCGCAAGAACACAGAAACTAGTGCTCAGACCTCAGATAATCTTCCATCAACGACAGACTGCAGTTCTCAAGTTTCTGGTACCAATATCAGTTCTTCAGAAACTTCTTCACAAACCCTGGAGTCTGGTTCTCCCAGAAAGAGAGCCAAGATAGATATTTCTGAAAATGGGAGCCAAACTATCGGTGTTGTCCAGGATAGTCACACTTCTTCTGTTGAAGGTCATGTTCAATCAGATACTGAGACTCGTTCCCAGATGACAGAAACTGTTCACACTACTGCTGAAACAGGATCACAAATAGAACATACCATTTCCTCTACAGCTGAAAGTGGAATACAGGCTCAAATAGAAAGACAGTGTTCTACTAAAGAAGTCCGAACTAGATCCCAGTCAATCGGAACGCCTTCTTTTGTCTCTTATACTCGTTCTCAATCAACTGAGACCAGACAGATTACAGCAGATACAGGCAGTCAAGCCACACCAACAAGAAATACCTCAACACTGACTAGTTCATTATCTGTTAAAACAGCTTCCACTGGAACAGATGGTGGATCCTTAGCTACAGAGAGCTGTACACAAGCTTCAGAATCTAAAACTGTTAAAGTTGATACTGGCTTACAAGCTACTGATGAGGAGCCTATACCAGAATCATCCCAAGAATCTTGTCTTCCAGAAGGTCATAAAGCATCTCCAGTTTCTTACTCAGCTATAAAGAATAACCCTTTGCCTTCCTCAAATACTTCTTCCATTTCAACAAAATCACAGCAACTACCTACCAAATCATCCATTATACCCCAAACATCTGTAGTAGAAGCAATTATAGAACATTCCAACAACAAAGACAAAGACTTCCTGACTAAATCCGTCCAACAACTCAAAGAGGAAAGTCTTCATACATCCTCAGATAAATCCACAGACCTGAAAGATGAATTGATTCAACATTCCAAACCAGAAGAGATTACGACAAAAGAAGCTGAAAATATTGAGATTCCCATCAAATCTCTTTCATCGAACACAAGAGAAGCATTTCCTGCTAGTGCTGGTCATCTTATTGCTCATCAGTCACAGCCCTCTATACCTGATGTTGACAGTCTCACAGCCCAGTCCAAAGATGTAAAAATGGAAGAGAAGCCATATCAAGAAGATTCTACAAAAGAAAACAAAACCACAAAAAGAGTAGAAAATTTGAAGGCTGATGCCAAACATGGGAGCAGTGTTGATTTGGAAACCTGTGCAAATGAAGTTGAAAGTGATGTTGCTTCATCTAAAATTTTGGGTGAAAAAAATGATAATCCTGTAGCTCCTGTAGAAGGTACAGAAAAAAGTGAAAATCCTGAAGCTACAGATAAAGAAAAGGGTTGCCTGGTTCTGTAGCCAAAAGATGTTGTGAATCTAATAGTGCTCAAATGTTGATAAATATTGACTTTTGATGTGTGTTAAGATATTTCATGTCAAAACCGGTGATGAATTAACTTTATTAAACTTAGTGTTACTTAAACGTAGTTAGAATTATAGTGTTACTTAAACATTGTTGGAATTATGGTGTTACTTAAACATAGTTTCATAATCATAGTGTTACTTAAACATACTGTTACTTAAACATTGAATTATAATGTTACTTAACCATAGCTGAAATCAGTTCTGTAAATAGCTAAAATTAGCAACTGAAAAAACGTTTGTACTATTATTAATAATCAATCATTTATTCCTTTGATGATAAGTTATTATTGGACCCTTCAATTTATAATAGTCAGTAGACATATAGATTTGAAAGTATCAAAACTCTAATACTTATTTCTTTTTGTGTATGTGTTCAAATATCTGCATTAATATAGTGTAGAATTCATTTTCTAGTCAGGTTTAATTACATCACAATTTCTATGCCGTCCCAAAGTAAAAATTTGAAATTCAAATACTTATTTTTGATCTTGTTTGTTGTGATGGAAAGATGAAGAGGGGGAAATATTTTTATAGGTCTATAATGTGGATGTGTCTGTTAGTCCATACTTTGTATAGAACAGTGAACTGACTAAACCCAATTTCTTTGTATGTGGTGAGCAATAGCCATGGAACTACTTTTGCTAAAATAGGGGCAATCTTTACTACAATACGGGCAGGGCAATAACTTTTATAAAAATGAGGCAATAACTTGACCCTGGAACTTTTTTTATGGAAGTGTTAAGAATCAAAAGTTATCCTTTCTTTCTACCCCAGGGAAATTTATTTTGACTATCCTTGAATATTTGATGAAAATTGGCCAAGACCTTAACCTTGTAGAGTGATTGACAGCAGTATATGAATGCATTAACAGGGGAAAAACGATCTAAGTCACATTTTTGTCTTTTTGCATAAAAGGCAAAACAGACTTTTGGACGAGAATGCTTGACGCGAACAGAACAAGTGGGTTTAATTAGAACTTCAAAATGATGTTTAATACGAATCATAATTACCAGTACACTTCCACTTTTCAGCCAAATTAAGGTCAAATAAAGGGTACAATGGACTTGTATTGTCTGGGAGGCCATTTCAGAAGGGCCTTGGTTCGATGTGACTCCGATCGTTTTTACCTGAAATTGATTGTTCCACAGAAAGCTTATACAATTTGGTACCAGATGGCACCTTTAACTGGGGTTCGTTGAAAAAATGACTTAGATCGTTCTTCCCCAGGGCTCTTCATATGGTTGTAAACAAATTATGATTTGAATCTTCATAAGATTCAATAAGCTGTTGTGTCCAATTCTAACTGCCAAAACATTCACATTTAAGAGCAATGCTCATAAGTGCTCAGGAGCTCCTCGTCCTGCAAGTGTATCAGAGAGGAGCCATTGTAAAGAACAAAAAGATAGACATACATGTACAATTGTACCAGGTTGAAATTTATTTAATTCAGACTTAAAATTATAACAATTATACATATTTTCCTAATTGTAAAGCATGAAAATAATTATTATCAGACACAAATTTCAACAAAACTATTCTCAAGCCATGATGTATGGAAATCTAACAGATAATGTAAACCTGTGATATGCTAGAGAAGCTTGCAGTGGTTAATATTTTTATTTACATAAATTAAATAGTTCATAAACGACAACCTATTTATTAATTACGCCTGGTCCCTTGGGATTTATGAACATGGACCCTAGTCTTAAAAACGTATAGTAAAATATTTTAAGAATACTACTAGTTCATTGGTTGAGCTCTAAGCTCTTGACCAATGAAAAGTTTGCATTCTGAAAACATTTTCTTGAATAAGGTCCCGGATATTCAATTGTTATCAGTGAACTGTCAGAGCTTAATTTTCCTAAAACCATGGTGATAATAATAAACAAGTAAATATGTGAAAGTTAAATATCCAATAAACTTGTCAAGCATATTGTACCCTATAAAATACTTCATACTTAATTCAAATATAAAAAATTCTCCTAAACTTGACCATTATCAGTACTAAAATGAAAACATAAGGATGTGGTCATGTACAAGTAGGTTTTTTACTTTGTAAATGAGAAAAAGATTTGTTAATATATTACATTTATTTAACGCCAATGGTTCAAATAGTAAATAAAATAATAATAAAGCAATTTTTTATTTTAACAGTGAAGTGACTGGTAATGATTAGAGATTGCTTTAATATTGTGGAAGAAACATAGACTAGATTTATTTATCACACAATAAAAAATTTATTTTGGAAAATATTTCTTCTTCACCTTAAAATATGACAATTGGATAATACCCTTCTATTACAACTCAGAATTTGACTCAAGTTAAATATCATCCATATTAATTTAAAATAAAGTAAACTTTTGGGGAATGACAGTACAACAGTCATGAACATGTATACATATTAATGTACTGATTAACAAAAAAATGCATTCGGTTTCCTCATAATTCCCACAGTTTTTCTCATAAAAATATCGTCTTCCCTAGATTGAACACCTTTCCCTCTGATGCAAGAAAACTCCACAAGAAAATTCGAAATAATATCCCTGTTAACATTAACAATAAACATTATTATATATATATATATATATATATACATAACATGTGCAAGCTATTTATCCTTTTTACTTTCTGGTGTAATATTATCATTATTTGTTTCTGAATCATTTTGATCATCTGTTTCCTCATTCTGTTCATCTGTGTCTATCACTTCTTCTTCTTCTTCTTCTTCGAGGGCTTCATCTGTTTCATTAGGCTGTGATTCGTCATCTAAATCTGTTCTATCCACAATCTCAAACTCATCCTGTTCACTAGCTGACTCTTCTATATTTTTGATGACTGATTTTATTATTTTTTCTGTTTTTTCGGGTTCTGTCGTTTCATTATTAGTACTACTATTGGCTTTATCTGTCGTTTCATCTTTCTTTTTGTCAGTTTTAGTATCGGAAGTATAAACATCATGTTTATATAATGGTTGGAAAGATTCGAGAATGCCCACATCCTCCGTTAAATTGGGTAAAAACCAGAAATGATGTTTACCGAACGTAAATCCCCAAATAATACAGAAGAGAACAAGTCGTACTGAAAAGGAAAATTAACATGATTATGGGACAAACTTATCCTTAAAATAGACATTTTTTTATAAAAGAATAGGCTTATTTTGGGTTTAATTGTCAGGCCCTGCAAAAAGTCCCCCCCCCCCCCTTTGTCAAGGTAATGATATAATGAATCTATACTCGGAGTTTCATAGATCTCACTTAAATTGTTTCAATGGCATTTAGTAATTGAACTGGAGTATACAGGTCACAATTCTATGGAATACAATTACTGTGTATTACTGAGCGAGGTTTCGACTAGGCTTCTCTAGTCATCATTATTGCTTGATAATGCTTGTATAGCTCTCACTGAATTATAACCAAAGTTATCGTGCCCAAAAGCATCAATCAATCAAATTACTTATTGCTCTGCAGAAAATGTTCATTATCGAACTTAGTCAAGGTATTGATGTAATGAAACTATACACCATTAACCAAGTTTGATCATTCTCACTTAATTATAACCAAAGTTATTGTGTCCCAAGGCATCAACAAACCAAATTGCTCATCTCTGCTTACCCTAAGCAGAAAGTGCTCATCTTCGAACTCCATCACGGCATCCACCTAATAAACACCTACACCAAGCTCAATTAGAAGGAGAGTTATTGTGTCCAATAAGTGTGACAGACAGACTGACTGACTGACGGACAGAGGGGGGACAATTAAAAATTTTATTTTGATACAAAATTGCTATTGATTTAATAGAATGATTGTGAAATATGGATTTGGATACAAAACTGCTATGAATTAAATTTTTAACAGAATGTTAATCAAATGTAAATTTGGAAACAAAACTCCTAAGTTGAGGATTTATTTAACAGAATGACAATCAAATTTAGATCTAGATGCAAAATTGCTAAAGGCAATATTGAACTTACCAACAGCAAGACCAAGGATAAAACCAACAAAACCAGCAGCAGCTAAACTGATATAATAAACACCAACTCGTACAAATTCAGGCCATAGTGGAAACATGCATAAAGCTATAGCCCCTAAAACTATTGAGAAAAAAAAAAAAATACTTTTCAGCGTTTAACATATTAAATTCTTATCACTTTTTGCTTTCTACTACTCAATCATATTCGTACATGTATTTGAATGTATGTTTTTTTTTCTAACTTACTACATCAATTCTTGCAAATTCTTCAAATATATGGGAAAGGTGCATTGAAACGTTTGTATGTGACAATAATTACTTATGTATGTTTTAATTTGGTTGTAGAAATAAATGGATTATACAGGTAACAATATTAATATCAAATTTTCCAAACACATAGTCACAGTAAAACTTACCCATTAACAATCCAATCAAAAATGTTTTGAATGGAACTGGATCATATATCCAAACATAAAACTGAAACAAAAAATGATGTACAAATCTTAATATTATATCATAAACATAACATCTTCTGTAGACTGGGTTTTCTAAATTAATATTTGTAGTATTTATACCTGATCATCAGCATCAACAAACTTTTGGTCTTCATGCATATTTAATTTTACTTTCTTCTCTTTCTTCTTCTTCTCATCATCCTAAAAAATCATTTTTATTTTATAAATGCTTCAAATCTGTGGTCTAAGGGGTGATAATACGAGTTTAGGGAAACACATACACAGTTACTTCCCCTTACCAGGTTTGTTTTTTTTCCCACCATTTCAATTGAACTATGCATTAAATTTTTCTCTGCCATGTTCTATGACTGTAGAAATAAAGTGCATTTTAAAATCAACGATGTCTGAAGCATAAAATGTATTTCAGAATAATACTACATGCAATTCCAATACTTTGGTCACAGAGCTACATGTAGTACATATTTGAAGCATTTTTCTTTGAAATATAGATTTCCGAATAATCATAATATTATTGGTATTAGAGTGTCCTAACTGGATAACTCATCCTGGTATTAATTCAAGAAAATTAACTGTTTTCTTTTTCCCATCAAATGTTTATCAACTAATAAACTGCCAAATATTTATAAAACTTATAACGGGATCAAAAAGGAACCAGAAGAGTTATCAACTTAAAGTGTCCCTTGCAAATTGTAAAAAGAGTCATCAAACGAAAAAAAAAAAAACACTTGTTACCTTTTTCTCTTCCTTTTTTCCCTCTTTTTTCTCTTCTTTTTTTTCTTCTTCCTTCCTTTCAACTTCTTCTATTTTTTCTTTGTCAGATGTTTCAACAGTATCTTTCTTTGCTTTCTTTGACTTCTACAAAAAACAATTGATGATCAATTTTAGAATATAATAAGAGCCATCAGAAGATGGTATATCCCCCGGCTCCGAAAGATTTATACAATGAACAGTCATAGTAGCCACCTGGTTTTGTCATAAAAGTGTCGGCACTCAGGATAGAGTGTCCAACAACAAAGACAAATGGAATAAACAGTTTAACTTATTAATACTTAATTTGTTTTATCATTACCAGCAATGATATACATGAAGAAACTAATTAAAATATTACGACCATAAAACAATAAAACTGTAGGAACACAGCAGATGCAAATGGTTGATATGTTTACATCATTTCTTTTTGAGTTTCTTAAAATAACAATTAGAAATGAAATCCATTATCATTTTTGTAACAAAAACGTGAGTGATTTCGGAAGTGCCATCAGAACTTGCATTGACATACATTTATGTATGTATAAATTTTTGTGCAAAAATAAAGAAGGATTTGAGAGAACAGCACTGGAAATAAAAATAGACAGATGAATGGTTGCACACAGAAGTACAAACACATACACAGTTCAACAAATGGTTTAGCAAATAACCTTGGAAACGAAAAAAATAAAAACGTTTACCACTTCAGTATTCAGTTGTTGGGTATAGAAAGTTTCACAAAGAAGTACTATGGTTCTTGAATGGTTTAAAAAGCAAAAGGCAACACTTCAACATGTGACTAATGAGTGTACAGAGTTTTGTCGAAGAAAACTGAACAGTTATCATGTTTTGCTCCGGAAACAAAAGATAAACAAACGCACAGACAAAAAGAGGGGTGATGGCTATATCACGCTGTATTATATGCCGGGTGGGGATAATAAAACAATTGTGAACTATTATAAATCAAAATCAATCGACCATTTCCAATGTCCACATCCTTTTAAGGAAGAACTTCATCTATTACAGATTTTTATACTTTACCCATTAACTAATATTAAAATATCCTTAACTACCCACAAACTGAAGTGTAAATCACTTTGCTTTTAAAGAAGACATGTCATGTCGTGAAGGAAACTATCCGTCATTGTAAATATATAGAAAGCAACAAGTATGTACTCTATGAATACACAATAAGAAACCCAATGGTCAGACAGGCTATGCCTGTTCCTCAATCTCTTTCCGTTGAATAAAATATTGTCTTCTTAAAAATATCACTGGATTCCTGAGCCATACCTTGGATTCATCCAAACTTTCTTCTTCGTTTTCTTTCTTTTTCTTTTTCGATTTATCTTTTCGTCGTTCTACTTTCTCTGCTCGATGAAATAATCCCATACACAACAAGCTAAAACAAATTCAAAATTATACAAATATAAAGAAAATATATTTTCTTGCTCCCCAAGATAAAATTATAATTGTAAAGATAAATTGTGTCAGACCAGAATGTTTTCTTAATAATTTAATTATTATTAATAGTGGAAATGGTTCAATTCTGTGCTCTATAATTTGAAACTGCATGGTAATATGGAATCCTCATTTTAGAAATTCTCAATTATTCTAATCAGATTTTGCTTAATTGCTGAGAAATAAACATGATTAGATAACTATACAGCAATAATTAGATGCTTAATCTTTGATCAAAGAAGTCACTTGGCATATTCAAATACATCATTTCCAAAACCCTGTATTATCAGTACTGGAAACCAACAGTTCTACAGATCGAGCAGGTACAGGTAAATTGATGGTGCAGTCTCTTACCTAAAGGAAAGAACACAGCACTCTCTCAAATTGATAGAAGTGGTGATGACAATTTAAGTTATAAGACGTCAATTCAATGTTGGGGATAAAAATGGTGAAATGATCTTACTTGTTACAAAACACCTCACAGGATTTTCTGGTTGTAAATAATGGGTCTTTCTTGGCATTTTTAGCAGACCACTTAGATTCGAGTAATGCATCAATAGCCTTTGAAGCTGAAATGAAGTCATTTTACATATTTATATTCTACATGTCTTCATAAAATAAAGAGAAAAATTAATCAATTAAAAATTCCATTTACCTCAACAACTAAAATTAAAGTCTGAATAATTATAGATTAATAAGCTCTTCAAAGTTCAACTGAATTTTTTTTGACATTGCATTTTTCAAGATAAATCAAGTGCAGCTGTTCTTGACTTTACATTTTAAAAGTAGTCGCCAGTATGCAGTACAAAATAAACGTGCACTGAGATTACCAAGTAATGTGTGAGAATTGCACATTCTAAGCTATCAGTCACTGTATTAATTAACTTGTTTAATTTATAGCAGACATCTATATAAAGTGGGCATTTATCGCGGTCATCACAAATATCAAACTTTCATATATAAAATTAAGTTGATTGGATCGAACTGACAGCGTAACTCTGCTACAGGAACATTGTGTAAGCTTATCTTTAAAGTTTAAAGTCAGTTACTACACTGAGTCTGTGACCCTTTGTTGGTGTTTTCCAAACACTTTTCTTACCTGAAGGTACTGATACCATACTTTCCAGTCATATGAAGGGTTACCGGTTCTCTATAAAAAATCATCTTACCTATAAAACATTTAACTGGCATTCCAACCAACTTTCCATCTCGAACTGGTACATTGAAACGTAAAAATTTTGCAACTGCATAATCTTCTTTTGATGGCTGAGCAACCTACAAAAATTTAGCTCAAGTTAGAATATGTGAAAACAATTCATGATCATCTCTTAATATCAGCTTATTTCCAGTGGTGCGGGAACCTGATTGGCTGGGTTGATATTGACCAACTAGTGATCAGCAAAAGGTATCTTTTTCATGTACTCATCTCATTTAACACATCTTTAGATTTGCACCTCACAATTGAAAGTTTGCTGACAGCGGTAATTACTTAACAAGATAATTGCCAACCTGCTTACTCTCTAATCAGAGTGAAGATCTACTAGAAAATGACTCTAGGATACATCAATTTCCAAAAATTTCCCAAGGGCAGGGGGAAAAAAACCCTCCCCCTCCTCCCTAGAATTTATAATCTGCCAACCCACTCAAAATAAGGCACAATTTTATTTCAATAATTCCTTTCCACACAAAAAATAATGAGGTTGGGCAGGCGAAACCTATTCGCTATCAAGTACAAGCTTGGGGTCCAAACCATGCCAGATGACACAATGACAGACCTTATGATCTAAGGCACATGCAATAGACAACTTCACCACACAAGATCCAAAATATATTGTTCATTTTGTATCCAAATGATTGAATTTTATCCTGGCTAAATTCCTGTTATAATTACACACTGTTGACTTGAAACTGTACATACAGGTGTTTTAAAATATAATAAAAAAAATAAAAAGAGGTATCAATTGTTTACCAATACTTTACTTAGGCTCATTTTCAAACTTAATAAAAATAATTGTTCGGGAAGGAGACCTGAACAAAAAGAACATTGTTAATTAATATACTGTAGGTACATGTACCTGTTCATCCATGTTGTCCTAATGTATAATGTACAGCTTATGTATCTTATGTGTATGGCCTATCTTTCATAAAGTATTGATTTCAATTACATATAGGTTACCACTTACATCTACATGCATCAGGTGTATAAAGGCATATGTGTTAAATCAAATCTGAATCTAAATTAACTTTATACACTTCTAAAACTAAAAATTATGTTAAGTGTTGATTTATAAATTAACAGAATAAAATCAATAACTCATTACTAAATCCAGTTAAATAGTAGCAACAATGAATGTAATACAGACAGATTCAGAAACTTTTCGTGACAGCAGGGATAAGGAAAGCATCTATAATATGTACCCAAGGTTGTCAAATGGAAGAAGAGCTTTATATTAAAAGCATTTCCAGGAATATAATTCAGAATTACATTCATTCTCTTGCAATTTTTGGATTCCTTTTGCCATGATATAAACTATCAAGAATTGCTCTGCTGGATTGAATGATATCTGTCATACATGGGCAAATCAAATACTGGAATAATGAAATTGGGATAAGTCTAACCAAAGGTATAAATATAAAGATGTTGATAAGTGTACAAGAATATGTCATGGTGTGCGATATTTATTATATGCAATTAAGCGGAACAAACAGAAAATTGCAGATAAAAATGTATGACAAGCAAGTTTATCCATATATCAACACCGTCTGTATAGACTATGTTGTTTCTTTATTTATGTATGTATGCATACACAAATGAGCTACAGTATATTTGATTGGACTAGAGACCAAGAGTATTAACTGCAGCCAGACACAGGTATGGTACTGTCTTCATAATGACATCTGGCACATGTAGCAACAATTGCATGGACAACAGAATATTGATATAAGACACCTATTGTGGGTTAATGGAAAGCTGTTGACAGTAGCATATAGGCCTATATGTTTGGAATGATAACTCAAATTCTAAAGCAAAATAAGGAAAATTTTGAAGAAATCCTTTTTAGTGCTATGCACCATATGCACATAACATTTTACCATTAGAACGAAAGAGACAAACACACTAGATCATTTTGTCACTAACTGATTGTGATAATAGTAACTTAATAGACCCATTTTACCCACCAAGTGACCATATGATAGCCTTACTTTACTATGTCATGATATAAACTAAATAGATTTATTTTGGTATTATAGCCTAGGTCTAATGTAATCGTGCAGACGATAAGAATGATTTTAAGCTGATACCTGGGAACAAATACAAAAAGCGAAAATGATTCTGTCTAACTTTCTTGAGATTGAGTTTTTGGTGAAATACAGCCGTAAGGACGCAACAGAGTGACTTTATTTTCAAAAAAAAAATAAAATGTAAACACGTTGAGTAGAAATGATTGCCATATTGATAACATTTTTTAGTCGAAACATGTTAATTTGTATGCTATAATATCTTCATGTACGGTGAAATGAATAAATTTATCATTAATAATATATTATTTTGATGGGATTTTGTCGGTTATTTCACTTGTTTACCTCTTCTCCCTTACGACGAGTTCGTCTTCTGTCCGCCATCTTACGTGGCTTTTTATAGAATTGCCTCGTTGTCAATTTGACCTAAATTTAAGGGGTTTTCCAAATTTTTGTGACGTCAATAGCCAATACAAAATGAAAGTAGAATATGTTTGAGCAGCAACCACTTTTTGTTAATATTTTGTGGCCACAATAACCGGTCGTCTTGAAACTTGGTGCATGCTAGTTCAGCTCTGAACGTAGGTCTCATTGCGCTCGACATGTACGTTCAGAAACCGTCCTATTGAATCCTTGTCGAAAGTTTATCCAGCCCCAGTCGCTTTTACTGGGAAACTTTTTACTGCTAAACGGCGGGGTGTCAATCCGTGAGAACGCCTGTACAATGTAAAGGAACATCTTAGTGAGAAAATAAGACATTGCTTACCTCGCTAGAGTCAGTATGATCGACACAACACACTGTTAAAAATACGTCCCCTCCTATCAAGTTGCCTTTTCTCCTCCATGACACTCTAAATATGGGTCAAAACCATATTTAGGAATGTCGGACATACAAGACGAAACGAAATTTAGGTAAAAATTTGAATCTTTGAAAAAAATTTGAATCTTCAGTCATTTTTTGCTTTGTCCACCTTTTAATACTACAACAGAATGAAACAAACATTCCAGGTGTATAATGAGGGATAAAACAATATTCACTTCCACATTCAGTATTTATTGTGGGACTTGGTGAACGATAAGGTTTTAACAAAATCATAGTAAAACATGCACCTTGCTTTTCTAGTTTTATTTTTTTTAAAAAATACATAAATAACAAGGTTTGTTTTATTTTCTAAAAAAAAGGAAAAACATATATCAAACCCTGAAACAAAACTTTTCCAATTAAAAATGACAAATATGCATATAAAGCAAATATCAAGGAATAAATACATAATCTATGGATTTAAATTATTCTTGAAGAAAAATTGTTAAATCAATGAATAAGCCAGTATTTTGTAACAACGTTAAAAATGGCAAAAGGTGTAGAAGCGGAATTTTTCAACTTTTACTACCCCTGTATTTATCTGTGCAAAAAATTAATGTGCAATTTAGTTAATCATTTAGGTACATATATGTACACTGTTTTTTTTTATTAATAAGAGTTTTAATTTGTTCATTCATTACATTTATTTAAATTAAAGAAAAAAGAAGCTATGTATAGAGATGAATGTGTGATGTACGAGTCTAGTTGAGAATAATTTAAATCCATATAATTATGTATTTATGCTATAGACGTATGTGTGATGTAGAGTCTAGTTGAGAATAATTTAAATCCATATATTTATGTATTTATTCTATAGATGTATGTGTGATGTAGAGTCTAATCTGTCGAGTTGAGAATAACTTAAATCCATATATACATTTAAAAAAAAGTAGGGGATATTAAAATGCAAATACCTATGCAGGTTGTGATATGATAAATAGTCATAGACACTTGACATGCTTTGAGAGTATGTTCACAGATGAAAAACTTATCGCCCCAACAGAACCACCGAGCTGCACATGCGACACGCAATAGCGCCATACACGGGGGGGGGGGGGGTTATTGTCAAATTTGACACTTCAAGGAAGGGTTGTTGAAACCTAAACTGTTTAGCGTATCTTTGCTTTAGTGTGTTACGTTTAATTTGCAATGGGACGTCTTCAACATGATGAACGTCTACGTACTATTGGCATGCTTCAAATGGGTTCTACACAGCGAGCAGTATCCAGCATGCTTAATGTGTCACAGTCTGTGATCAGCAGACTGTGGAACCAGTACCAACAAAAACACAACGTTGATGACAGACCTCGTTCAGGTCGTCCTAGAGCCACTACACAAGCCCAAGATGGATACATTCGTATACAGCTCCTGCGAAATCGAGAACAAACGGCCGATCAGCTCTCTGTAAACTTGTACCAAGTTACAGGAATTCGAGTTACACCCCAAACGATTAGAAATCGGCTACATGCAGCCCATTTGCATGCGCGACGACCGCGTGTTGTGCCTCCATTAACTCGCCAGCACATGGCAGACAGACGTCGATGGTGTAGGCAGCGCAGAGATTGGGGTAATCGTCGATGGGCGCGTGTAATGTTCTCAGATGAGTCCAGATTTACTCTGGATTTCACCGATAGGCGTGCTCGCGTTTGGAGGCGTGTAAATGAGCGTCATGCTAACGTTAACGTCAGACAGCATGGCAGATTCTGACGTGGGTCTGTTATGGTGTGGGGAGGAATCACCATGACTGGCAGAACGGACTTGCATATTGTGCAAGAAAGGGTCACCGGTGTGTACTACCGTGACCACATCCTGGCACCGATAGTTCTGCCCTTTGCTCAACGTGCAGGTCGACGTTTCATCTTTCAAGATGATAATGCCCGTGCCCACCGCGCTCGTGTCGTGAATGACTACCTCCAGCGTCACCATATTGTCCATATGCCTTGGCCAACCATGAGTCCTGACCTTCCCCCTATAGAGCATGTGTTCGTCAACGTCAACCGACAACACTGTAAGAATTGGCCGTGGCACTGCAAGAGGAGTGGGTCAGATTGTGCCAAATCGTGATTGGACGGTTGATTAGGAGCATGCTACGATGAAATGCTGAATGTCTGAGGATTGGTAGAGCAATTACTCATCATTAAGACAAAAATCAAAAACGTCAATTTTCACTTTTGACAGTGTATCTCTTTGCGAGTGAAATGGGCTGTCAGATAAGCCGCCCATATGAACTGTTTATGTTCATGTGTAGGCAATTGGCCTGTTGTTAACATACACTGGTTACCTCTAATAAAACAGCAGCGCATTTCCGCAGTTTTGTATTGTTTCTGAATATCCCATACTCTTTTTTGAAGAGTATATTTATGCCTTGATATTTGCTTTATATGCATATTTGTCATTTTTAATTGGGAAAATTTTGTTTCGGAGTTTGATATATGTTTTTCCTCTTTTTTTTTAGAAAAAAAAACAACCTTGTTATTTATGTTTTTTTTTTTAAAAAAAAAATAATAATAAAACCAGAGAAGCAAGGTTTATGTTTTACTATGAATTTGTTAAAACATTATCGGTCACCAAGTCCCACAATAAATACTGAATATGAAAGTAAATTGTTTTATCCCTCAGTATACACCTTGAATGTTTTATTCTGTTGTAGTATAAAAAGGTGGGCAAAGCAAAAAATGACTGAAGATTCTAATTTTTTTTCAAAGATTCCAATTTTTACCTAATTTCGTTTCGTCTTGTATGGCCGACATTCCTGAATATGGACGTTGACCTATATTTAGAGTGTCGTGGAGGCGAAAAGGCAACTTGATAGGAGGGGACGTATTTTTACCAGCGTGTTGTGTCGCTCTCACTGAATCTAGCGAGGTAAGCAAGGTCTTATTTTCTCACTAAAATGTTCCTTTACATTGTACAGGCGTTCACACGGATTGACACCCCACCGTTTAACAGTAAAAACTTGCCCAGTAAAAGTGACTGGGGCTAGAAAAACTTTCGACAAGGATTCAATAGGACGGTTCCTAGTTCAGAGCTGAACTGTGCATGCCCGCGTTGCCACGCTCACTTTTTGTGTCTCGCGTACGGGCCACCGTTCTGAATGGATCAATTGACATACTTATTCCTAATCGAAGGGCGACAGCTATTGATTTTGGTCCATACCCTACGCCGAGGGGTTTTCCCACGTCGATTTTTTAAGTTAATATCTTGTCTGTTCAAATTCGTCATTATCAATCAGTACAATGGCGCATGCTCGGATCTTAATGGATTTTGTTCAAAGAGATGATTGCACCCTCTGATGTAAATGCATGCCCGAACACGGTAGACAAACACCGAAATCACTTATAAACACCGGAATTCACTTACAAACACCGGAAAAGCACCGCAAGACGTTCCTATTTACTTATGGACTATTCACCGGAAATTACTTATAAACACTGGAATTCACTTACAAACACCGGAATTCACCGAAAAAGCACCACGAGACCTCCCTATTTACTTATATTTTACATTAATATTAATATTTAATTACTTAAAAACATTCACTTATACTACGGTGTACACACGTATCCTATATCGTAGTTTCCAAGTGAATTCCGGTGAATAATGATAACTAGAGCAGGGAAACCCATAACATTATTGTGTGTGGGCGTGTATTTTATGTCATCTGTGGAAAGATCGAAACAGTTATTTATTAGACAATTGATGTAACATACGTTAAATTTCATGTATTTCAAACGAATTCCGGTAGTCTTTCAAATACATGTAAATACACCTACAAGGCCTTCGTCCGGTCTGTGCAGAAATCAAAATAGTTATTCATTATATTAATATGTATTATACATTTAAAATAAATTAATTTTGTGGGAGGATTTAATGCAAAATGTAAGTAAATACAATTGTTTTCGGTGTTTTAAAGTAATTTATTATTAATGCAAAATATTACATAGGAAGGTCTTAAGTGCGAATTCCGATAGTTTGAAAGCGAATGCCGGTGTTTATATGTTTTCAAAGTGAATTACGGTGGTGATTTTTGGTGTTTTTAAGTAATTCATTATTAATATTAATGCAAAATATATGTAAACAGGAAGGACTTGCGGGCGAATTCTGAACTTTTGAAAGTGATTTCCGGTGTTTATATGTTTTCAAAGTGAATTCAGGTGATTTTCGTTGTTTTTTTTAAAAAAAAATAATTCATTATTAATATTAATGTAAATATATATTCAAAGTGAATTCCCGTTAATTCCAGTGTTTATAAGTAAATTCCGGTGTATTCCGGTGATTAGTCTACCAGTGCACGAACCACTACTGCTTGATCGTCTGCTTGCCTTGCTTTCAACTTAAAAGACGACAAAAATGTCGTGATGTCGGGTAAAAATGTCGTGATGTCGGGTAAAAATGTCGTGGTGTCGGGTTGTCGGATTGTCGGGTTGTCGTGATGTCGGGTTGTCGACTTTCATGATCAATGTTATAAGTGGCCACGATGATATTCATAACAAAAAACTGGCAATTAAGAAAATGGTTGATCAAGTGGAATATAGATTCACACTCACAGTGCAGTTTGAGTTGCATTCGTATCCATTTGTATACGTCCACATTCATAATGTGAACCGTCTTCATTAGCTCAGTGAGCAGAACAGTAGGACGTTAAACCCCATTTCATTTCATAATGTGAACATATTATGAAGCCGCCCTTGTCTGTGTGTCTGTCATTGAGTCAAGTGGTGTGGTTTCCAGCCCAAGCTTGTACATGACAAAGAGTAGGGTCGACTGTCTAACCTCGTGTGTTTTCTCCGGGTTCTCCGGTTTCCTCCCACTGCTGAAGACCCCTACGCGCAAGCGAATTATTGAAATAAACTTGAACCATATGTTAGTCCCGAAGTGACCTAGTTTGTGTCGAGTGGACGTTAAACCTCAATTCTCTCTCTCTCTCTCTCTCTCTCTCTCTCTCTCTCCTCTCTCTCTCTCTCTCTCATGATCAAACTCAGAATTAGCTAGAATCAAGGTTATTGTGTCCCAAAACATCGACCAATCAAATTGCTTATCTCTGCTTAGCCTTAGGAAAATCATAAATAAACAACAAGATTATGAACATGTTAACGATTGTATACAGAGTCAGTTAAAAGCCTGATTAAATAAATGTGTTTTAAGTTGTTTTTTAAACGAATATAGAGATGTACAATATGGTCAAGATATAACGCGACAACCCGACATCACGACAACCCGACAATCCGACATCACGACAACCCGACACCACGACATTTTTACCCGACATCACGACTTTTTTACCCGACATTACGATATTTTTAGTGTCGTAATGTCGGGTCAAAATGTCGTGATGTCAGATAAAAATGTGGTGTCGGGTTGTCGTGATGTCGGGTAGAAATGTCGTGATGTCGGGTTGTCGGGTTGTCGCGTTATGAAAGGCGACATCACGACATTACGACATGATACCAATCAGCCACCATACTTATATTAGTTTCCAGTCGTATCAAACATCAATGATACCATTATACTTTTTTTTTAATATTTTTTTTAAATAATATTTTATTCAGAAATTGAAAGGGATTGAGGAACAGGCATAGCCCATAACATGCTGTCAAAAAACATGAGGACCTTTTCAAAGATAGATAACGAAATATGACTGCTGCTTACACCGTAACGGATTATGTGTATTCATAAAATTAGGTGGTAAAAGATTTGTAGATATTTTGCGTGCATCAGAATTTAATGAACAATGTGAAAGAAAATGATCGATATCTTCAAAGGAATGACCGCAATCACACTCGGGGCTGTCCGAAATATGCCTGAAAAAATTATGCCCATAGGTCACTGCAAGAGAGACGAAGACGACTATGTAATATTTGATTTTTGCGTTTGCCAACGTTGAAATAAAGGGATATTTTTATCTTTATCAATTATTTTAGTTTTAAATTTACTTATAGAGGTAGGATTATTAATACTTAGATCAAGGTTATTCCATTCTTTTATGGTAAAAGGTTTAAAGGATTTAGAAAATAAAGTTGTTCGACAAAAGCAGTCAGTTAAATTATTGCTATTGCGAAGATTATAAGGAGTTTTGGAAAACTGAATTAAATTGTACAGGTATGGAGGGGTTAGCTGATTAATAATTTTGTACATTAAGATAAGTTTGTGACGCCTTCGCCTCTCTTGCAGAGTGATAAATCCCATTTCTTCATATAATAACCTATACCGCCGCATATAGCTCTGAGTGCATCTAATTGTAAGTGTTCTAATTTAATTTTTAGTTCGTCTGTGCACCCATCCCAGATTACGTCACAATAGTCAGAATGTGAAAAAGAATAAAAGAGGTGCATGTATATATACAGTTTTCAAGGTATTTCTATTAAGGCGGTGTTTTAAAGACCTAAGACAATTAATCATTTTACTCGTTTTAGTCAAAATAGTGTTAACGTGTTTGTCCCATTTACAGCTTTTCTGAAAAAAAAACAAACCAAAATGCTTGTGTTGATAAACCTACGAAAGCCTAGAAGGCTCATTCCAAATTCCAAATGCGAAATTCCAAATTCATGTCTTACCAATAAAACAGCAAATTGGCAGCCCCCCCCCCCCTCAATTAAACAAATTAGAATTTAAATCAATTGTAATTTTACACAACTAATAAGAGCTAGTTTACCTATCTGATGCCTGAGCCGGATAAACACCCGTTCCAAATTACTAGATTCGAAATTCCAAATTCCAAATGCGAAATTCCAAATTCCAAATTCGACATAATCACGTGACATTACAATCATATTGGCTGCTGCAGAGAAGATAAGTGTCGCCGATGTGGCGGATTTGACCTATAATTTTACACAACTAATAAGTGCTAGTTTACCTATCTGATGCCTGGGCCGGATAAACACCCGTTCCAAATTACTAGATTCGAAATTCCAAATTACTAGATCCAAAATTCCAAATTACTAGATTCGAAATTCCAAATTCCAAATGCAAAACTAAATTCCAAATTCGACATAATCACGTGACATTACAAATTCCAAATGCGAAATTCCAAATTCGACATAATCACGTGACATTACAATCATCATGGCTGCTGCAGAGAAGATACGTGTCGCCGATGCGGCGGATTTGACCTATACATTCAATATCCGTGGAACTTTTACACTGAAGTAACTGAGTAAGTAATCAAGTACTACTACTGATATGCAACCGATCACCAAACTGTTCACATCTGCCGAAGCAAACCGGAACTGGAATATTTTTATTATCCCCTATCTGATTAGTCAAAAGCAAAACCTGATCCGATTTGGAATTTCGAATTTGGAATTTGGAATGAGCCCCCTGGGCTTTCGTATAAACTTCTTTAATAGGAATTCCGTCTAAATGTAGTGCAGGTAACACTAACAGTGGTCTCGTTTAGTAGTCAGTGAAAGTGATTCATTTTTCAGCGGGTTAATGGAAACCAGCCACGTTTTTGCCCATTTGTTTAACATTTCAAGATCACTATTTAAGACAGTCGCGCATGCGGTTAGGTCATTAAGTTTTTTAGATAGATGCTAGTTGAATATTCGATTTTATGTTCTTAACGATATCATTTAAGAAAGAGAAAGTGACCTGTGATAAACCAGCAGGGACGGTATTAGGACCAGAGGAGACACCACTTACAACGACGATTTGCTTTCTGTAATACAAATAATTATTAAACCATTGAAGCAAGTCTCCTCTGATTCCAGTCACCACAGGCTTCTGACACAGTGCAGCATGCCACACTCTGTCAAATGCCTTGCTGATGTCACAGAACACCGTCCTCGTATACTGACCCTCGTCTATTGTTTGACAAAAGAAGTGCGTAAAGTCAATAAGTTGATAGGTATAGTTGAGTCACCGTGCATAAAACCGGTGTTATGATTGCATTATCCGTCATGAAATTAAAGACATGCTTGTAAATACATTTTTCGAAAATTTTAACAATGATGCTCAAAACGGAAACTGGTTTGCAATTGCCGCATTCAGAAGAGTCGACGTTTTTCAGTATTGAAATAACATTAGCTGATTTCCAGATTATCGGTACAGTTTTTGTCAAAAGGGAGAGATTGAATAGATTGCATAAGGGGGTTACATATTTCAGATGAGATGGATTTTAATAACTTGCCATTTATGTGATCAGGCCCAGTAGCTTTACAGGTATCTAATGATAAGATCATGTCTTTAACTTCTTGGGGTGTTAGATTACAGAGTGAGTTTGGGTTATGTTCAAGTTCAGGAAGCTGTGCATTGGCTGTGTCACGGTGGCTAAGTGGGCACGACGCTGACTCGCTAGCCTGGAGGTCGGGTGTTCGACCCCTGCATTGGCCAAGAAAGTTCATCCAGATGTTCCGGCGTGGTTCCCCCTTGCCAGTGATGAAGGACGGAGGGCTTGACAAGGGCGTGCACGTAAAAGTTCCCTTGACAGTTGGAATTCGATATAATGTCGAATATAAATGTTCCTCATAGCACACTGTAGTGTGTCGTAGGACGTTAAACCCCATTTCATTTCATTTCCATGGGGGTGGAGAAAAGGATTCTATCGTCTATGAGAGGTGAAGGAGTGTAGCTTACCGTGTACACGTAGCTGTGCACGTAAATAAACACTAATTGACCGCTGGAATTTGATTAAGAGTATGTGCAAAATATTCAGGACAAAATATCCCTCATTGCACACTGCATGGTGTATGCACGTCTTTATTAGTCCGGGTTGGTGCAGAAAAGTAGGACGTTAAACCCCATTTCATTTCATGAGTAGGATTGCTTGCCCAACGCTGTGGGTTTTCTTCAAATTAGTAAAATACCGATATACCATATACCGGTTGTGTTATTTGGACGTTAAACCACAGGGTGTATTTAAAGACGATATTATAACGAAGCTTATTCACATTAATTTCAAAGCGCAATAGAAACTATTATCAAGGATTATTATTATGTAACCCATCTCAATAAACGAGGTTTTAATCTAATCAGTCTATTCTCAAAGTAGGATTTTTGGAAACCCAAAACCCATGTAAAAACAAAGAATTCCCTTAAAGATAACGTGTTAGAAAACAACACAAATATTGGTACGTTCACGTGTTGATTTTCACTCTAGTTTTCAGCACAAGTCTCTTCTCATTGAAAACATTTAAGACTCGTGTTTGTGTTGATATATAAACAAGCGATTCCTGTTGAAAAAAAGTGAAAGTTTGTTGTAATTTTTATATTTTATTCATATTTAATTTAAATACCAGAATGCGGATATTTTAATCTGCTTTTGTAAATCTTGGTAGATCCTCCAGAGTAACAGCATAATTTAGAGTAACAGGACCGTTAATCATTTTACCCGTTAACTCATCTTTCCAGGTGCCAACAGGTAGGTATATCTGCCTTTCTGTAACACCTTTATCTAATACAGGTGCTACAAGAACATCGTTACCTAACATAAATTGAGAATCACATGTTAAAGCAGGTATATCATTAGGTGCAATCCACCACATTGGTCTTATGATAGGATCTCCTGTTATAATTGAATCCTTTGCTAAAGCAATAATTTTATCAGCATATTGCTCATGTAAAGCTATCATATCACGTGTAACCTTTACTACGGTATCATTCTGGAAAAACCAAGGAGTGTATGAAAATTGCATTATTGGCATGAGAGCATTGGCTTGAACCCATCGGATGTAAAGTTCTGAATCCGGAATATCCCCATTATACCCGTTGCCACCGATGTAGTCTGGAAGAACGAATGGATACCCGAAAATGCTGAAAGTAAGCGCGGTAGTTATCAATGTCTTGAAACCTTGTCCGTATCCCCATGTTGACGTTTTATCAATCATTCGCACCATTAGAGGAAGATCTTGAGTTTGGACCCCTGTTCTGTATTCTTGTCTGAGCATCTTATCAGCGGTAGCAATTGTTCGTGCATAAGCTGTTACGTAGGTATCAGGATTTCCAGCATTATTGAAAAGTTTATAAGGCGTTAGCGGAAGATAAGTCGTTTCTCCGCCATCAAATTTAAAAGAATCAACACCTAATTCCTGAAGACCCCAAAGCTCACTTAAAAACCATTCTGCAGCACTAGGGTTTGTGAAATCTATTACTCCCGCATTTATACCTTCCCACCATGTCGTTAGTGCTGGTTTTGTTCCCGTGGGGTCCTTTACAAGGTAACCCTTGCTGGCTGCAATAGAAAACCTTGCCGCATCGGAGTTTAAGAATGGAGGTATCCACAAGGTTACAGGTATATTTCTGGTATGTATCCTGCGAATCATGTCGACTGGATCAGGAAATGTTACGTTATTAAATATCAAATCCCCATATTTCGGTGTCCAAACTTCATCAATTTCGAGTTGACCGATACTGAAGTTATTATTTATGATTGTGTCTAAGAAATTTAGAACAACAGATTGATTAATTTCATGTTTGAACTGAGCCCATGTTGACCAGATTGGACGTTTGAACAAATTCTCGTTTGGTATTCCAGCAGGTTTTTTAAAATGCATATTTCGCATACTCTTGTGTACGGCGTTTATATCCGAGTCCGTACAAATTTCGTATTCGAAAGGTTTTAAAGACGACGGATCGTAAGTATAAGGAGTAGTGTTGTTAAAATTGAGACAAATTTTATCGTCGCCATTGTGGTTGATACTAGCGAATAATGGAAGATCTTCATTCGCCCAAACTGCTACACCTTTTGACGACAAGAAGTATCTTTCTAAAACAGAACCGAACAGCCCTGAAGTAGTATCATGAGACACATAAGGAATAAGTGAAACGTTGACGGTATTTATTGGCCAATACTGAAAATGCATTTCAGACCCACCATACCAATAAGCCCCAGTCATCGAAATACAGTCATGACCTGATCCTTGCCACTTTACATTGTAACAGTCCGATGTTCCTCCCTTGACATTTGTTATTTCGAGAGACCCAGAATTCGACCAATTTATATGAAGGTGGTCATCGTTAGAGTCCTGTTCATGGTTATGTTTTAGCTTTCCACTAGGAAGATTTTCTCCGAGATTTACCGTCAAAACATTTTGTTGAAGACTGTTCGAAACTTTTAAAAGTAAATTATTTGGTAAAACATGCAGTGTTGCTCGCCCAACCTTGAGCTGACTCCCATTTAAAATAAATCTTGATGCTTCTGTTACGATTGTAAACGAAATCCCCCAAACTATACTAGTTAATAATAGGTTCATTTTCATTTTCAGATGTTTAATAATCTGGAAAATCAAAACATAGATGCTATTAAAAGCTAAAAGCAGGGGCACAGCAAAACCTGTACATGGTTTACTGTTATTTGACAGTCCTAGTAAATTTAATAACACTTTGTTGTGGCGCTATCATTATTCATTGACCGAGAAAAGGGGTAGATACGGAGTAGTATAAAAATCTAAAGTAACAGGTGGAGATATTGCAACACAGTGACAGTGTGTGGGAATATACCAAATGGTTCTCATTTAGAATACAAAATCCACCAAAATCGGCCATTCGTCTAACACAATGAGATGCATAATGTTACTATGATATACATCATAATTAAACCATATCTCATTTGAAAAGTTAAGATGGCTAGCAAACTTTTGTTGATTAACATCCCAATGTTGAGATGTTGTTATGGACAACGTCGACCATCCCTCATACTCCCTTTAATGTCATCTAAATCCTTTAAATCTATAGTGCCCCCCCCCCCCTTACCTTGGAAAAACCTGCATATGTCATAGCGAGAGAGAGAGAGAGAAATAGGGTTTAACGTCCACTTGACACAAACTAGGTCATTTCGAGGCTAACATTCGAAACCATGTCAGTTGACTCAATGACAGGCCTTATGATACAGCGCGCACGTGCTAACCATTCGCCCCCCCCCCTCCCCTTGCTAGCTGCAAGGACTTCATAAAAAAAACGTTGGCCTGTGGAATGGCAATAGCTTAGTAATATCATTTGTAATAGATATGCTATAATGTCATCACTACATTTACATTACACACTGTCTTTAAGTTTCTACTTGGAGTACGGTAAACAATTAATTCATAATGTCATCGATCACTATATGAAATTTATCATTCGAATGAGGCAATATGACTACCGAATAGCAAACAAAATACTGTGACTAACTTTTTACTTACTGATAGATTTGATACTACCAACAACTTGACAGGCTGCCCTTTTCCACATTAGTTTATAACATTTACTCTATCTTTATTCAAATTGATAGATTAATCCTTGAACTGAATTCAAGATAGGTTAAAGATAGGACTATCGCATAATAATTTGCAGATTGGCCTTGTATTTCAGAACAGTAAGGGAGATAATTTTGTCCTTAATTTACTAGTGGGTCGCTGGTGTACTAGTTGAATCAAGCATTTCAAAGAAGTCAAGCTTGGAAATTTAAAAAAAGAATAAGGCTGTCATATAGTTCCTATATTCCCATAAAAGATAGCTAAACAGCTAAACGATTATATGGCGCGGATGGTCTAATCCATTCCATTCAATGTCTAAGCCATCCGATGGTCTAGAGAGTTGATTATGGGCTTGTCATGTGAATAAATGTCTAAATAGGCAGATTTAGAAATTGCATAGTGCATCTTTAACCATGATATGCAACCCGGGATACATTAGAGCACAGAAAATATATTCAAGTGATAATTCCAATCAAGAAGTCCACTTTCTATTATCCGAGGTTTGCTTTCGTTTAATGAGTGTACAATATAGGTATGTTAAATAATACAATACTTTATTTATCAATTAGTTTCTTTGAAAATAACGACACATCTTTATTAAGCCAACTTTGTAAATCTTGGTAGATCTTGTAGAGTAACAGCATAATTGAAGGTAATAGGACCGCTGATGATTTGACCTGTTAATTCATTTTTCCAGGCCCCAGCAGGTAGGTATATCTGTCTTTCCGTAACACCTTTATCTAGTACAGGTGCTACAAGAACATCATTACCTAACATAAACTGAGAATCACATGTTAAAGCTGATATATCATTAGGTGCAATCCACCACATTGGTCTAATAATAGGATCTCCTGTTATAATTGAATCCTTTGCTAAAGCAATAATTTTATCAGCATATTGCTCATGTAAAGCTATCATGTCATGGGTAACTTTTACAACGGTATCATTCTTGAAAAACCAAGGCGTGTAAGAAAATTGCATTATTGGCATGAGAGCATTGGCTTGAACCCACCTGATATAGAGTTCCGGATCAGGAATATTTCCATCGTATCCATTGCCACCGATATAATCTGGTAATACAAATGGATAACCCAGAATACCAAAGGTCAGGGCGGAAGTTATTAGGGTTTTAAATCCTTCATCATAATCCCATGTTGAATATTTATCAATCATTCGTACCATCAAGGGTAGATCCTGGGTTTGTACACCGGTTCGATATTCTTGCCTGTTTTGAAGATCACTTCTGGCAGCAGCTCTGGCATAAGCAGTAACGAAAGTATCAGGATTTCCAGTATTTTTGTGAAGTTTGTATGGAGTATTCGGCAGATACGTTGTCTCGCCTGCATCAAATTTAAAAGAATCTATTCCAATCTTTTTAAGTTCATTAAGTTCATTTAAAAACCACCCTACAGCATTAGGATTTGTGAAGTCTATCACCCCAGTGTTTTTACCATTCCACCACTTTGTTAGTGCTGGTTTAGTTCCCGTAGGGTCCTTCACAAGATATCCTTTGCTTGATGTTAAAGAAAATCCCTGAGAGTCGGAATTCAGAAAGGGGTGCACCCATAAGGCAACTGGGAGATTTTTGCTGTGTATTTTACGAATCATGTCAGATGGATCAGGAAAGGTGACGTGGTTAAATCTCAGATCCCCATATTTCGGGGTCCAGTCATCGTCTATTTCTAACTGACCGATGCTAAAATTATTTTGTAAAATCGTGTCCAGGAAATCTAAAACAATGGATTGGTTGATATTAACTTTGTATTGAGCCCAAGTGGACCAGATAGGGCGCCTGAAAAGATTCTCATTTGGTATTCCAGTTGGTTTCTTAAAATGAGCCCCTGCAACATTTTTATGTACTTGGTTAATATCTGAATCCAAACAAATTTCAACCCGGAAAGGTTTCAAAGATGAAGATTTATAAGAATAGGGAGCAGTGTTGTTAAAATTGAGACATATGTTGTTGTCGCCATTGTTGTTAATGCTAGCAAACAGTGGAAGGTCTTCATCCACCCAAACAGACACTCCATTTGATGATAGAAAATATCTCTCAGTCACAGAACCAAACATTGTCTGTAAGGTATCATGGGAAATGTATGGACTCATGGGAACATTAACCGTATTAATAGGCCAATACTGCTTCCGCATTTCAGATCCACCATACCAGTAGTCATTACCCATTAAAATACAGTGATATCCAGATACATCTGCTTCAACATTGTAACAATCTGATGTGCCTCTCTTAAAATTACTTATTTTCATAGACCCCCCTTGGGACCAAATTAGATAGAGGTACTCTCCGTGAATGTCATGTCCACGTGTTTCTGTTAATAGTCCCCCTAGAACACTGTCTGCCAGATTCATGGACAGAACATTCTGCCTGTTGCTGTTAGATATGTTTAAGCGTAGTGAATGTGGTGAAGCGGTAAGTGATGCTCTTCCAACATTGAATCCACGATCATGACCGCCTATAATCAATCTAGAACCTCTTGTTAGACCAGGCACATCAGACTTTTCTGTAGCGATGACAAGCACCAACAGGTAAGCATTCAGAAAGAAGAAAACATGCCTCATGTACAACATCTCCAGCAACTGGAATAATAAAATTTCGTAATCTGGAGAGTGATACAGGATACACATTCTTTTTGTTGATAATGAACGATTGTACACGATATTACAAATGATAACCCTTGAACATGATCTGTCTATTAAAACTGCTTCATTAATAAGTATGCATAAATTACAAATATCATTTAAAGTTACCTTCTACTGGTGACCTTTCTCCATACGCAAAGTACTGATGTGGATATTTTTGGAATAATAATTTTCTATCTGTGATCTAGATACATAAGATTTTCTTATCTATCTATACACCTGAACAAATACACATGGTGACACAGAATTTGAACGTCTTACATTCATATTCAACTGATAGCCAAATAGTGAAACAATTTTTTGACTTGCCTTTCAATACTTGCCAGAGTTGCCTCTTTCAGTAATCGAACAGGTCGATCAAAATCTAGTGTATTGTATTTTTTGTAAAAGCTACGTAAAGTCGGTATTTGATAAGAATGGGTTTTACAAACAGAATGGTTGGTCGAAGCTTTAACAACATTACTAATAAAATAACTAAACGAACACAGACATTACAAATCAGAAAAATAAACAGAAGCACACAGTGCAGTGATATTAACGTAACCTAAAAAAAAATGACATTTACCATAACCATATACAGGGGTGTGCTGGATCCTCCGAAGTAGGGTAGGCAGACAAAACTTAGACACTTTGGGTGTGGGGTGCGTCTCAGCGTGCTAATGCGGGGCTAAATGCGGAATTGGGACCATAAATACGGTTGCAAAATGCGAACTTTTTAGAACCGAAATCAGAGAAAATTGGATACCAGCCACAATCAGTCGATCACCGGTAGCGTTGACAGGAAGAAAGGGCACAATATCGTCATTTTGTGAGATTCTTGGTTGTCGTTGACAATCTTCAAAAGCAAACCCTCTTTGTCTTTATAGCATGTCCGTGACAGCTCATTAAAAAAAGTGGGCCTAAGCCTATAAAGAAAAAAGAAAAAAAGAGAAAGAAAAAATAAAAAAAAGAGAAGGAAAAGAGAGGGGGAGGAAAGAAAAGAACGAAGGAAGGAGAGGAGAATTCTCAAATTCATCTTATGATAGTGCTCTTAGCTCATTCTGTTGTCTAATTGTATCAGGAAATAAAAAATTTGCCTTCTTCTGCTTTGGTCTGAAATGCTTGGAAAATGGGTTTGCGGTTGCCAATTTTCAAAATTTTCATGGGGGGTGACCCCCCCTCCATCCCAAACCCTCCTCGGGCGCTCTTGCGCCTTCGGCGCGTACTTGTGTGGGCCTTGGTCAATAACCTGACAGGTGGCCCTTCGGCCCACCAGTCCGGCACTGATGATGATTTACCAATGATGAAAGACTTTCGGGTGTCGTCATGGTTTCCATTTACGGATATACACACAGCTAGAATCAAGCATAAATAAACTATTTAAATACCATTGTGTCCTGGAAATAAAATTAGAAACTTAATCTAAGGGGACGACATGGAATGGGGTTTACAATCCTACCCATGTTCTTAATTAACCGGGTAAATGAGGACTGGCATGCTTCATGCCTTGCACCTGTATCTTTCGTCGAATTTCAACAGCCAACGTGTACACAGAACCTCGGTTTGTCCTCCCATCCGGACAACACTGGGGTATAACTCGGGGCCTCCTGGTTAGTGAGCCGAGTGAGCTGAGCTAGCGCCCTACTTAGCTACCGTAGCTCCAATTGGGGGTCGAATGTACTAAGTATACAAGTAAGAGTCTATCCATTGAACCTGCAATTAAAATCCCAACATGTTGGTTTACTCCAAAGAAAATCAAACTATTTAAGTGAGCATATTTTTATGAAACAAATTTAATGGTAGTGCATCACTAAAATAATTCTTACCAATTTCTTTACTGCTTTCTTGTGCACAGTGACAATCTTGATGTTGTTCTAAAATAATCAGTTATTCCTAGGCTAAAGCAAGATTAAATTCGTTTATCTGCAGCTGACCTATTGCACAAGTGCATTTCTTTGCATAGTTTCTTGAAGGTTCGTGGACAAATAAATTAAAACAGGGTTATTGATGGCTGTTAATATTTCTATATTGTTTAAATTAAACGAGTACAGCACACACTTAATGTTAATGATCTTGATACAAATGCTTAATGATATAAGCTCAAACTTCTCCAAATATCCAGAAACAGGTACATAAAGTGTGTCCTGAGGAATGTGATCTCCTAACGATGGCTTGTAGAAAGGCGCTACCTCACTGACTCGATTTGGTCAATGTATGAAGACTGCTACCTATGAAATGAAATGGAGTTTAACGTCCTACTGTTCTGCTCCGACTGGGCTAATGAAGACGGGCATATGACATACTACAGTGTGCTATGAGGGAATTTTTTCCCGGGCAACGGCTCTATTGGCTACTCTTATATCAAATTCTAACTGCCAAGGGATCTTTTACGTTCTTGCCAATATATACACGGACCCTGGTTTTTTTGTCCCATCCGAACGACTAGACAGTTGTCCTATATCGATTATGATTTTAGTTTAGTTCAGTGACTGAGAAAAAAAACTTCAAACCCTAAACAATTTAGTTATCTTTCGTAATTATATCCCATAGCTCTCGGCGTCCGTTTGTCCATAGAACTAGATTATTAGATAACGTATTTAATGTAGACTATTTAATTCTATGGTTTATCACACAATTTCAATTTCAACTTCTTAGTACTATTTAGTAACAATTCGGTGGTAGTTAAAATATCTTCGGCATTTGGTGTCGGTCTTCGGCGTTCAAAAGACATGCTACATCATTCGTCAAGGTAAACGACAAATGTTGTGTTATAGTTTTACTTAATGTCCGCTTCCACCGAGGTGATATCGCAGACATACGACAAATGTTGAATCCGATTCCAATTTATAGACTATACCAGGTGAAAATGGCAGTCACGTGACCCCGTGTCAAATCAAAATGGTGGACGGTAAAAAACACAAAAAAACCAAACAAATTATCTAAGATAACACAAAACCACACACTTTGTTTTAAAATCTATGAGGCAATAACTTCCAAATCTGATATTTAATTTTGCAGAAAAATGTTATCAGCGATCTGGGAAAATGATACCCTTGCCACTAAACTTTGTAGGCCATGTTGTTATAAGGTCCATGGTCACCATGGTGTCTCAGTTTTTTTTAAAATCGATTTCATGGTAAACTGTTCCCGGAAATAAAACAAAATGTATTGCCTGAATGAAAGTAACAACCTAAAATAATTAATCTGTGGGACTGACTTGTCATGACTAATACTAATGTATCTTTTTCTAGATGTGAAAAAATCGCAAAGTAAACCTCTAATAATGTTAAACATTAAAAGTCAAGAAGTCTTTACAGATACAAGAATAAACTATGAAACAGCAAAATGCGTTTGTAAAGATTTAAATGGACACAAGTTTATTTCCAATTTACTGACAGTCATAGGAAATTTGTTCGATAGAACTGAATACAGGTGACACTATTAAATTATTTCAGTTCAATTCATTGTTTAATTCAGTATTTTTTAAGGCCTCTGACAATAATATATTTTGTATACAAGGACATGCATTAATTGTTTTAATTTTATTCATTGTGTAATTAGGGTCGCCTGTCCAACCTCGTGGGTTTTCTCAGGATCCTCTGGTTTCCTCCCATTGGTAAAGACCCCAACCAGCAAGCGAATTATTGAAATAAAATTAAACCATATGTTAGTCCCGAAATGACCTAGTTTGTGTCGAGTGAACGTTAAACCCCCTTTTCCTCTCTCTCTCTCTCTCTCTCTCTCATTGTGTAATATTTAATATCAAATAACTTGGAAATTATAAGCCCTTAAAGATATATTATGGGGTTATGACATCATAATAATAAAGCTTTGTCAATTTAACATAATTTGCATGTTTTGAGACTCATGATTTTAAGAGTGTGGGAAAAATCAAGTGATGTATGTCAAGCTTTATCTTTTTCTAGTGATCTAAAGATTTTATTGAATGGTAATAGAACTCTATATGGTCATAAAGTGATTTTGTTAGCACAGAGCGATGATTGGGATGGTGTTGACCTTAACCATGGAGAACAGTTAAATCTTACTGGTATGCACTAAATGTACATTATGATTATAAACTGCTATAATATTAAACAAAAGACAACCCTCAGGTTTTTTTTACATGTGCCTACTTGGTAGTGTCACAATAGGCTACACTACGCAGACAATATGATATCTGTCTCGAAATATTGGTATTAAAGTATGTTTGTATAATTTCATGTTCTATAGTATTTAAATATGTTTGTATAATTTCGTGTTCAATGGTATGTAAGTATGTATGTGTAATTTTGTTTTCTATGGTAGGTAATTATGTTTGTGCAATTTCATGGCTTATTAATTATGTATTTTATAGTAAACCAATTATCTTTTTATGATTTTAATTAAGATATTAAATATGAAGTGGCGTATGCTATGATCAAGTGGGTTTACACACAAGAAATACATGCAGAGGAAGACATACCTTTTCTTCTACAACTACTACAGGAATCCATTAACTATAAGCTACTGGCTCTCAATAACAGGTATAAACTGCATTTTCTATAATAACCAACCTCTCCAATACCATTCTTGTTGGAACTGTAATTGGTGTCCCCTACCATTTTTGGGGATAGGTAAGCCTGTGAGTTATTGCAATTGTTGAATAATGGTAATCTTTATTAGTTGTTGAGCACTTACTATTCCTTCATGCTTCAGATTATGTAACTATGTTTTTCCAGACCAAACAAGTTCTCCAAAGCTTTAATGCCACTTTAAGCATCAAGACAGTTCTTACCCTCAAATACAGTACAAGTATATCACAAGAAAGCTTAAAGATACATTATGGGAGATTACATAAAGAGCTGGTATGCCCGTCTTCATTAGCTCAGTATAGGAGCAGAACAGTAGGACGTTAAACCCCATTTCATTTCATTTCATTTCAGCTCTCACGGATAATGTAAAGGGAATTTGCTGAAAATTTCAGTCAAATTGATCCACTCTGAACTGAGAATATAGCAATTGAATTTTCGGCCTAGCCTCGATCATCATTACTAAAAACATAGTCTCGATTCCAATCATTTAATCATGAATGAGCATTGAGCAGCAGATCAGATCCTAATCCAGTAAATATTCTCGATTCCATTTCTTGATTTAATCATGAATGAGCATTGAGCAGCTGATCGGATCCTAATCCAGTAAATATCACAGGCTAGCGATGACATCAAGGGTTGATTATGGTCTGGATAAGTTAATTAATGGCTAATTAATAATTTAGATAACATTTCCGGCCTAAAGAAAGACCTGCAATAGGCAGGTTTAGCTCTTGCATAATGTATGTTTAATATTATGTACTGTCATTTTGTTGCTGTGTTTCCATAAGACATCTTACTTTGGCATATACATTCAGTCAGAAATATCTTAGCTGTTCAATTTCCAGGGTGGTTGGTCTGTACTGAGATGAGAGCCCAATTGAATTTCACATAGCATGAAGAATTTGTCAATGTTCAAGCTGGCATTGGAATTTGATAAAGAGTAGGAGGAAATGCTGCTGTTATGGCAAAATTTTCCTCATAGCTATAGCACCATGCATTGGGTTGATTGGTGCTTAAAAGTAGAATGTTAAACCACATTTCATTTCCATTGAATTTGTATGGTGTTTTACACAAGGTTGTATATTGAGGGGGTTGGGTGGTCTAGTGGTTTAATGTGTGAGTGTGAACTCACAAGATCTATCATTGAGTCAAGTGGCATGGTTTCAATTCATGCTTGTACATGACAAGAAGTAGGGTGGCTTGTCCCACCTCGTGGGTTTTCTCTGGGATTCCGGGTTTCCTCCCACAGCAAAAGATCCCTATGCACAAGCGAATTATTGAAATAAAATTGAACCATGTTAGTCCCGAAATGACCCAGTTTGTGTTGAGTGGATGTTAAACCCCATTTCTTTCTCTCTGGTTGTATTTTGTCATCACCCCTGTCTGCCCATCTGTGTGTGAGTTCTAGAGGCTAAAGTTTTCATCCAATTAACTGTAAATATACACAGTAATTATATTTAGGAACCAAAAAGTCTGTTGATTTTTAACGATTTCTAATCATTACCGGACAAAGTTTGTTGATGTTCTAGCACCTAAAGTTGTCATCCAATTGACATGCAATATATACACACACTGTTTATTTCCATGACTTTCAGTGATTGATAATTAATTACAGAATTATAGCCCTTGACTGAGCAGAAACTTTCATGGACTTCTCGGACGACTTAGCTTTTGTGGGTGTGGGGGTTATTCTCCATTGTCTGGTAACCTATGTTTCCTATTTTTAAGATGCCAGAAAGAATTGATCAGTTTGGTAAATCTTGAAAATTGTCAAGGACTTTACGAGACAGCAGAAACAATATCAGCTCAGCTGCTGAAAGATTACTGTTTAAAACTGATTTCTGCACAACAGGTTTGTTCATATTTTACAACTGAAATGTACATATGTGAAATAGCTCTTTGCTGGTCCATTGCGTCTGTTTTTTTACCGTTTCAACCAAGCAGCTTATCAGATTTCAGTGGGATTTGTAAAAATTTAGGGGTTTTGAAGTGAAAAATTTAGATTTTATGATAGAATTGTGGTATTGGTTGAAAGGAACAATTAGGCGTTATCACATTTTCCTCCGAACCTAATAGAAGCCATTCAAAGAGTTTCAGGTTTTGACTGAAATGTGATTGAAATGTTTCCCTCTAAAATCTAATTTATGATGACACTTTTTGAATTAAGGTTTATGTTTATCTTCAGTATGTTTCAAAGGATGCATGTAACCAGCTAGTTATATTAATGCTGGCAGATTTTTTTTCAGAATGAAATCGAGGAAGAATCTCTAGCTTGTCTCCCTCCAGTAGAATTCACGTCTGTTCAAGTCAAAAGTGCAACAGAGTCTCAACATAAATCCAAACCTATTGTATTGTCAGCCAAAGATAATTTTATTCGCTGTATTTGTGAATATAAACATGAAGATGGATATATGATTTGTTGTGATTTGTGTTGGTAAGATATATTTGACATTAAATTTGAAGGGAGGCTGTGGATCAAAAATTCATTTATATTCCATCATCTGAATTTATCCAAGATTTCAAAGTTTGTTTTGCATACTTCGGTAATATAATGAAGACGATGTTTACTGTAAAACAAGAAAATTGCTTGTCCTATAAATAATGTGAGATAACAGACATGTAGTGGCCACTGGCAACCTTTGTTTATAAACTACACCATGTTGTCATCTTTCACAATTGAAAAAAAGTTACTGGTTTCAGATTATAGACAAGGTCATTGGTCTTGTCTGAAGTTATCTTGTAGTGAGAGAGTAGTAGTCACAACATCCCAGGGTTAAAGATCTTTCATGCTTTTCAAAATTAGAGAGCAACATAACAGAAATATTACTGGGTTAGGTCTAATTATTAATGCCACCTGCAGATTTCCACAAGATTGTGAGATGTAAACAGAGCTAGATGTAACCCTAACCCACAATCCTTGGCAATAATCACATTACCTAGCCCTGTTTACATCTCGTAACCTTGACGAAATCTGCAGGTGGCCTTAATATTTAGATTTGACCTATATCACTGGCTCAATATTTTTTGAAGAATTCTTGAAGATATATTTTGATACCAGTGATGAATAACTTGTGATCAATTTTAGGCAGTATAAAATCTTAAGATCATCTGTATAAGATCATCTGTATCCTCGATTAAACCATTATACTTTGTTTACAGTCTTGTGAAGTTTGTAGCTGGGGGATTATTACCACATATCGAGGGTTTAGAACATAATTGTGATAAGTCACAATGCTTGATATATTGACTTATCACAATTATGTTCTAAATCCTCGATATACAGTACACATTAAAAGTTGTTTATTTTTTGTAGTGTATGGCAACATATGAATTGTATGGGTATAGACAGAAGTGATATACCAGATGTATATTATTGTGAACAATGTCAAATTAGACCAGTTGATGTACAACAAGCTAAATTATTACAGGCAGAAAATCTGAATGTTTCTTCAGACCAAGGTAGAATTTTATAGTTTGTTGTTATCTTAAAAGTTTGTCATGTTTTATTATGTGTGGTTTAATGGTCGAGAGCGAGACATTAAGTAATATATTGATACTGCACAACGGCATTAGCCCAAGCATTTTTTCAATATATTATGCAATGTCTTGCTCGAGACCATTTAACTACTTAAAATACAAACACTATCCCACACAAATACAAACACTATCCCACACAAATACAAACACTATCCCACACAAATACAAACACAAGTCCAGTATTTTCACTAGTATAAAAAATGTAAGATTGGCATGTTGCCAGTAACATTATTTGAAATAATGGTACACCATACCATTATTTGAAATAATGGTACACCAACATCAAAGGATGACGTCACATCTGTATTTTAAAGTATATTAATGATGACGATTAAAGAATACATCACTGTGCGACTTGCACCAAGGCATACACGTTGTTGGCATATGCTGTGTGTTTGTGGCAGGAAAAAGCCAAAACTTTATAAAGGTTTGAGTAATTAAATTAATTTTTCCTCTCTTTAACCTCATAATTCAAGGTATTGATGTAAAGAAACTATAAACCTGCTTCACCACTCATTATTGAACTCGGTTAAGGTATTGATGTAATATAACTATACATGTACTACACCAAGTTTTGTCATTCTCACTAAATTTAAATAAGAATCAAAGCTATTGTGCCCCAAAGCAATGACCAATCAAATTTATTATCTGTGCTTAGCCTAAGCAGAAAATATTCATTGAACCTAGTGAAAACCTACACCAAGTTTGAACATTGTAGCTCAATTAGAAGCAGAGTTATGTGTTTCCAAAAGTATGACAAATGAAGTGTTATATTCCCATGCTTTCTTTAAAGACAGGGGACAAAACTAAGCCTTGTCAATAAATGTATGGCCTTATATTAATTATTATTAGGCAATAGCTCGGTCATTGGTATGGCTTATACTATACACTGAACAGTGAAATTGATTCAAGTAGAGACATCTGATGGGTTGCATTAATTTTATTATCAGGATGCGATATAATGTATTTTTAATAATATTCTTGATAATTTGTTCTCCAGATTCAGATGTGACAGAGACTGATGAATTAGGTTTAATATCGTTTGTTGATCAGAAAAATTATGTGGTAAATACGGAGAGAAAAGAGAATATGGCTCAACATAAGAATATTGAATTGCAAACTAAAGTTAGTTATCGTATGTTTTGTATAAATCCACTTCAAATATGAAAGTGTGATGGATTGTATATATTTGGAGATTTAGCTGGATCATAGAAACTAATTAGATTGGTTTATTACTTACAGAGTGAGTGCCCCTACCTCAAAAAATTGTGATTAAGCTCCAGATCAGCATCTAAAATGGAATTTAACAAAGCTGTTACTAGTCTCCAAATGGCCATAATTTCAGAGTGCCATACTCAAAATGTCTTTGGTTTATCCTGTATAGAAATGTTACTAGAAAGAAAACCATATTGAGTGTGGTAGCCTAAAAATCTTTGGTTTGTGTTTCATTAACATTTGGGGATCACGTGGCTAAGTGGGTAAGACGCTAGCTCGCTAGCCTGGAGGTCGGGTGTTCGATCCCTGCATTGGCCGAGAAAGTTCATCCAGATTTTCCGGCGTGGTTCTCCCTTGTCAGTGATGCAGGACGGAGGGGCTGACAAGGAAAGCTGTCTAGTCGTTCGGATGGGACGAAAAACCGAGATTCTGTGTACACATTGGCGTGCACGTAAAAGATCCCTTGGCAGTTGGAATTCGATATAAGAGTAGGCCGTAGTGCCGCTGTCCGGGCAAAATTTCCCTCATAGCACACTGTATGGCGTATGCCCGTCTTCATTAGCCCAGGTTAGGAGCAGAAAAGTAGGACGTTAAACTCCATTTCATTTCATTAACATTTATTGCATACCTTTTTGCAGTTACTTATATTTTAATAGCCCTGTTGAAAAACTTAAATTTCGAAATTCTTTTTAATTTTCAGAATATTGAAGACAACGTTCAAGTGATTGTTAGAGTCAACACAAAATGTAGCGAAAAGAAATATTCACAAAATGTTCACAAATGTAAAATATGTGATAAAGCCTATCGCCTGAAACGTTCACTAAGAAAACATGTCCAGAAACACACAGCAAAGAAAGTTAACAATTGTGAACTATGTAATAAAAGTTATTTTACTAAAGGAGAATTGCAGGATCACACCCGAGTTCATACCGGGGAGAAACCATTTATTTGTGATTTCTGTGGTAAAACGTTCACGCATCGTAGTAATTTACACACACATATGAAAATTCATAGTGGAATACGACCATACGTCTGCCAGATTTGTAACATGTCCTTTCTCAGTAAAGGTCATCTACGACGACATGACTTAATTCATACCGGTGAAAAAGCTTTTAGTTGTGAAATATGTTTGAAACCATTCAGTAAAAAGGATCATTTAAAAGGACATATGAGAACCCATACCAAAGAGAGACCATATCCCTGCGAAATTTGTGGGAAATGTTTTTCGTCAAACAGTAATCTTCAAAAACACCTTCGTATTCATACAGGGGATAGACGTTTTAAATGTGAATTTTGCGAGAAAGCTTTTATACAGAGACATACGTTACAAAAACATCACCGAATGCATACAGGTGAAAAACCTTTCATATGTGATGTTTGTGGTAAATCTTTTACAATGAATAGTTATTTGAAGAGACATCAGCGAATTCACAATAAGGATAAACCCTATTGCTGCCATATTTGTCAGAAATCTTTCAATGATGAAAGACTTTTACAAACACATATAAAAATTCATACTGGGGAAAGATCTTGTGTGTGTAATATATGTGATAAATCATTTCTAACAACAAGTCATTTACAGAGGCATATTAAAATACATTTATAAATACAAATGATAATACCCAAATGATATTTAATGTGAGAGTACAAATAGAACCACCTGGATTTGTTAATCTGTATTTAAATATATTCTAATGATGATTCTTGTATATTAACTAATATAACACAAAACAATTCTATCTTAAAGATCACTACATTATATAACATATAAGATTTCAACAAGATTTCACTGGTCGTTATCAAGCATACAACTTCTGACAGTGTTATATATAGGTACATTGAACAATAATAACAGAACCCAGAAGTTAGCAACCATGACACTGTCACAATTTTTGTCCTCATTTGTAAGCTGTATGCTTGATAACGACCAGTGAAATCTTATCGAAATGTTATATAATATAGTGATTGTTATCCATAGAACTGTTTTGTGTTATATTATGTTCTATTGCTAAATGCTATTCAATGATTAGATTAAATATTAACTAACTTATTAAATAATGGAAATGACTAATGTTGTTATGAATTTTCAGCACATGCATGAAAGAGTGAAATGAAATGGGGTTTAACGTCCCACTGTTTTGCTTCTACTGGGCTAATGAAGATGGTATTATGCAATACAGTGTGCTATGAAGGAATTTTGCCCAGACAGTGCCACTACGGCCTACTCTTATATGGAATTCCAATTGCCAAGGGTTCTATTACATGCACGCCAATGTGTACACAGGACCTTGGTTACTTGTCCCAACCTAACGACCATACATTGTCCTTTGTCAGGCCCTCCAACCTGCACCGCTGACAAAGTGGGAAACACGCTGGAAAATCCTTATGAACTTTGTCAGTCAACACAGGGATTAAACATGGTCCCGACTTCACAAAGCATTCTCAGACTTAAAAATTTACTTAAATTTCATTCACTGTTTTTGAGAAATATCTTTGACCTAGATAAGATACACAAAATTTCTTATTGATATATATTAGATACATTAAAACAAGAAAAGTTTTATAAAGGGTTATATTTTAGTTAAATTAAGATGAACAATTTTGAGTCAATTCTATATGAACTCGGGGCCTGGTTAGAGATTATTTTTCTTCTTGGTCAAATTAGAAACCCAGATTCCATTTCCGTCCCATCAAGCAGATCCTAAACTTGGTAAAAGAGAAGGGACATTAACATTCCTCGCAAACCTCTCATCAGGAATGGGCATTTGTCTTCATAAAGCACACTAAGTTATCCCCCTTTCATTAAATGTTTAACAGAAAATAAAACTCATGTGTAGGTATTGCCAAGATTCCTGCCCACCATCGGTCAACAATTCTTGTAAATGCTGAATATGTTTTGTTTTTTTTAAAATTTAGAGTTGGAGGTGGTTGAGTAGAAACAGTATGGAAATTGGATGTCACACAACATTTTTTCACAGAGTTGTTGCCCCTTGTACACACACTAGCGTACTTTTATTGTTCAGTTGAAACCTTTTATACACTCATATTTTGTGTGGACATATTGCTGTCTCATGAGTCTGTCCAACTTTTCTTAAGAATGCACTTATGTACACTACAGGTCTGGTCAGATTTTTAAAAAAATAATTGGCAGGGACTGTTCATTTGATTGGTATTGAAAGAAAATCAAAGTGAGTGCATAGATTTGTCTAATCACTTTTTCAGGTTGATAATTCCCTGTAGCAATTTTATTTACAATGAGTCACACAAAAACAATACATATACTAAACATTTTAATTCAATCATACAAACAAAACATTGTTTTATAATACATGAAAACCCTTCCTCCCTATATTACAAACACATAAAAATAGTCCACTACTTTTTCAAATAAAACTGTTTTTTATTTGACAATCAAACACAATACCTATACAAAACTGAGGGTAATAATATCAATTGTTATTGATGGTTAATTTTGTAATACAAATCAACTGAATACCACCACTGGGTGATTTTTTTTTCTCAAAAACCCACTATAACAAGTAATACAAAGCCACTATAACAAGTGATGTAAAGCTACTGTAACAAGTGATGTAAAGCCACTGTAACAATTTCAATGCAAAAATTATCCTTTTGACATGTTCATGTAATATAATGATATAAATATGACTTGACAACTATCGTTTAATAACATTTTTCACTCATTTAAGTCCATGTATCGTAATATGATAAAATATCATTTAATAAACGTTTTTTATTCAGTTAAGCTATAGATTCTAGCCAATTCTTAACTTCATCTAAATTAACCATTGATGTATCATCTTTTCCACAACTGCATTCAACAAATTCTACATTGATAGGACTTAAATCACTAAATTCAAAATCTTTATTTCTTTTGCCAAGATAAGAATTGTTATTAGAGGTATTATCCTGTCCCTGTAAAGCCGCTCCACGGGTTACTCGCAATGTATTCCTACAAATAAATAAAATTTACATCAGATATTATTTCCCATAGGAAAGTTTGTATTTATGGCTTTGCCCTTTACTATTATTGATGGTGTATAATCAATGGTGTGCAGGGAGGGGGCCGTGGCCCCTGCCATCCACTTCAGGAGGTAAACAAATGGAATTTTTGTTTCAATTTGAAATTATCGCAGTCACAAGCTAATGTGAATGTGTATCCGTATTTAAATAAGCGAGACCAGAGTAGAGAACTTGTAAAAATGAAGTAGTTTTCTGACAGATCTCATTTGGGACACATAGTTTTCTGACAGATCTCATTTGGGACACTAAACTGTATTAATGTGTCTGATTTATATTTAATTTGAATAAAAAGTTTATTTTTACATATTTGTGAAAGTTGTCTTTCTCAGTACTAGGCCCTATGCTTGAGTCCTAGGTGCATCAAGGAATTAGCCCTGGGCACCACCAACCCTCTGCATACCACTATGTATAATATTGTTAAGTGAGGTATCGCTGTGCTTTTAATCTATCCTTGCATTACTGTTTTCAGTTAAAAGTACATGTAGTTGATGACTTTCCTCACTGGTAAGTAGTGTAGAATGAACTGAAGAGTTTGATAATCAGACCTTGGTTGGGCCATTACATTTTGCAAATGTAATTAATTACATTACCATCACTTTTGTATGTAATCACACTCAGTTTTAGCAATGTAATTAACTACCATTACTTTATAACTATAAATAATTAAAATACAGATATGATGTAATCCTTTGATGTTGGTGTACCATTATTTCAAATCAGGTATGGGCAAGTGCCAATCATACATTATTCATACTAGATGAAATATTGGATTTGAGTAACATATTTCTTTGTTATGTAGGTGCAGTATCATTATTTTAAGTCAATGATCTCGAGCAAGACATTGCATAATATATTGAAACAACACTCGGACTCACGTCCTCGTACAGTATCAATATCTTATTTAATCTCTGGCCCATTAAACCACAAATTAAAGAGATGATCTTCCGAATATTTATACAGCTTTAAGGGGATTATCTTTAACTATGCTACAATTATTGTGTGCAAAAATATTTTAACAGATCTGATGGTGGGCGTATAATGGGATCACCCTGTTAAAAGACCTCCATCCAGTTTCCAAAGAAATATTCTACATACATTCTCCACACCCAAAAGTTCATTTGGAGTGCTTAGACTTTTTAATTTTAAATTATTTTTTCACAGGTCATACTTTCAGATTCTCAACTTACATTTCTTTCTCTAGCTGTGCTCTAATGACCTTTGAACCTTTTGCTAGGGTCAAATCTTGTTTATTACATGCTATAAGAACAGGTGGACGGTTGTGTGATATCGTTCCATCACTTAATATTGTATATAAATATCTGAAATAAATATAGACACATAAATACTGTGCAATACACTCATCTTTCTAATGCTCAATTTATGGCAATACGGAATAATTATTTGAACATTCTGGAATTGAATTCTCACAATCCCCAAAATAGTGACAATCGAGTGAAAATGGGGTATTTCGGGCTACAATGCATGCGATGACAGCTTAAGAAAACATCCCAACCAACCATGACAGCTAAAACATATGCGTTGTGTTTAATTATGTCATGATTCTACTCGCACCACCTCTGTGGAACTGACAGAACTGTTACAGGACTTAATTCTGTGTAACTTGATTGCAATTCTGTCAATTTGGGACTATCTGGATTGATAATCAGGTATCCCCTATGATTGAGGGTTAATCAGGAGTGGTAAATACTTAATCAGTTACTGACTTAGCATAAAAGTTGTGACCTCTAGAGGAGACAGAGAGAGAGAGATGGGTTTAACGTCCACTCGACACAAACTAGGTCATTTTGGGACTAACATATGGTTTAATTTTATTTCAATAATTCGCTTGCGCATAGGGGTCTTTAGCAGTGGGAGGAAACCGGAGGACCCGGAGAAAACCCACGGGGTTGGACGGGCGACCCTACTCCTTGTCACATACAACCAGGGATTCGAAACCACGCCAGTTGACTCAATGACAGGCTTTATGATACAGCCCGCACGTGCTAACCATTCGGCCATCCACCCCCCCGACCTCTAGAGGGTCCACAACCTTCGTATTACATACTTTTACACAATTTGAGCACAAAAAGTGGCCATTTTGTCAGGCAGTTTCGTTTCGATTTTCCCGAAATTCGAATTCAACCTTCATTTTGGTGATATATTTAAATGCCTTTTTAAAATTGTTTCAAAATTGAGACCTCTAGAGAATCCACAAGCTAAAAACATGATTTTTCGTACAATCAGGGGCCATAACCCAGGAAGTTACAATCCGATATTTTCGAATATCAAAAGGAACCACAATCTTTGGGTTATAAACATAAATTTCAAGTTTCATCAAAATTGGATAAAAATTGTGACTTCTAGAGTGTCCACAACCTTGGTATTACATACTTTTACACTATTTGCATACAAGGTGCGGCCAATTTGTCTGGCAGTTTCGGTCACATTTTTACGAAATTCAAACTCAACCTTCATTGATGTGTAACAGTGATATATTTAAATGGTTTTTAAAATTGAATACAAATTGTGACTTCTAGGAGGTCCACAACAGGAACTAAGATCTTTGAGTTATAAACATACATTTCAAGTTTCATTAAAATCAGATGAAAATTGTGTCCACAATCTAGAAACGTGATTTTTCGTACAATCAGGGGACATAATCCATGAAGTTATGGTCCAATACAAGCCAATATCGTCAGGAACCGAGATCTTTGGGAGATAGACCTATATTTCAAGTTTCGTCAAAATTGGATAAAAATTGTGACCTGTAGAGTGTCCACAAACAAATTGTGGACGGATGTCCGGACGTACAGCATAATACGGCCACATGAAAATGTGGGCATATAAAAATAAAGAGTTTACTTACCCAGCTACTTCTTTTATTTCTTTCTGTATAGTCGAACTATCTACTACATATATTATACCTCTGAAATAAATCATTTTACTTTAACTATATGATAACTTCATCTTTTACTTGCATTCCTGTCTGCTCAGAAGTCATAAATGTGTATTCTATTCTTAATACCTTTAAATTGTACAATATTTTCAAAATAAATACTGTTTAAAACAAGTCATAAAAGTTACACAAGTTGAGTTTCCGAAAGAAATATACTGCTATCAGATTTCTGTCAACACGCCCTTGTTATTATATAACAAATGGTCAAAATCAGAGTTTTTTCATAAGATAGGGTGTGGTGGGGGTGCGGAATTTAGTTAACAGTTGCTTACAGTACCGTTAATTATTAATGAAAGTTAAACAAATTTTACTAACAACAGTAACAATTTATCTGGAAACGAAAATCCTGTATTTCAACAATGAATGCGCAGGTGCCTTAAAATCAGACCCTTTTTTGATAAGATATGGTGTGTTGGGGTGTGGATTTTATTAAACAGTTGCTTACAGTACCTTTAATTATTTATGAATTTATCTGGAAACTAAAGACCTGTATTTCAACAATGAATGGGAAGATGCCTTAAATTTTGTAATAAATTCAACTGAAACATTGTTAATCAAGTGAAATAGAAATACTATTTCCTTAATGATCAGCAACAATTGACAAAGCTATAGTGCCTGTTTAAAATGTAACAATCATGCAATTTTTAATCCATGGTGAGTATCTAATACATTACCTGGCTAATGATTTATTTTTATCTAGATTTGGTCCTCGTATCCTTTCATAACCAGGCAAATCTAAGATCCTTAAACGTTTCTGAAGGCATAAAACATAATTCATTTCATTTAAAGGATGGATAACAGATTGAGAGAGAGAAATGGGGTTTAATGTTCACATGACAGAAGTTAGTCATTTCGAGGCTAATATAGGGCTGATTTTCATTTTAGTAATACAATGCTTTGTGGTATTTATTAGTTGGGAGGAAAACGGAAGACCTGAGAAAACCCAGTAGGTTGCACAGACGATCCTACTCTTTGTCATGTAACACGCTAGCAATCGAAGCCATGCAGGTGTACAAAAATTCTTCCAGATCCAAATGCTGTGTAGAGAAATAAACAAATATCATGTGTTTTAATGAGATGTTTCAGAGTTTAAACTTACATTTTTATTAGGTATATTAAAATAATTAGAATTAGTTGTCATGGAAGTGTACGTCTGCATGTAATTGCCATTTACCAACTGAAATAGAAAAGGAATGAAATGAGACAAATTTAATTTAATTCTAATATAGTTATACCAGTACCATTATTTCATTTAGAAAATGGAAATGAAATTTGAACTAAATTTTGAGCCGACAATGGTATTCCACCTACTCTTCATCCAATTCCTACTTTCTGTGAATACACCGGTGGACGTCAGTTTTTCTGGCCCATCTGAATAGTTTCCTTGTCAGGGCCTCCTCCATCCTGCACAACAGACAAGGGAAAAACAAAACGGAAATTCTGACAAGCATTTGTGACCAGCACAGACATAAAACCTAGTCCTAGTTTTATATATAAATTTTTACACGCCCACATTTTCATGTGAATCCAAATATATAAAGAGAGAGGAATCCAAAACCATTTGAATAACATAAACTTAGATGGGATCTAAGTCATAATAAACTTGATATGGTGACACCAGTAGTAGGAGTGGTTAAAATGTAGCTTGTATTCTCTGAAGAAGTAGGTTTTTAGACTTAAAACGTTAGATACTATAAAAGATGGTTTTGTGATACCCATGACTTTGTTTTTAACCACATTTTCATGTGGACGTATATTGTCGTCGCCCCTGTCCGTCCGTCCACAATTTGTTTGTGGACACTCTACTTTTCACAATTTTTATCGAATTTTGACGAAACTTGAAATATAGGTCTATCTCCCAAAGATCTCAGTTCCTTTCGAAAATTATCGGACCGTAACTTCATGGTTTATGGCCCCTTATTGTACGTAAAATTACGATTTCAGATTATGGACACTCTAGTGGTCACAATATTCATCCAATTTTTAAGAAACTTGGAATGTAGGTTTATAAACCAAGGATCTTGGTTCCTTTCGATAACATCCTGGAAAAATCACATTTTTACCTTGTGGTCCCCCTAGAGTTCGGACGGAAACTGCCTGACAAAATTGCCACTCCTTGTATGTGTATGCAAATAGTGTAACAGTATGGTATATAGGTCATAATTTTGATCTGATTTTGATGAAACTTTAAATTTATGTTTATATTTTCATGAAATTTGGGACATAAGTTGATCTCATTGATCCAATAGTTTATATTTTCATGAAATTTGGAACGTAAGTAGATCTCATTGATCCAACTTCAGCGATATCATTAGAAATTTACTAACTTACTCCCCTTGGAGAAATTAAGGATCAAAGTTTTCAAAAAATCAAAAGAAAAGTAGGTCAGATTGCCTTGAAATTCTTTTTCTGTAGTAGCTAAAAAATTACTGTTGCGTTCACAAAGTATGAAGCTTGTCGATCGAACCGAAAGTGCCACCATCTTTAAACGTGAAAAATCCCAAAGGCTTTTACAATATTTTACTTACAGGCATGGGAGTTACATTTTCAGAATCCGCGAAGGAATGCCTAAAAAATAGTGGGATCAGAATTTTGATTTCAATCAACTGATGGTCACCATTTTGAATTAAATAGGAAAAATTGCGAAAATAAACACAATAGACCGTAGTTTGGAGAATTCGTCTCCTATTTCCGAAATGAACACATAGGCCTTAATTAGGAGAATTTGTCTCCTAATTCCAAAATGAATACATTTCTGGATAGTCGGGATCAGGGTCGAAGTTTTGGTATTTCAAAATTTCGATTTTGACCTTTTTTGTGCCAACAAATTAAAGTTGTTTACAGGACAATTTATTTCCTTAATTATTAAAATTTACAAATTTGACCTAAATATTCATACAGCTGAGGTCAATCTGTATTCAATGAGTACTATTATAACAGTTTACCAGCAGCTGCCAGGCAAGATACGCCTACATTTTGCAAAAGATGGATAGAGACAAGCTAAAAACAAAAGTGATTTTTTGTACAATCATGGTCCATAATCCAGAAAGTTATGGTCTGAAATGCACAAATATCAAAAGGGACTGAAACCTTTGGGATATAAAGATATGTTTTAAGTTTCATCAAAATCGGATAAAAATTGTGACCTCTAGAGGGTCCACAACCTTCGTCTTACATACTTTTACAATATTTGTTTACAAAGAGCGGCCATTTTCATTTCGATTTTCCCGAAATTTGAATTGAACCTTCATTATGGTGAAATAGTGATATATTTAAATGGCTTTTAAAATCGGAAATTTTTTTTTTTGACCTTTAGAGAATCTTCATTCTATGGGCCATAATCTAGGAAATTAAGTTCAGATATGCGCGATTATCAAGAGGAACCACAAGCTAAAAACGCAATTTTTCGTACACTCAGGTGTCATATTTCAGGAAGTTACGATCCAATATGCCCGAATATCGAAAGGAACCAAGATCTTTTCGTACAATCAGGGGCCATAATTCAGGAAGTTACGATCCAATGTGCCCGAATATCGAAAGGAACCAAGATCTTTGGGTTATAAACATGCATTTTAAGTTTCATCAAAATGGGATCAAAATTGTGACCTAGTGGGTCCACAATCTTGATATACCAATGTTTACCACTATTTGCGTATGAGGTGGCGCCCATTTTGTCTGGCAGTTTTGGTCCGATTTTCACGCAATTTGAACTCGACCGACATTACTGTGTAAGGGTGATATATCAAACGTTTTTTTAAATCAGATAATAATTGTGACCTCTAGAGGGACTACAAGCTAAAATATGATTTTTTGTAAATCAGGGGCCATAATTCAGGAAGTTACGATCCAATATGCGCAAAATCGAGAGGAACCGAGATCTTTGGGATATAAACATGCATTTCAAGTTTCATCAAAATCGGGTGAAAATTGTGACCTGTAGAGTGTCCACAAGCTAAAAACGTAATTTTCGTCCCATTTAAGCCAATATCGAAAGGAACCGAGATATTTGGGAGATGAGTCAGATGACCTATATTTAAGTTTCGTCAATATCGAATAAAAACTGTGACCTGTAGAGTATCCACAAACCAATTATGGACACACAGAGGCGACGATAATATATATGTCCACATGAAAATGTGGGGTATAAAAATAGAAATGACCATTATATATACATGAATTTTGAATGAGATTATTTTTTTGTACATTTATGAAAATGGCATAAAATTAAGATTATTTCCTTCAGTTACATGAAGGATCTATCTACAGTTGTTTTTTAATGATATGATTTTAAAGTGCATCTATATTCTAACACGATTGACCATTTTAACGTGGATCTTTATGACGTTATGACGTCAAACCTCCGGGTCATTTAAGTGTTAATAAATAGCATTTGAGGGGGATTAAGAGTGAATATGTTTTTAAAATATCTTAATTAGATTTACAGACAGGTGATTTTGGTTATAACTTACACGATTAAAAAAAAGAGTTTTTCCTGCATCACATATTCCCAAAACAAGAACACCACTTCTTTTATTAGAAGATCGTCCAAATATAATCATCAAAACTGAAAGGAAAAAATAAAAAAATAAATATATGCCCAAATAAACACTAAATAAAATTAAAAAACAGACCTACATGTATTAATTAATACTGATTTATATTATCAAGAGCATCACGTTTTTGAATACTTTCAAAACTTTAATTTTCAAACTGCTTTACAATTTGATTAAAACACAGATCCTATTTCATTCCGTTTTTTATAGTTCATATTTCGGTTTACTTGTCTTTACTACACTAGGATCTGGAAGAGTTGATATATTACCGGCGTTTTGGTTGAAGTGAGGGATTAGCCAATGAAACTGTCTGTTATGTCGAGTTCTTGGCGTGCGATGCACGGTAAGGTCGGTAAACCACTAGAAACGTCAAGGCTGATTGATTAATCAATGTCTGACATCAAAGGGCCAAAAGCCGCTTGTACGACCCCCTGACGCGACCTTCCAGTACAACCAGTCAGATCTTCATGTAGTGTAGGTCATCGTAAGTATAAAAAAACGAAACAAAATATAGATCTGTATTTCAATCAGATTAACCGCTTTACTACGTACATAAGCAACGTCCCATCATTCTATCCACTATACCCTGGGTTCAACCATGGGGTATTCACATATTCAAATTACCTGCCCTTGATCGTAGCTTTATTCTACAAACCAATCTTAGCCTCAACATACACAATATGGCGGCTTGTTTGCTCGATTACATGTATGAGAAAGTTTGCAAAGAAGTGACATGCACACAAAAGATTTCCTAAAACATCTTTTCCATGTGAAAGATGTTATTATGCAGTTTTTATGTATTTAACGATTTTTTGGATTGTTTGATAAAAACAGCACAATAATCAAGGGCAGATAAGTTGAATATGTGTCTCACCCATGCATGACCACAGGGGTTAGTGGAGTGGAATGGAATGAGACCACTGGGGATAACGAGGATGGCAATGCCTTGGGTTCTACGGAACAATCAGAATAACAAATTCACAGATCGTCTATTAAACAGGCTCTCTGAATAACAGGTTGTTAACTAGAGTATCAAACATGATCTAACAGAACAAACGAATAGTTGACTGTCGTATAAGTATAAAACAGTCTGTCAGAATTACAAACAGCCCAAACATTATTTAACTCAACGAGAGAGAAATTAGGTTTAACGTCCAATCAACACAAACTGTCATTTTGGAATTAATATACGGTTCAATTGTATTTAAATAATTTGTTTGCATGCTGGGGGTATCAAACATGATCTAACAGAACATTCGAATAGTGGACTATAAGGGGCAATTGGTATAATGGACTGCCAGAATTATAGACCACCTATCCATTATTTAAATCGAGGAGAGAGAGAAATCGGGTTTAACTTCCACTCGACACAAACTGTCATTTCGGGACTAACATATGGTTCAATTGTATTTCAATAATTTGCTTGCACATAGGATCTTTAGCTGTGGGAAGACCCGCAGAAAACCCATGAGGTTGGACACATACAAGTTGGGAATCAAAACCACTTGACTTAATGACAGACCTTATGATCTAAAGTGCACAAGTTAAACGGTTAACCCATTCAGCCACCACCACTAACTCGAGGACAAATAAACTGACTACCAGTCCATGAATGGAACAACGGGCGGGTAGAGTCTAAATAAGCAAAAAGTCTGTAAAATAAATAGTAGGTTCTAATTGGTTTAATCCTCTGTAATTTGGTGTGCGTCCAAATCACAAGTCCCTACGACCAAGAAAAGTGGTTCTGGTAGGCCTAGAGGTGCTAAAGTAAAAAGAGCGCACAGTAAAATGGAATAGCATTTAAATATACTAAACGGCAAAAAAAAAACTGTCAGTGCGATTTCAAAATCAGAGGGGCACTTTAATCAAACCATTCTAGACAACAACTTACTAAATGGATCAAAGCAATTTTTTGTAAACAGTATGTTGACACATTAGTGATTAATTCATCACAATTCCAAGACATTACGAGAAGCTTTCGAGTCTGTACATAGTCTATACATCAGTATCTGGTGTGTCCACAGCGTGTGTCAATAACATGGAGTGGACCAGACGATTGATGAACGCCATTGGCACCTGGAACCACACTCTCAGAAAAGCCTGGTGCAATCCATCGACTGTGTTTGGTCTCGTTACGACGTTATTAAGTCTCCTCTGAATTTCATCCCAAAGTCCGGACTAAGGGCTGGCGAGTGCATAATGTTGACACTGTTCTGCTTAAGAAAGTCCCAAGTAACTCTGGTGGTGTGGGCACGGGCGTTGTCATGCTGGAAAACATTGTTTCGATGATGTGTGAAATGTGATATGATGTGGGGTCTGAGAGCTTGATCGATGTAGCGCAATGCAGTGATGCCGCCTCCTCTCCCTGGAACAAGATTTTGGAACACCACAAGACCCACTCTCTGGTTCAGGCCGATTCCACCCCAAACCATTATGCTTGGACCTTCCCATGAGTCTCATTCCATGACACATTGGTCAAAATAACGCTGGCCACGTCGACGCCATATTCAGTTTCTGCCATCTGCAGTTGATACACAATACCGACTCTCATCTGTGTCGCCAGTTCTTGTGTTTTTGGGCAAACTATTGACGTCAACGTCATCGACGAGGGGAGGATCGGTCCACGGTAAGGTCTACGGCAATGGATGTTCTCTCTGGTGAGACACTGACGCACTGTATCGGTACTGTGTTCCCAATGTCTGACGTGCTGTCTCAGATGCCTGTGTGAAGGGATTCTGCATGTGCTGTCGCACAACATGGTAGTGTTGTCGCCTTGTGGTGATCTTTGGTCTACCAGTTCGGGGGTGATCATCTGTGGTGTTGGTGGCCCGAAAGTGTTGCTGTAGATGGTCCAAACATTGACCTGGAAGTGATTGGCAATGGCTTGGGCAGTGTGGCCAGTGTCGAGTCTTCCAACCGCCTTATTCCTCTGAGTTATTGTGAGTCGTGGTGACGTTGTAGTGTGAATGATTCAATCAGGTAGGGGGGTGCATTTTATAGGGCTGGTCCCGGTGAACAGCATGTGCAGCATGAGTTACATGAAAATCACGGAGAACATATTATCATCTCAGAAGTCAGGCTGCGTTTTTGAGAACATTTCCTGGGTTCAATTCTGTGTTTGGGAAGGAGCCTTATTGCTCAGGTAAAGTTGGAGATGTGGTCACAAATATACAATTAAACATTTGGCAAGTTTTATGCAATGCGTCTATTCAGAGTAACATACCACCTGTTGTTTCTTTTGCTGTTTAGTATATATTATATATACCATATGGAATATTTTAAGGTGAAATCGATTTTACTCAACCAAATAGATAACATTAGCTTAGTGTAAGATTGCTCAGATTTCACCGGGAATAGGCCAAACCAAATTCGATGGATCAGACAGTAAACAATTTATTGTTACACTTCCATATAGTTATATTCTAGGCCTTGTATAATTACGGTACCGGTACTATCAAAATCAATAAATTGGGTAAAAAAACACAAAACTCATACTTACCAACTGATACAAATACGACCAGAATTCCCACAAGAATTCCAATTACTGTAGGATCTTGTGTTTCAATCCCGTCAGTAAAATATGCCAAAACTTCCTCCATCGTGTTACTGTTAGCCATGTTTGCAATCGTCCCTGCTCTTGCGGTGTGCTTCCGCTTCGATTATTGTTTACGATCCACGACTCTTACACGTTTCGGATTAAAGGGAGATAACTACATTTTTCAAACGGATGTAGACCACCAATTGTCCCCTATCTCACTAAAACACTCCTATTTCGTTTCCTTTTTTGTATACCGTAGTTCAAAATTTCGTTTTACTTGTCTCAACTACACTAGGATCTGGAAGAGTTGTTATATTACCGGCGTTTTGGTTGAAGTGAGGGATAAGCCAATGAAACGGACTGTTACGGCGACTTCTTGGCGTACCATGCACGGAACTGTGGGTAAACCACTAGAAACGTCAACGCTGATTGATTAATCAATATCTGACGTCATAGGGTCAAAAGCCGCTCGTTCGACCCCCGATACGACCTTATAGTACAACTGGTCAGATCTTCATGTAGTGTATAGGCCATCGGAAGTATAAAAAAAAACCGAAACGAAATAGATCTGTATTTTAATCAGATTTTCTCTTCATGGTTTAGAGGTTGTTTACGGTGATACGTAGGGCAGTAGCGGATCTAGAAGTTCGTGTCACACAATGATTGTTATTGATTTCCAATTTCCTGACATTTTATGTCATTGCTGAGAGCAAATTCTTGTGAACAAGAGGATCAGAAATGGGACATATAATCTCGAGATCTGCCTGTCAATTCAGCCTGTTTTGTCAGAGTTGACAGTGCATTCGATTTAAGCAGCTACCGTTACATCCAGTGCCCAAAGTTCGCAAGATGTGTTATGTGATCACATATCTTTAGACACAAGTACAATACTTACACAGTGGCAGGGTCTATTTTAAGGTTTTATTGACGAAGCACGGTTTCCGGACATGAAGGTTTAGTGGTGGGTATTAATCTCTACCCCCCCCCCCCCCACTTGAATTCAGACAAAAACTCACGATTTCCCACACAGAACTTGATATGTTCAATTTGGCTTCTTCCGTCGCCTATATCAGCTCAACTATGTCAGAATAAACCTTCTGAAATCGTGACCAATTAGTCGTGACCAAAACAAAGGCTCACCAGAAGTGGAATAATAACTTCCTGAATTATCACCAAGCTTACACTTTTATAACCAAACAAGCGGCTGCCATACAGGATACACCGAGATTTTGTAAGAAATGGACAGGAACTGGGAAAATTGATAGGGCTCAGTTCTACTTCCATTTCATCGCTTGGAGCGAAACGTGTGTATTTTCCGGGCCATAAATCGGTTGGGGTATAGCCTACATAGCCGTAGACCTACCTCACTGAAACATATACTGCAGTAATATAACAAGTTAAAAATCCAAATACAAAGCTATGGTGCGTTCAGATCACAGCTGTTCATTTAAGGCCCCTAGAGACATTAGGGCCAGGGCAGGACAGGGCAGTTCCAGACATCTAGTCTCTATTGTATGTATTGTATGTAGTTCGATTACAATGACAACAAAATTCATTGCTTTGCATTGTGCATGTTTAGAGCTGAAAGAATTTGAATTATTAAAGGTATCTTCGCTAGTTAGTAGTACAGAGTCGAAAGTGAGGTGCATATCAATGAGATCAAATTGTGGTACCGCACCCACTTTTTTGTTAACTTTTATCTGTAAATACTCTACAGGTTGCAATAATTAACAGATTTTGTTCAAATTCAGCATATCAATCATTCCAATAACAGGGTGGTACCTATTAATACTGTTTCATATCCAACCCCCAGGGGCAGAGCCACACACAGTTTTTGTATTTATCGTCTGAATGGATCATCTTGGAACTTTGCATAGTTATTCCTTATACCGTAAAGACAGCAACTATTTATTTTGGGCATGCCCCAACCCCCTGCCATGGGATGGTGTCACACCCACTGTTTTGTTAATATTTTTCTCTGTAAATTTGGTAACACAAATCCAACGCCTAGCCTTCTTTGCCTCTTGTCATATTACAGCCATTTCATATTTCATTCTCTTCATTTTAAAAAGGACCATACCAAACAAAGCAGGGATGTGGACGTATATTGCAGCGTTAGCGATTCTCTCGTTAAATTTTTATTATCAACAAGATTTGAAATAAATACAAAACGTTTATATGTACAAAATATAATGTAAGAATGTAAAGTATTATAGTATGAACAATCTGTATTGACTAACTAAAGTAATGATAGCTTGTTATTTATCACAATATAAACTCACATAATGAAATTGTATAATATCTTTAATCAGAATGGATTCATCTATATAGTTAGATATTAGTACCTCTAAATGGCTATTGTTACATTAATAATGATTTTTAATTAATTGCACATATTCCATCTTTACCGGAAAGAAGTGACGTGCAGAGGTTTGGGGATGCCGGAGACCAACTCGCTGATTGCATGCTCCCATTACTCAAGTATATAGCGTAGTACTCAGAAGACATTTTGGATATACAAAAACAGATATATAAACTGTTTATTGAAACGAAGTTTATACAACAACGTTAACATGAAAATGTTAAAATTTAAAAAAAAACTTGGTTTAATTTCAATCTTTGATTGGATATCCCCCCCCCCCCCGCCTCTTCAAAATAAATGAATGGGCGGGGTCGTCGCAACTGTATATTATGTAGAACCTTTCTTTTGACAATCTAAAGTATATAGTGGTTAGATCTTGTAGTAAATATTTAGACAATTTTAGTTAAATGTAATCCTTCAGTTTATTCGGAATACCAGCTTTCCTGAGAAAAACATAGCCAAATTTCGTACATGAACTCTTTTCAGGATATAATATGAATATACCATTTAATAGCTATTGTTTTTTTTCTGTTACGATTATTATGTGAATAGGTGTATCTTTTCCCGAAAGTCTTTTGTCGGAAAATTTATTTTGTTCATGATCCAAAATTGTATATTATGTAGAACCCTGATCTTCGTAATCTATGCAATCTTTTAGATCTGTTGGTAAATATTTAGACATTGATTGTAAACTGTAATCTATCAGCTGATTCTGGATATCAACTCTCCTGGAAGAAAATATAGATATTTCGTGAATCTGAGATCAACAACGCTGATGACATTATCACCTTCGGTTACAACTTGCGATAATCTCAACGGTGACAATGTTCCATTGTCAGTTTGGAACGTTCCGAACTGACAAAAGTGCAATGGTATCAACCGAAATTATCACACACATCGAACATGTTTCAGCAGTCACCTAAACAAGCTCTTGTGGGATGGAAAAGCCTGAGGCGAAAATTTATGCCTATAGTCTATTATGTACTGTTCTATTATTATAAGAGGGGCATAATCAGATTTTGGCGCAAGTAAGTCGTATGAAACCTCTTCTCACTCGATACGTTAAAAGTGGGAGAGGAACAGGCCCAGGTTTCACAAAGCATTCTTAGACTTAAGTTAAGATTTTATGTTTATGAGAAATATCTTTGATCCAGAAACACAAAACTTTGCGCATAGTTTCTTATTGATATATTAGATACATTAAAACGAGGCTATATTTTAGTTAAATCAACTTAAATCTGAGAATGTTTTGTGAAACCGAGGCTAGTCTGTTCTATAACACAATATCAACTTTGTTCGTCAACTGATTTTAACAAGACCGCTTCCACCACAAAATTAGGAGGTGGTGATGAAATGCTTCCACAGTTTTAACTTTCGACATAGAAATGATTGATCAAAACTAGCCACCTGAAAAATTTCCTTCTTTTATTTTTAAAAAAGGTCGATTTTATTGTCCGATAGCGCCTTAAATCACTCACCCACCGATGTTTTTAGGATCGCGTTATTCTTGAAAGAGACTTTCATGTTTCCAAGCTCCCGAGGTTGTTCTTGGTTGAGAGAATTTAATTCCGGAAAGTTCAACCGAATATCCCCGACAATAAGTTTACCAACCAAAACAAATGTGTCCGATTTTTTTCTTTGAAAAAGAATATGGAGAGCGGTAATTCCAAAAAGAACCCCAAACATACTTTGCATAAGATGTAGTTGAGGTTGTTTTACAATCTTTTATATATACACCAGTTACACCTTTAAACTCGGGGTCTGTAGCAGCCTTGATAATAGTTGCAGCCCCATCTAGTGGAGTTCTAGGATAAACTGATAAAAAAAACAACACTCAGATTAATGGTTATAATTACAAACAAGACAGTAAACGTTGATTTTGGTTTTGGAATGTCAATAATGAAGTACATCTTAGGTTATTTTGTATATTATATAAATTGGAATATCTTTTAAATCTAAGGCCTCCCCAGAGATTGTCAGCTATGCGTTGTTTGCTATGTGGCCAAAAACATATCGCCGACAACCTATTATACTTCGGATTGTTATATAAACAATATTTTATATATTGACAAGGATTAGGGAACAAGCTTTAAACAGGCCCACTTTAGTATCAGTGAACGTGAACTCCAAGGCACAGTGCCCAACGCCGAAGAAACTTCAGTGTTGATAAATGAATTTAGTCAAGGGCTGAGATTTTAACCCATCGAGCCGTGTGTGAAGTAACGTTATTTAACGTCCGCTTTCTTATCGAAGTGATGTCGCTGACAAACAAATAACGCTTGTTTTAAGTTGTCTAACATACCTGGGGGTAAACGAGCACCATGTGGAGAGGTATACGGTGACTAGAAACCCCCATTTAGATCGTCGTAACGCGAAAATCGCCGTTAAACTAGCTCGATTAAAAGGAGGGGGCTATTCATTATAAACTTACAATTACTTAGCAGACGACCTATTGCCGTGGCATATAACAGTCGAGTGTTAACAATACCCGGATAACAGGAAGTGATTGATACAGTGGGGTATTTTAAATGTCGACTCAACCACAATGTAGACATAATCTGAAGAACAATATAATATAAGTAATTTAATCTAGTACGTATGCTTTGTCAGGTTTGAACAATAGGCATAACATATTAGTAAGGTCTGCAGTCTAAATTAAAACGATAGCTGAAATGGAAGTAATCCCCCATCCGTGGTTATATATTATGTTCTATATATTAATAATTTCTCTATCTTATATTTAAATCTTGCGACAAGGAGATATTGCATGTATATAATGAGCCTTTAAAGTCGACACTTCCACATTCCTTAGATCATGCAAAATTTGAAGAGGTATACCATATAATCAGCATTACTAAAAAATATTATATAACTATAAAACATCTAGATTTGCCTCTTCAAAGTGCCCATGTGGAAAATGTCTAAATTTTACACATTTTAATTTGAATTTCATTAAAACAAATCTGAATGCGCACTACGCAAGCAGCATACATACAAAGTCTGGTTGAAATCCATAAGTGGTTAGGATGGAAGGTATAAATTGTGCAAAAATATCTAAAAATTCCTATATTAAGATGCCGTCTCAATTTATAGAATATGGCGAGTATTTTTGAGGCAGATCTCCATTAAGTTGCACCATCTTGAAACCCCATCCTCTCTCCATTTTCTCCCCCTTTGCATGGCCAATTAGGTTAATAATCCAAGAAGATGGTTTGACTTTTCTGTCATGTTTTGATTCATATTCATTGTTTAGAGGCGGAAGGGCAACATATCTATGGTTTGGTTACGATGATGTGTGCGGCGGATATGTTTATAGTATGCTATAACTTCACTCGAAATTGCAGGTCAAATCCATATTGTAATTCAAATAAAATATACCATTTCGTCAAAAGCTTTTACGTACTGAATAATTAAGTAGTTGGCCAGTGAACAGTTACGGTCTATGCATCTGTAAAGATGACGGATGCCGGACCCAAAGCAATCTGTTTATCAAATGAATGTATTTACCTGAAATAGTTTTGAATTCCCGTAGATACCCACTTTACCGAAAGAACGTTCACAATTTAAATTTGTAGGGTCAAATGTTCCCATATAATAAGCGTCTGAAGACACATTGACGATTCTAGCATCGTCACCAGATTTTTGTAGAATTGGTAGAAAATGTAGAGTAATCAGAAGATGCGACAAATAGTTGGACTGTAACATCATTTCATATCCATCATCTGTCATTTCTACAAAATACATATAATTAAAATACTGTAAGATCATATATTCATCCTCTGTCATTTCTATATTATACATATAACAATTACAATACTGTAACATAATTTCAAATCAAACATCTATCATTTCTACAATATACATTATAACAATTAAACTGTAACACCATTCTATATCCATCATCTTTTATTCCTATAATATACAAATAAATAACAATAAAATACTGTAATATCATTTCATGGGGTATACAATTTCTAAATTACTTAACACAGATATTAAAGGTGTATGAGAGAGGGCTGTGCAGCATGAACTTTCCGTACCCACCCATACCCCTTCAGATGATATTTTTAGCTGCCGCTTTTTTTTCTCCTCGGAAGGACAGACGGGTATACATAGTTTCAAGGAAGTGTGTTAGTGTGTTAGATTTGGATCCGTCAGTTTTCTGATTGGGTATGCATGGAAAAGACTTCAAGAAAAAAGCTTTCTAAAATGTTTCATTTAAATCCGTCTACTAATTTTATTGTATACTAAAGCTTTTCTAAAAACACAGACATACCAATTCCAGAAATCAGACACAGCACGAAAACTGTGACAAGTACATGCTTGTCTGTATTGATATTAGTAACGTACGCTTCAGGTCTAAATGAAATAAGTGGCAAATTTTTAAAACCAGTCGTGTACCAAATAGTACCCCCCTTTATCTGAGATTTATAATTTATCGATTGACTTGAAGGGCAATACATGTATATGCTAATGTGTAAGTCAGAATCACTATGTATAAGTTAGATTCAAATTTTGCTTGAAATTAAAAAGTTTCTTTCTTTACATATGGTATCGAAACCACACCAGTTGACTCAATGACAGACCTTATGATACAGCGCGCACGTGCTAACCATTCGCCCCCCCCCTCCTCAAATTTAAAAGAACCTTTGACTTGGAAATCAACGAAGAGCTGGCCGTCCTCATTAAGCCGGTTGATACCACATGCCATTCCATTTCTATTACTCGCTGAAAAACAACCCGATTCAGAAAGCATGAAGAGCACCCATCTGAGTTATAAACGCGTCTGTGCAGACACAAAGTGGTTGGATAGTCTCCAACTCTATCGGACAACTCAGCGATATCGGCGTTAGTATTCCTTTAAAAAGGGGTAGATAGTTTCCAGGGGTTAGACTATCATTGAAATATATCTGGTATTTGTAACCCAAAAAGAAAACTCCAATATTGATCTACACCACATATTAGATATAATATAAAGATCCTGCATACGCCCAGATCTTCAAATAACAAAAAACCGTATTTTCTGTCGCACATAAAATACTCTCTTCTACAACATCAGCTTTCATTCAATTGTCATGCCAAGAATACTTCAGAAAAATCAATTAAATGTCTTATCTGTATATGAAATCGAAATTATCTTATAATACATACAAATTATTGAGAGTAAATTAAGATAATCTAATAGCCTTTGAAAACGGGGTATTCTAAAATGAATTACCTTTACTGGCAGTAACCACTCCTGCATTACAAATCAGAACATGTAAAGGACAGTTTCTGGTTTTAAATTCTTCTATAAATTTCATTGTTTTATCAAAAGATGCTAAATCTAATTCCATCATTTCAACATTCAATAGTTTTGGTTCTGTTCTGTTTGTTTCCTGAACATTTTCTTGTTTTTCTTTCAATTCTTTCTCGTATTCTTCCTGCATCTGATTGATAGCCTACAGGTATTTAGAACGTAATTGCTCATTAACTTTTGAAAGCATGAAGAAGTAATATTTCTCCTGCTTATTTAGGATTAAAGCGGCTTGGCCCGACCGAGATCACCACACAATACCCGTTGATATATTATGTAGATCTGGAGACTTAATCACGAAATATTATACTAAACTTCATTACGAATGTTGGGGTGCTTTTGAAATCTTTAAAAATTATGTCTCTTAATTTGAGCAATCCAAACTAGAATGAAGAAGGTTCTCGGAGATTATTCTATGACACACAAAAAAGACAACACAGTAGATAGCATAAGGTTCATCAAATGGACACGATTAACAAATTTTCGCAGTTCATTTAATATAATTTATATCTTACCGCTTCAGCTTTGCTCATATTCCTACAGGCAATAATAACACGACCGCCCATTTTAGCAATTTCTTTAGCAATGCAAAATCCAATACCTGCAAAGGACATATTTTTCAAGCTACGGTTAAGAACATTACTAGTTGATTAACCTTTGCGACATCAATTAATAACAATTATGGTGGATTTGTTTCATCAGTCGGTTGTCGAAAAATACCAAAAAACTTAAAACAATACCTTTCCTTTCACATAAACCTGATTACTCTAATCGAACATTGCAGACCCAAGACTGTATTTTGATTTATGGATGGAATCGATTGATTTTTGCTTTTTATTCAGGTAATACGGTAAGTACGGATACCTAACCCATGGGTGCTGTACATTGATCAACTATCTACTGTCCCAGCTACATGGATGGCGTATTATCATGACGAGGTAACCGTGGGTACGTTACTTTAGTGTGATGGATGGAAAGTACTTGTAAATATAAATATAATCTTTGATAATTATAAAAGACCCGTTCTGTTGCAGTTTTGTAACCCGTGTTGTAGAGACGGTATGAATTACCTCTCGTGTTGACCGATCGCAAGTTAACATTGGACATAGACTAATTCTGTGGGAGCCGCGGTGGCTTAGTGAGTAAGACCTCGGTTCTAAACTTGAGGTTCCGTGTTCGATCCCGGTGTTGGCCGAGAAAGGTTATCGGGATTTTCGGCGTGTGTCCCCTTGTCAATAATGCGGGACAGAGCCTGACAAGGGACTACGTAAGAAACGAAAAACTGAGGTCCCATGGCTGTTGGAATTCGATATAAGAGTAGGCGGGCAAAATTTTCACTCATAGGACACTCTATGGCGTATGCCCGTATTCATTAGCCCAATCGGAGCAGAACAGCAGGACATTAAACCGCATTCCATTTCATTTCATTCCCGTAACCCTGTTATTATCAAGGTAATAAGTACCTACTTACCTGTATTTCCACCTGTGACTATATATGTTCGTTCAGGTGATATCACAACTTGTGGATATGAAAGATCGGCTCCCATTTTTTTATTCACAAGATAAAGAATTTTAATTTAAAGGTGGAGAACATCGAATTCGATCCTAAAGAAGAAAAGGGTTTGATGAAAGAGGCCATTTGGAATCTGCCCGGTTCGTAGATTCATATCCGATCTGTAGTTTGGATTTGGAAAACTTTACAATGGATTCCGAACCTGGATATACATGTAATCTAAATTCCGATTCGTGACTATTAAACACCTACTTTTAGTCAGGTCGCCAAGTGCACGTTCGATAAAAGACACTTTTGTGAAGCATATACGTGTATTTCACCTCTGTATTCGATAACCTGAATGTAGATTTGAAATTGAAGAGACAAATTACTGTATTCTAAATTACTTGATGTTGAACTGGTTTGCCCTGTTGACTTTTTTGCACCACTGTACTTTTACCAACGTAAAAAATAAAAATAAATAAAAAAATAAATCAAACTGTATTATAAACTGGTGTTTTGGTGTTTATATTCCATTACATAACCGTTTCATTATAGATTCCCTGTAATAATATCCATATCTATACTCGGGATTATTGTTTGGATGGCTGTGTGGTTGTCTGTATGTGGTGGGCTACACTAAGGTATAAGGGCACCTCGAGCACGTTGCACTATCACTTCCAGTTTCTTCCGGTAAGGGTGTGATCTGTTATCTATGTGATGCCATTAACTTTCTTTTGTTTTATTTTTTTATTGGTAATATAAAGAAATGCATATCAACCATTATTGGGTCACGTGGAGCGGGTGGTGGGGGCAGTGGTCGTATATAACCACCTATAACTAGATTAATAAAGCCTATATCTTCCACTGAAACGGGGTAATCCGTATTCAAGAGGTCAAAGCCTCCTGAATAAGGTGTCCCGGGTTCGTAAAGTGGGGGGGGGGGGACAAAGAAAGTGTACTCTGTCCTTCATTGGCATGTACGTTAAGGAAACTTGACACTTCATAACCGCGTTTAAGAAATAATAATAACTATATCAAAAACAATAAAACAGAAATGCAAACACTTACTTTCATAGAATTATCAATTTCATTGTTGTATCTCTTATTTCGCTCAATGACTGGGTATCTATTTATAAATTGTAGACTCATATTATGTTGTCATAATGTACGATAAAGAGCAAGGTTATCTTACACTATTTGCGCACGAGCGGCGGCCATTTTGTCTGGGAGTTTTGGTCCAATTTTCACGAAATTCGAACTCACCTCTATCGTTATGGTGTAACGGTGATTTAATTGAACGGTTTTTGTAAATCGGATAAAAATTGTGATCTCTAGAGGATCTAGAGGGTCCACAAGCTAAAAGCGCGGTTTTTCGTGCAATCAGGGGCATAATCGAAGAAGTTACGGTCCAATATGGCTAATAAACATACATTTTAACTTTTATCAAAATCGGATAAAAATTGGGACCATAATCAGGGGCGAAATTCCATGAACTTACGGTCCGATACATGCTATTATCGAAAGGAACCGCGATCTTTGGGATATAAACCTATATTTCAAGTTTCTTCAAAATCCATAAAAATTCTGACCTGTGTAGTGGCCATAAACAAATTGTGTATTATTAACTGAACTGGAGTATAAAGGCTACCAATTCTATGGAATACAGTTACTGCTTATTACTGAGCGACGTTTCGACTAGGCATCTCTAGTCATTATCAAACTAGAGAGGCCTAGTCGAAACGTCGCTCAGTAATAAGCAGTAATTGTATTCCATAGAATTGTGACCTGTATTAACAAATTGTGGACGGACGGACAGACGGGCGGACGTCCGGAGGTCCAGACGAACAGGCAGGGCCGACGACAATATACGTCCCCTTGAAAATGTGGGCGTATAATAAAATGTTACAAATGAAATGGCATAATCTTTAAGTGGCATTTAGCGATTGGAAAACACATTAATAGAACACAATTTTTATGGGAAACAATCACTGGTTTATTCTAAAAGCACGACGTTTCGACAAGTATCCTCTTATCGTTATCATTGTGCTTGATAACGATAAGAGGATACTTGTCGAAACGTCGTGCTTTTAGAATAAACCAGTGATTGTTTCCCATAAAAAATTGTGTTCTATTAAATGAAATGGCAGTTGCAACAAAAAACATTCAACGATTTGATTAATAACGACACCAAGACATCTTTGCTGGAAATATGTGATATTTATAAACAGGATTCACATGGTTTTATTTACGCCTGGTATATCTGTCCAGCCAGAGGTGGTACTGAATAGGACAACACCCAGTGACTAACACAAGTACAATAATATTGATACACAATTACTTAGTTTAAAACTTTGCGACGTTTCCAGGAGGATACCCTCGTTGTTATCAAGCAAATGATACAAATATGTGAAAAGTTGACAAATATATACAGAATATGCGAAAAGTTAACAAATATATCCAGAATATGTGAAAAGTTGACAAATATATCCAGAATATGTGAATAGTTGGCAAATATATACAGAATATGTGAATAGTTGACAAATATATCCTGAATATGTGAATAGTTGACAAATATATACAGAATAATTATGTGAACAGTTGACAAACAGAGCATGCAACGAAAGTAAGAATGAAATACAATCTTGGGACTTGTGCTCTTTTATTAGCCCAGTCGTAGCTGAACAGTAGGACGTTAAACCCCACCTCCTTTCATTTGCTTACTTTTATTACATCCAGGGGACTCCCCAGTCACTAGTCTCTATTATTCAGCCTATAAAACTCCTCGTTCAAGATTTCGTATCTTACACCATCCTCGGTTACCCAGTGTACTCATTCCGTTCTACTCCACTATACCCTGGGTTAATCCATAGGGTTTCCACGATTTCAAATTATCTGCCCTGGCCTAGAATGTAGCTACAGTCTACGAACCAATCAGAAAACAGTTTACAAACCAATCGTTTCGCCTTCGTTTTATAAGGGTAGATAACCATATTCATGTCCATTTACTGAATGATTTATGTTAATAACGTATATATTTATAATTTATCTATATTTAATTGTATTATCGAAATCTGTAGTATGTGTTGTTGATTTCAAATATGTATAACATCTATATGTTTGACTTTTGTTATTATTATTACTATTCGTTCTTTGTCTGAAATATGTCATTCTGTTTTGTTTATTATTATTGAGCCTATACTTGGCAATTTGATTCACACTAATGTGTCAACGATATCACGTAGACATAAAATTCCGGGAACGGACGATTCTAAATAAAACTAATGACCCTACATTATCATATGAACGTCTGATCTTCATTAACATGATATATAATTGGTTGTTAATAATTACGCATTTAGAATAGGCCAACGCCTAACATTGTCCGATGATTGTTACTTCCCTTTGCCAACTTCCTTTTCCAAAAACTTGAAAACGTGTCTCTCCCATAGATTAACCCAGGGTATAGTGGAGTAGAACGGAATGAGTACACTGGGTAACCGAGGATGATTTTACACGTAATCATACTACCTGTGTTAATCCGCTACTGATTGGTTTTAGTAATATCCAGGTTCACGACACTCGCCGCCTTTGATTTTTAGTTGTTTTTGTTCAAAGCATGAGGTCCCGTAAATTGTCAGCCGCACTCGATATACAAATACACCGCGATGTTTCATTAACTCCAACACACGCAGCGTTTCGAAAGAGGATAACAACTTGTTTAACGGTACAAGCTATATTTGTGCATGTAGATTATGTAGAACCTTGATCTTCATAATCTATATAATCTTTTAGATTTTGTGGTAAATATTTAGATAATGTTTCTAAACTGTAATCTATCAGTTGTTTCTCTATCTCAGCACTCCTGAAAATATACAAAAACATTAATACCCAGTATCCCCACGTTATATATTTGCTTATCGTAAAAAATCAAATTAATGCCTGAACGCATGAAAAGGCATGCATTAAATATGTGAGTCTGTACACATATCTTATGAAAATACATTGGGGCCAGTTCCCTATTCTATCATATGCAAAGTATTTAAACATTTTCATAATTTCATTTTGACATGGTCAAAAATCTATTAGAAAATATCTGAAATTGTTTTGATCTGTTTTCATAATGATTGACATCTCACACACGTTACATATTGACGTTAAATAGCAAGTCAGTAATATAAAATCAATAATTTGGACAAAACCTAGGCGGCTATTCTCATAGTAAGGCAAAACGTACAATCCTTTAAAATGAAAGTATCAATAATATATAAAAGGATTGATTACAGGTTATAATTTGAAAGTAAATTAATAATTTTCATGTTTTTGAGGGTCACCAGGTTCATGCTGGAGTCCACAGAAATAGAACTCGTCCACCCATGTAAAACCTCGTGATAAACGTATAATATTCAGTCTGACATTTCAAGGACATTGGGGGTTTACGTATATAAGCATATTAAATGCCAAAATGTATAGATATAGCCCAGGACTATTTATCGTGTTTGAATGTTTTAGTATAACCTATTCGGCACTGATCGTAAAAGATGCTTAACGATGGGATCTGATAACATGACCATCAGTATAGGAATACAAATGCAGTAGTAAGGTTGGAAACTTGTAGCCAATTCATACTAATTACAGTACACACGAAAGGTGTCCGTTTGTATTTCTTTGAAACAATACAACACGGCATCAGATAAATAACTGTACGGGACTATGATACGCGTATATTGGACTCTTTATGCAGAATAAACCAGTTTTATTCATCAAAATATATATTATATAGCTCCTTTAAGACTTACCGCACGTAAGATGTAGTGGAGATTACTTTACAATCTTTTATATATACACCAGTTACACCCTTAAACCCAGGGTCTGTAGCAGCCTTGATAATAGTTGCAGCACCTTCTAGTGGAGTTCTGGCATTAACTGAAAGCGATTTGAAATCATGTTAATACTAAATTCAACATTAATCTACATGTATATAAAACAATGGAACCAATATACAAGAAAATAAAATAATTAATCCTTCTGAAAATGGAGTACATTCAAGCAATCGGATTGAAACGCAGATTCTATTTCGTTTCGCTTTTTATAGTTGAAAAGGTAGTGGAGGCCATTGAAAGCATTAAAAACGAAACGAAATATACATCTGTAATTTAATCAGAATGACAGACAAAATATTATTTATTATTAAAAACGAAACGCAATATAAATCTGTAATTTAATCAGATTGACAGACAAATTATTTTTTGAACATAAATAACCCTTCTCATCTACTGAGTAAAATCAGTGATTTGAAACAAGTGGAATGAATTCCTGACAAAAAACTATCTAGGGACAAAAACCTTTACCTCTAATCAAACTTACATTTGCTAAAAAAACGACCCATAGCAGTAGCCTGTGACAGTTGTGTTTTAACAAGACCAGGATGACAGGAAGTTATCGATACAGCCGTGTCTTTAAAATGTCGACTCAACCACAATGTAGACATAATCTTTTAAAAAAAAAACAACAATAAAACCGATAACAAACAATAAGTAATCTACGTAAAACTGGAATTACAGGTTCGTCGGCCCAGTTTTCAAAAATAGATTCTATAAGGGTAAAAACTGCAATAATTGTTTTTGTGTCTTACTCGTTCAAACAAATCAAAACACATCTTACATTGATTTTTTCTGAACAAATGTTAAAATGCTCCAATCTTGGCTAAGCTAAGGATAAAAACTTTTTAATGAACTAATATCTAAAATCGAACAGATCCATTTGAATAGTCCAAGATGGATACAAACGTATGGGGTTACCTGAAAAAGTTTAGAATTTCCGTAAGTAGCCAGGTTCCCAAATGATCGTTCGCAATTCAAATTTCTGGGGTCAAATTTTCCAAAATGATAAGCATCTGAAGCTACATTGACGATTCTAACATCGTCACCAGATTTCTGTAGAATTGGTAGAAAATGTAGAGTAATAAGAAGATGAGATAAATAGTTGGACTGTAACATCATTTCATATCCATCATCTGTCATTACTGTAATATACAAAATAGTTAACAATTATAAACTGTAACATGATTTCATACCCATCCTCTTTCATTACTGTGATATACAATATAGTTAGAATCTCCTACCAGTTTTTTTTTATATCAAAAAAATAGAAACACAAGTCGATATAGTAAGAACTAACGAGGCTCTGTTGATATTTTTTCATATCAAAAAAGACGAGTAGGAAATTTGATTTATCACCCAATCTTTTCTTACATACAAAAATAAATAAATATAATTCTTTGCTATAGATTTCACTTTTACTGAACCTGATTACATTACGAAGTAGTGATACATCATTTTTTGACAGCAATTCAACCATTGCAAAGTCCTTTATATTAACCCAGTGTTTCCATCAAGGCCAATTAAATAAAAATAGTTCCTTTTTAATAAGAAAGAAGTTACTTTTAATAAAAAATGAACTGTTCTTTGAAAATAAAAAAGTAGTTCATTTTTGATTGACCAATCAAATTCATGTAAAGCGATATCTCCTAAGACGATGTCGCAGTAGATTATGGAATTTATCACACACGCGATATCTACTGTAGAATGTATTATTGAGTGATAAAATAATATAACAATTAAAATACTGTAACCATCTTCTGCCATTTCTACACTTAGATAATAATATATCAATTAAAATACAGTAACGTCATACATGTACCATATATCCATTGTCTCTCATTTCTTTAATACATAACAATACATTCATTCATACATTATACCCCTTCAAAAACGTCATTTGTTTTGAGTTTTGGAGTTATGAATTGCCTCTACAAACCGAACAGATCTAATGGATTTTCTACCATGACCCTAGTTACTTTAGTAACGAAAATATGAGAGCCCTATCTGCTCTCTTCATACAATAATTGAGAAATGCTCCCCTGTACGTATTTTGGTTTTTGGGTTGACCCACTTGTTGTGGGTTTGATTCATTTTAAGTGAAGCTAGTATCATTGCACCCGGGACTGTAAAGTACATTACACGCTTACGGCCGACCCTTGGATCCATCCACTTGGTTTGTTAGTGTCGAGTGTTATGCGTCTAGACTTCGGGGTTAGCCTTTTGCTTTTGAGTTTCTACCTGGATGCTGTGTGGTGCGGTCCTCACGTACGAGTGCAATTAATAGACAACAATGTCAACTTCAAGTGGTGAAAACTTCAGTTAAAATTGATCGACGTGAATGTTTTGAAATAAAATTACCTTTACTGGCAGTTGCTAATCCAGCATTACAAACCAAAACATGTAAAGGACAATGTCTGTCCTTAAATTCTTCTATAAATTTCATTGTTTTATCAAAAGATGCTAAATCTAGTTCCATCATTTCAACATTCAATAGTTTTGGTTCTGTTCTGTTTGATTCCTGAACATTTTCTTGTTTTTCTTTCAATTCTTTCTCGTATTCATCCTGCATCTGTTTGATAGCCTAGAAATCAAACAAACGATTCAAACGCAATAATTAAAATGATTTACAGTTGTCCAGTCTATAAGAACTTTTCTACCCTTAGAGTCCAAGCACTACTGGTTTTGCTGTCCCCCAATTAAAGTACGATCAACATGAAAACTCTGCATGCTTGTTCCTTGGACAAATGCGCATCGATTAACGAACTTCAATTCCAAGATGGCCGCGATGATGTCATACTGTTCCTGGTCAATGGTACGTTCATACATAATATCACTTCCACTTTGGACGCTTCGATAATCCGATGAATGATTTTAAAAGAAGGACTACAGCGAAACCCCATAATACATGATTGAATAATAACTCTTCTGAGGGATTTTCCACATTAATAAAATCATACTTCATAAAGATTTCAAAAGAAGGACTACATCGAAACCCAATAATACATGAGTGAATAATAACTCTTCTGAGAGATTTTCCACATTTAATTTTGTGGAAATTAACTGAACATTTAAAATCATACTTTATAAAGATTTTTCAAATTCAAATTAGTGTGTTGGTACCTTGACTTTGTCAGGGGAACGTGCCAAAATAACTAGCGTTCTAATGACCAGGTAGTAGTGGTAGGTGTAGTGCGTTAAACAGGGCATGCTAACTCATGAGGTACGCCTACTCTGCTCGGTGTTACACCCTTAATTATGCATAAAATGGGTAAATACAGAAATATTTGTATAGTGAAACAGAATACATTGCCACTGAACGGTTAACTTCTGTATTACTGCTAATGATGCACAGGCTATATATGTTTTTTCTACCCAGCTTTACTCATCCAATGACTAAAATTTTTATCATATTATTCGCATCTTACCGCTTCCGCTTTACTCATATTTCTGCAGGCAATAATTACATGGCCGCGCATTTTAGCAATTTCTTTGGCGACATTGAATCCAATACCTGAAAAAGAAATGGTATGTTCGCGGAGTCAGTGTAAGGCAGTGTTATATTCCATTCCTCATTAGTAAACATTGTCGCTGAGTTAAATTTTAGAATAAAGCCGTGGTTTTGGAAATGGACTTATCACACTTATACTATGATTATGAAGTAAACAATTACCTACTTACCAGTATTTCCACCTGTGACTATATACGTTCGTTCAGGTGATATTTCAACTTGTGGATATGAAAGGTCGGCTCCCATTTTTAGAACTTATAATTTATGCAGTTATCACAAAATGTATCGAGTTCCAACCCTGAAGAAGAAAGTGTTAATTAAATTCGTTTTAATCGGGTATGAAACAACGAATCTGTAGCCTAACCGGGAAAACGATCCAAGAACAAGGGTGGGATTTCTGTCATTCAATTGACGATATGATGGCCGAGTATTGAACATTGATAATTCAACTAAAGATGTCGAATCTCAAAAGGGGTTATCTCCACTCCGTCACATATTACTCTCAGATAGTCTATAAATTTAAACACATTCTGAATATTTCTATTTATAGATTGGTTACTTTTACAAACAAATATAATGGCCTAATATGTATATAAGACAGCCTAATCGGAAGCATAAGTTTTCTGCACGGACTGCACAATCCGATCCATCGATGTCCTCATATCAATCGGGTCTGGAAATGTGCTTTAGCTGAACTATATGTAGGGTTCTACTAATCACCGACAATGAACAACAAGATCGTTATTGACCTAAACAAGCTCTTCTCGGCACTCGTGGGTGATTAATAGGACCGGGAAGGATGGCCCTGTGATCAGTACATATCTAGTGCTAATTCTGTCTTAGATCAGTGATGTAATTATCCATAAAAAACAACCATGACCGTTCACAAGTCTAGCTTCTTGTATGGGAAAAGTTAGCAAAGCTGTTATAACTCCTTCAGAAACATAATACATAGTGCGAATTCAAAGGAAAATAAAATAAAACTTCAAATGATCATTACTTAGAGTTGGTTGATTTTAATAATGTATTCATGCTTTTGTTAAGAGTATCTTTGTGCACAATCTTACACTCTATATTTAAATTGAAACCTGACTTACTATTCCACCTGTATTCAAAACTATTGACTCGAAAAGATAAAGATCTATTAGGAATAACACAAAACATCCCATGTTTGTGACAACAGTGTACAGTAACACAATAAAGCACGCTTTATAAATGCCCAATTATACTTTGTACAATCTTTAGCAAGGTACGTTTTTAGATATTTACATAAACTATAGGAGAGAGGTCATATATGCTATGCACGTTCCTCCACCCCATTCAATTTTTGAACAACCTATTGTTTTAAAAAATACAAACTGCAATCGTTATGGCATATAACGTACACAATGTTGGAAAATCGATCTCCAATTTCTTACTTTGTGTTTTAACCTTGTATATAAACACTATCATTTTATTAGCTTAAATTTCGTTGGGGCATTAATGCCTTCATAAACTCTATCTGTTATTGGAATGATACCAACAAGGTGTGACGAGAATCGAGCATGGGTAAGGTTCCGGAACACTTGATACCCCTCGTCGACTAATAATTACCAAAACCTATAAAGGTTACTCACAAACCATATATCTAGTCTTGTAAATATTGTTATATAAATTTTTCCTAAGTAAAATCGCAGATAGAAAATAAAGCACTGTGTCCTGACTTGTTATTTGTATAAAATGGACGACGGCAAAAGTTTTGTAAAATCGTGGTCTGAATCCAAGAAGAATCTCGATTATAATTGTCTTACCTTACAGTTCAGCTCAATGGCTTCATAATTATTGGATTATTGTGCACAATTGAACTGGCGCAGTGAGTTCCATGCTCGTCCTTACCTCTTAACAAATCTTTTATTTCTGAACTAATATCTGTGACTCGACCTGAATGTCACCCGAAAACCACGCTTGACCGAATACATTTAATACAAATCCTTGACATTCTTATGTTAACACATTTAGAGCCATTGAACAAGTAAAGATGTATTAACCCTTTATAAAGGGAATTTCCTGGATTTAGTTTGCTCTGAATTCATTCAAGTGGAAATTGAACTTTTAGTTGCATTATGGATAGTAATGATTGTGTGTTGGAGAAATATCTTCAACAGCTATACGATTCTATGGACCGCTTTCATTTATTATCTTTCTGGAAACTGTTATGTACAAAATAGTTAATCATAATAGAGACGCTTGTGTATCAGAGTAATGTCAAGACTAGATTAAGAATTTTGGGGTTGAATTTATGTCTCAAATATTGGATAAACTGTTGAACATGTATGATGTTACTGTATAGTCAAATCATGTCAAATTGACAATTAGTTTGTATCAACCGCTCTAAACTGCTAAAGCCTCTTTAAGTTACGCATCGCTACCTCTGAAACAAGAATGTTTCATACGAAGTAAACAATATTAAATAGATTTATAATAAAGGTCAGCACACACCTCGGCTCGTGTGTCATTTGGAGTCCGATTTCTTGTTATTAGTTATCCGTAGAGCTACAAAACAAGTTAAGTGTTGATTTTTCGTTTGGGGTGGGTGGCTGTGTGTGTGTTTGCGTGAGGAATGGTTAGCACGTGTGCGTTGTATCATAAGGTCTGTCATTAAATCAACTGGCGTGGTTTCGATTCCCCGGTTGTACGTGACAAGATCCCAACGCGCAAGCGAATGATTGAAATAAAATTGAACTATATGTTAGTCCCGAAATGACCTAGTTTGTGTTGAGTGGGCGTTAAACCCAATCTCTCTCTCTCTCTCTCTCTCTTTCCCTCTCTCTCGATTTTTCGTTGTTGGCGATGATATTTTGAACGGTATCTTGCATGAAGATCTAGCATTAATGTGATGTTCATTATTCTAATTGGTGTTGAGTGCAACTGTAGCCTAAGGTATTGTGAACATTTACCAATGCATGTTAGGCCAAAGAATGGAATAGTGTTTTGCGCCTCACTCTCATCACTACACTACTTTTAAGACTAAAATCTATAGTAATCTTTATGTTACGTTTGCAATGCGAAGTACAATTTTGTCCAAACATGGCAACTGTCAACAGTTTCTTCACCTGCATGAAAATGTACACTTTCCTTGCCAACGCCCACACACAAGAAGTCGATGTCAGCCAAATGGTTCCAGTGGCCATGATATATACCCTCCCAAATTCGATGGTTTCATAATTTAGACAATCATCACCGATTAGGCTACCCTATTAGACCCACGTTAATATACTATACTATTCAAAAAAAGTAGGGGATATTTGATTTTGGGGGCATAATACTAAAATATGCAAATGACTACGAAAAAAGTCACTATAGAACCTAACAGAAGAAACATTTCCAGTTACATGTGACGCCCAAACGCACCAATAGCTACCGCATGGAATGCAGGTGATGCTTGGGATCATCATGGGGGTCCAACCCAAGATTTGCACGACTCTGACTTTGAATGTTACAGTCATTGTGGCATTGAATTCCCGGGTGGAAACATCAGTTTAATTGTTTTAGTGACCAGAAAACAAATTTTGATATGCGTCGGCTTACCCAAAATGAAAGGTTACGTGCCCTTGGCATGCTACAGATCGGCACAACACAGGCGGTTGTGGCGCGGACGATGAATGTTTCTCAGTCTGTCATAAGCAGGCTATGGTCCAGATACCGTGATACACAATCTGTACAGGACAGACCACGCTCAGGTCGACCAAGGGCGACAACTCAAGCCCAGGATCGATTTATCCGTACCTTGGCCTTGAGAAATCGTGTCATCACAGCAAATCAGATCAGCGCTCGTCTTCAAACAGACACTGGTGTGAGAGTGAGTGGCCAGACGATTCGGAATCGACTGCATAGGGGCCACCTTCGCGCCCGACGTCCTCGCGTGATCCCTTGTTTGAGAGATCATCACATTCAGGCAAGACGTCGTTGGTGTAGGGATCGTCAACACTGGGATAATCGACGCTGGAGCAATGTGATGTTTTCAGATGAGTCAAGGTTCACTGTTGATTTTTTGGACAGACGTAGGAGGGTGTGGCGTCGTCGAAACGAGCGCTTCCAAGACGTTAACGTCATCAGACATGATCGATTTGGGGGTGGTTCTGTTATGGTGTGGGGAGGCATCACTGTTGCTGGAAGAACGGCTTTACATGTTGTTGCAGGGCGTGTTACAGGCCAGTACTACCGGGACAACATCTTGGCAGTCCATGTTGTGCCGTTCGCACGACGTCATGGCCGCCGTTTCATCTTCCAGGATGACAACGCAAGATGTCACAGGGCCAGGATCGTTACAGGTTACCTCCAACAACAGAACATCACCACATTACCTTGGCCAGCACTGAGTCCCGACCTCTCCCCCATCGAGCATGTCTGGGACATGCTTGGACAGAGGTTACGTCAACGTCAACAACGTTCTGCCAATGTCCAAGAACTTGCTGCTGCGTTGCAACAGGAATGGGACAATCTGGACCAAAATGACCTTAGACGTCTCATTAGGAGTATGCCACGTCGGATCAATGCTTGTTTGGCAAACAGAGGAGGATTTACCCGTTACTGACTTGGTTGTGATGCTGTGGTAACTTTGCTGTTTGACCCCGGGTATCATTTTACCCTTATAATGGTCAGTCTGTGCCTTACTTAGTCTAACGATCATTTGGAATAAATCGATGAATGTGAACTTCATTTCATTTTGTCATTTGTTTCTTCGTCAGTTTCATTAGGTGACTTTAATAACACTTAAAAATCAAATATCCCCTACTTTTTTTGAATAGTATATATTCGTCCCATATTTTAACGACAAATCATAAAGAAGTGAGATACTTTGAAAACCATAAAATGTACTGTAATGACGTTTGTAACGAGGTCGGATATGTCCACAGCGAGGGCGTAATTAATGATAATAGGTGCTGAAGATTGCGATTTACAATATCATATGTTTTCAATTGTATCATATCCGAACGACTAGACGTTGTTCCCTGCAAGACCCTCCGTCCTGCACCACTGACAAGTGGAACATTTTAAGAACTTTTTCGGCCAATGTCTAGACCACTGAGCCCCCGTGGCTCTCAAGTATCAAATGGACCGGGCGGGGTGGTGGGGGGGGGGGGCAGATCGTACAAATTTAAACCTAAAAGGTTTGTGTTAAAACAAAAACTAATTAAGCCACCTACTATATTCTAACAAGATCCGATAAATAAATAACCAAATTATAAAGATTAATGGACAAGACAAGCAATATCCAAAACAGATTTGTTCAAATTTGTTACACTCGTTATATACATTATTATAATATCAACAACATCCTAAAATACAAATATGAATGCTAAAGACTAAAGCATGTTTAATATGTAGTTTGTTACGATTCAATTACTAAATCCCACTCCAAGAAGAAAACATTATGGATGGCTTTTCTCGCGTACTCTGATACAAGTTATGTCCTGAAATACCACTTACTCTCCCTGTCCTTAGGCAAGCCGAACATATTCGGTTAATGTTAGCTGTTCAGTTATCCCAGGTCCCATAGAGGAGGCTGGGGGGGGGGGGCATATATTCCCGGGGGCGGCAAATTATCTAAGTGCATACCCTAAATCCCCTTTGAATATTTATGGACTATAGCTGCGATAGCACATCAACAGCCCCCGCTTCCCCTAAACCATGGTAAACCATATTTCAGCAAATAGAAAGGGAAGAATTATGATTTTTCCAAGATATAGGGTCAACTTTGCCGATGTCACATTTGATATCTTGTCTATCGTCACAGATTATCGACTGGTGGTTAATATATAGGAGGAGGGTTGAGGGTCCATGGAAGATAATATAAACTAAAACATGTACTTATAATAATGAACACCAGCTACTTGGGTGACGTTTCGAAGAGTATTCTCTCAGCGTTATCATTTTGTTTGATAACGTTGACCGAATATTCATCGTATGTGTTTAATTATAGTTCATTTTATAAGTATAGTTCTGTTACCCCAGGTAGTATAGTTTATTACGTTATCCGTTTACCGACGTTAAATTGTGGTGGGGGGCTCAATTCAACAGATGGAACTCAAACATAGAAACACAAAGTTAAAGAGTGGAGACAGGTCAATTAAAACTACATATCAACGTACTCTTTAATATCTTGAGGTAGATAATTTTCTAGAACTTGAAAACTGTAAGCCATCAACTTATCTTGATTCTCTACATTCCTGAAATAATAACAAATATTATGAAATATATGAGTCTTACTGGTGAATGATATCACAATTCTTATCAAAATTTGAGTAGTTCACATAGCTATTAATAATCTTTTAACCCTTATCAATTAATTTTGCTGGGATATGGTCGCCAAATCTTCATATAATTCCAGCTGTCTAGGGTTCCTTTACGTATACATCACAACGTGTACAAGAAATCCTGGTATTTGGTCCCGGCCATGTCCCCCGCCTTGCACCACAGTCAAGGGAAACCAGGCTGGAAAATCCCATGGATCGAACCCGGTAGTGACATCAAAACTTACATTGAATAAGAAGATGTTGCTTTTATTTTACAATCAGCTAAATATAAACCGGTTTGTGCCTTTAAAGATGGATCTATGGCAGCTTTAATTATTGTTGAAGCACCATCATTAGGATTGCGTGAAGCAACTGAAACAAAGGAAGTAAAAATAATATGTTTAAATACTAAACAGAAAGGTGAACATTAGGTCTACGCAAACTGAGGATTATTAATGTCGTCGACTTTTCATCGTTACATTTATACAACTCGACACACTACCTTGGACGTTTCGTCGATCGCCGACAGGGCAAATGGAATTTACAAGTCCTGTTTATGTTTAGTCTTGACTAAACCAACCAATTTTTGGACGAAGGCTTAAATAAACCGGATCCTGTAAGCGTGAAGTCCATAGATAATTTTCATGTACGACATAGAATGGTAAACGAAACGACGTTAGCGAAAATTCTGTAATGACATATCGGATCTTCCAACGGTTTATCATTTCTCGTGAAGACATCCTCGACATCACTAACGCCTAGGTCTCGCTTCCCTTTCCGCCCTCTGACTCGTCGACCTTTCGGCCATAGCGGTCTTCGACTTTTACAAGACTGGAAATTGGTATGATGTGTGCTGAGGGTGCACAGGCTTAAGTCATGTTGCCCATCACACAAAGCAGGCTGACTACAGTATAATGGTGGTAAATTACACAACGTTCAATTTACATAATTCTGTACAATTCTTCAGGTTATTTCAAAGATCAAAAAATCTTACCCTTAATAAACATTCGCATGAGCCAGTATGACTCAGTCATTTGTGTCTTAACAAAGCCAGGATGACAACTATTAATAGTCACGGATTTATCTTTAAGATGACGAGTTAACCAATACATTGACATTATCTAAAAATAAATTAATAAATAAATAAATTGCGATTCTCTTCATTTAATAAATTAATAAAGAGGTACTTTATTCAAAACGTTTATTTATCTCAAATATGGAGATGTTGACAATTACGGTTCGATATACCGGTTGGGAACAGATAACAAACCTGATAAAGTTTGGAGTTGCTGTAAAAACCAAAGGCACTGAATGACTTATCTGCATTTATATTGCTTTCATCAAACTTTCCCATTTCATAAGCCACGGAGGATGTTTGAACTATTCTAGCATCTTCCTCAGATTTTTGTAGAATTGGCAGAAAATGTAGGATAATAAGAAGATGAGATAAATAGTTGGACTGTAACATCATTTCATATCCATCATCTGTCATTACTGTAATATACAATATAGTTAACAATTATAAACATACAACATATACAAATTAAAATACTGTAACCACCTTCTGACATTTCTACAATATACATAATAATATAACAATTAAAATACTGTAAATATCTTCTGTCATTTTCTACAATATACCGGTACATAAATAGAATACTGTAACCACCTTCTGCCATTTTTATAACATAGACAATTAAAATATTATAACCATTATCTATCAGTTCTACAATCTACGAGTATATTATAATATAACAATTAAAATACTGTAACCAAAATATATAATATTATAACAATTAAAATATTGTAATCATCGTCTGTTATTTCTACAATATATATAATTAAAATACTTATTTCCTATTTGTCATTTCTATAATATACATATAAAGATTAAAATACTGTAACATCATTTCATGTCCTTATAAGCGTACATAAATCAAGAGATAATAATTTCTGATGTACGTTATTTTTGTATTTGACACAATTCAAGAGGTATTCCAAGAATCAAAAATAAAATAGGGTTATAAGCGCCCTACTTTTCTGCACCAACCGGACCAATAAAAAGTGGCAAGTGTTATTTTACGTACACGACCTGGGTTTTTCTTGCCAGTCTGTCGGCTCTGTACCACCGAGGGCGGTTCAGTGCTCAAATGGTTTAACGCGTCCGCTTTAGTCAAGTGGCGTGTTTTCGATTCCCGCTTTGTACGTGACAAGTAGTGGGGTCGCATGACCAACCTCGTGGGTTTCCTATGGGTCTCCCACTGCTAAAGAACCCTAAGCGCAAGCGAATTAATGGAATAAAATTGAACCATATGTTAGTCCTAAATGGCTTAGTTTGTGTCAGATGAACGTTATTTATCGATATAATAGCAGGAACAATAAAAGCAGAAACTAAGCAGTATTTAGAACCTGATTGTTGTTATTCGAGTCACATCAAGACAGCCATGTCAAATACACAGTGTGATATGAGGGATAGTTTGGGTATAATACTATAGGGGTTATTGTAGTTCTATGAAAGGTGCTTTGTTTAATATACTAAGCAGCAAAAGAAACGTCAGGTTGGTATGTTACTCTGAATAGACGCATTGCATAAAACTTGCCAAATGTTTTTATTGTATATTTGTCACCACATCCCCAACTTTACCTAAGCAATAAGGCTCCTTCCCAAACACAGAATTGAACTAAGGAAATGTTCTCAAAAACGCAACCTGACTTTTGAGATGGTAATGTGTTCTCCATGATTGACCATAGTGTCACATTACCGCTTTCCGGTGCCGTGACGAAGGATAGTCACATTTTGTCAGCGTAGTGTCACACGAGAAGGGCTGCACCGCTATGGCCTACGCTTAATTCAAATACCCAAAACCTACCTTTTTCTTGCATAAAAATTCCAGCATTACATATTAAACCATGTAATGAACAGTTTCTGGCTTTAAATTCTTCTACGAATTTCATAGTTTTATCAAACGATGCTAAATCTAGTTCCATAATATCTAAATTTAATTTTCTTGGTTCTTGTTTAGTGTCCAATAAATCTTTATGTTTTTCTCTGAATTCTTTTTCATATTCTTCCTTCATTTTTTTTACAGCCTAAAAAGATGGAATCGATAATATTTGTCATCGATGTTGGAATTATTGCCGCCAGAAAGTACAAAAACAACAAAATTTATCTTACCGTTTCCGCTTTACTCATATTTCTACAGGCAATAATAACGTGGCCCCCCATCTGGGCAATTTCTGTTGCAGCGCAATAACCAATACCTGCAATATAAAACGTTACTCGGGAAAGAATATAGCTGATATGACCCAAGTTAATATAAAGTATAAAATAGTAACTATAGTAACTGCAATCAAAACATATAAATATAAAATTTCTAGCTTGCTTAGAAACACAATTCAGCTACATAGTCCTCGTAGCTTCTAACAGCTAGAGCACAAATCCGAGCGTTCCAAGAAAAATGTTTGCAATTACTCGATTGTCAAGTAAATATATACTAATAATTCTGAAGTTGGCATAAAATTAAATATTGGCGAAAAAACCCGATGCCTCAACCCTTGGTCGAGAAAGTTCATCGGGATTTTCCGGCATGGTTTCGCCTTGTCAGTGGTGCTGGACGGATGGCCTGACAAGGACGAAAAACTGAGGTCTTGTGAACACATTGACGTGCACGTTAAAGGTCCCTTTACAGTTGGAATTCGATATAAAAGTAGGTCGTAGCGCCGATGTTCGGGCAAAATTTTCCCCATAGCACACTATTATGGCTTAAGAACGTCTTCATTAACCCACTCGGAGCAGAAAAGTAAGACTTTATACTCCATTTCATTTCATTTATTTTAGTGAGAAAATATTTATAGATGCTTTATTTCCGTTTAAATATTTGTTAGAACTTAAGCCTCAAATCCTATCTGAAAAAAGGGATCTACAGAAATAATTTTTGGGGAGAACTTATATAGGCCCTTGTCAAATCCTATTCAGTTTATCGAATTTATTGTTTAAACTAAATACTGTTATCAATAATTATTGATATTTTCTATAAAGGGAGATAACTCCTTTTACCGCTAATGGATTTCCGAAATTCCGTATTTTCACCGGTCCTTTAAGTTTTCGGCATTTTTGTTTAAATCAAAATTAAACCAATACCCTATCCTTTGTGATGAAGCCACAGGGTGTTTTCGCCAATATTTAATTCTGTGCCAGCTTGAGGATTGTTAGTATAAATATAGCATTTAGGCCTACTTGACAATTATGACGTTTTTCGTCAGGCCCTAAATCGAGTTATTGCGAACATTTTCCTTGAAACTCTCGTATTTGTGTTCCTGCTGTTATAAGCTTTCCAAAAATGTATAGTTTTATAGCTACGAGGACCACGTAGCGGAATTTCACGCTAGAAATTCTGACTGCAGGCAGGCATAGTAGAACTAGACACTAAAACACTGCTTGAGTGATAGATAATTCAGTGTATATTTGCCCCCCCCCTCCATTCACCCTCAACATATATAAAAATATTGTGCTATAAATATTAGCACTTCCGTAAAGCTGCACTACTTTGTTTCACGATAATTGATAAAAAGATAAAAGGTATGTATAATATTTCTAGAAAACTCGATATCACCTACGTCTAGAACTTCCAGGACCATTGATGTGTAATTTTACAACCATAAAAAATTGAATTGCATATTTAGTACATACCTGTATTTCCACCTGTGACTATGTAGGTTCTGTCGGGTGAAATTTCAACTTGTGGGAATGACAAATCGGCCCCCATTCTTAAAGAAATTGTTTGTCCTGTATGTATAGCAACCTGTAAATTATGAAAATGCGGAATAGAAGAATCATGATCGAAAAAAACACAAAACAGTATTTGGCAAACATTAGGAGTAAACAAAAACGAGGTTATAATTGGTGACAATTAACCATGGCTGTCTGATTCATCGTAAATTTTAAACGGATTTCTTCGATTATGAACAAACTACTAACTTTGGTTATTATAAACTTACCTGTGTGTTTGTAATGAACTCCCGTTCGATAAAATCCATTGCACAACTAATTATCACAACGATGAGAACAATTTCTCTCTTGAAAAATTTGAAAATTTACTTGTAATTTCGACAGAGTCGATGTCAACAATGTCTTCGTGACGTATTGGTCGAATCCAATATACCTGTTGCGGGGGTTGGTTAACATTGAAAGATAGTTTGACAGCGCGATCATTTTAATCGTATATGGGTTTGGGCGACGAAAAATATCAATTGAAGGCAATTACATAGGAGATTTATATGGAAACCATTGATCGCCAGTCTATCAAATTTTCTTCACAATTAAAATATCACTGATTGCACGGATACTCGTAAAAATAAAGTCATAAATAAACTATAAATATCCTATCTTCTTTATGTTATAAATAATTTAACAAGGATCATGAAGCTTACCTCCGAATTCTCTGAGTGTATTTTTAATTTTATACGCATTCTTTCGATCGAATAATAACCGCTTCAGTAACATCTTTAAGCGTGTTGCGGCAGCCCTCAGCGTGTCTATTGCCGTATTGGGTGCCCGGGTGGGTATATAATGCTACTAAGCCCGTATGACCCCGTAAGAAGCGGAACATTAATTCTCGATTCGACAGTTTTGACCGAAGTGTGATAAAGCCCGTAAAACGAATGTATAGTTGTGTTTGTGCGGCATGCGTGTTCAAAAGTAAATAATCCCATCCGAGTCGCTAATCAAATAATTAGAACAAAATATTTCAAAAAGTAAAGCTATAAAATTTGCAGAGATTTTACTAGAATGTAAAAGACGGTAACTAAATACAGGAATGCGGGTAGTTATGTGTGCGAACGCTCAAACTCAATGCCAATTGTCGTAGGTATCCAGACCACTCGGACCAAAGACTACTCGGACTAAGACCAGTCGGACCAAAACAAGACCAGTCGGACCAATTAAATTATATTATAAGGCTAGACAATATGCTATTTATTTATTATTAAATCACAATACAAAGAAGCAAATAATTCTTATACGGAATTCTTATATTTAGAGTTGTTTGGTTCAATTTTGTGTACGTAAATAAATCAACGATTAGTTTTAAAATTAATTAATAATGGTGCCAAAAAAAAATATCAATCTAATTTTTCTTTACTCTTGCAATGAGACTCGGTATGTCCAGACTTTTGACAGTTTCTACATATACGGGTATACTGTTCTTGTCTGATAGCCTAATTTTACTTTTTCCACATTCGCGGTATCCCCAGTGGTTTCATTCCGTTCTACCCCACTAACCCCTGGGTTACTATATATGGGAGGTGGGGGGGGGGTGGGGTGGAGACACGTTTTCAAGTTATCCGCCCTTGATGCGTTAATATAAACAGCACATAATAATACGAAGACCGGACGTTTATATGCCCCTTTTTAAACGTGACTACAAGTGTGGTTCTCGATATTTTGCGATTTGGAATACAATTATCAATTTATTCAAACAACACGTTATTATTAGTTCGAGTAGTCATATTAAAACACACACAATTATCAATTTATTCAAATAACACTTTATTATTGGTTCGAGTAGTCATATTAAAATAAACACAATTATCAATTTATTAAAATAACACTTTATTATTGGTTCGAGTAATTATATTAAAACAAACGCAATTATCAATTTATTAAAACAACATTTTATTATTGGTCCGAGTCGTCTTTCTGTTGGGTCCGAATAGTCTTTTTGTATGGTCCGAGTAGTCTATTTGTTTGGGCTGAGTGGTCTATCACTTGGTCCGACTGGTCTTGAACCGAGTGATCTTTGGTCCGAGTGGTCATGGATTCTTGTCGTAATTGTACTTGAATTTCCTATGCTGTCACCCCTAATACGAAATGATATCTTCCGCAGAGTGACGTAACCATCTTCCATATTGGTATTTTTCTCTGGGAAAAGTTTGTGATATTTCAATTTTTCAAGAGAGAATTTGTTTTCATCGTTGTGATAATTAGTTGTGCAATGGATTTTATCGAACGGGAGTTCATTACAAACACACAGGTAAGTTTATAATAACCAACGTTTAGTAGTTTGTTCATAATCGAAGAAATCCGTTTAAAATTTACGATGAATCAGACAGTAGGATCACAAGACCCTTTCCAAATTTTCGAGGGTGCCTGTATTGCCTGCTTATACAACATAACTGTCACATATTTATGTAATAAAATGTGCACATCACATATAATCTTGTAAGAATAACAGTTCGAATATAAACAGTTGCGCCAAATTGTCAAATACAAACCTTACACTTCCCTCTATAACCTTAGAAATGATACAAGAAGATTATGGCGTAGTACAGTAAAAGCAAAAGGCATAGTGTTCGAGCATAAAAACTAGGTCAAAATTCGTAGGTCGCGTTTAATACGGAACCCATTTTAAACTTCAAACATTACCCGATGGCCGATACGCCTACCCACGTTCAGTAGCATAGCCCATGAAAAGTAAACAAGAACAGAGGAGGGGAAAGGAGAAGAAATAATTAAAATATAGAAATAAATAGCTGCTGACATCATGTCAACGATTTGTGATGTGTTACTGTCACTACTGTAGAGGTGTCAGGACTGGGAGGTGCAAAAGTTTAACTGTGTAAATAATTGAATATGAACATGGTGTTGTGGCGAGTAACGGCTGACGATTGTTTGGAATAAATAGCTGTTATCATGACGAGTTCATGTTATTAAAGGGCGTATAGCTCTATAATCTTTGGAACAATAAAATAGGCGAAAATGGGCCTAAAAGCTCATATTAGTGTAATATAAGTGTATTCAAGGTGATTTACATGCAATTTTTACCGGTAAATATTATATTGTAATTTCTAAATACGCCAACAAATTGAACAGCAGTCGTCTGCGCCTGCCTAGTACATTCTACTTTGTCATTTGTGAGTCAGCCATTTTTAATTACTTCTGCATTGTCTTGTAGGATATGTTTATCTTTGTTCATTACAAATGACACTCGAAACCATTATGTCCATCGAATACACGAGTCGTGCGCTGATTAAACAGGGCCATTGTGTCTTATGTATTGGATATTAGAATCACATATTTATAGTAAGATTTTTTAATTTTGAATATTCTGGATAATAACTCCTTTAGATTTTTTCTTCAACATATTCCTCATTTGACCTATGTCTGTCGAATTAAATGAGGCATTTGACTAAATGACTGAAGAATTCATGCATTTGGTCAAATAGTCCGGTGGCTGAAAGGGGTGGGGGGGGGAATCGCCACCTGAGCTGTGAATTTATGAGACCAAGTTTTTATAGACCAGTTTTTTGCGTAGATTCCGAATCTGGGTGGTGATCAGGCGTTTGAGGGGGCGTTTTCGAGATATATGGGGGTCCAATGTCTACAATTGGGGGGAAATGTCATTGGTTTTACATAGGCTAAGCCTGTTCCCCAATCTCATTCAGACAACTGAATAAAATATTGTTTATAAAAAAAAAAAAAAAAAAATGTTGACATAAATGATTATCATGTTATATATTAATAAAACATAAATTATTTCTAGAACTGTCCATCTCTAAAGAAATGTGTATGATGCCCCTGGACAACCGTTTTGATTTGTGGCGAAGTAGAGTGGGGTGGTTGCAGGCTTGCGTGTGAGGAGGGGGGGGGTAAATTGGCGGGAAATGAGCTCATGTCGATTTAAATGATGATTTTCTTAGAGCTTGATGAAACATCTGTAAATATGTTTATAAGATTCCCATTGTGTTGGGGTGGGCGCCGGGGTGGGTGCCCGAAGGGGGAGGGGACAACATGTGTTTTTGTGGACAGAAATCGTTTGGTTCAAAATTGACCTTACAAGTTTAAAAGTGGTTTCTCCTTAGCCTTTTCGTTCAGTACCTATTTCGTCATTCAATATATTAAATTATAAAGGTACTCTTCAAGAGATCTGGAAATGTAAATCAAAAAAAAAAAAAGTAAATCAGAGACATGTTTAGATATTATTTTATTCTTAGTCTTTATCAGAAGATTCAAAATCAGGGGTCATAATATGAGCGGGATAAATATCTTCTTGGTTGCTGACCAACAGCTCGCATATATCCTTTGCATATGCTTCAGATACCAATTCACATTATAAATCTTCATTCCAGCCATGCAGCAAAAGACCACTACGGCAAGGTGGTAATAAAGAAAGGTCTGTTATTTTTTTCACCCAGAAAATCTTTCTTCTAGTGTCATCTACTGATCTATGTCGCCTTCCGCGATATTTTCTACCTTTGCCCGTTTCATTATCGATCAGAATGTGTATATTTTGGACCACTGTTTGCGAGGAGAATGATTGAGATATCTATTTCAGCCAAGCAAGAACGCAAAATACAATTTGTTTCAGCGCCCCCATTAATTTGCAATGCGAAGAGGAGTAGGTAAGCTATTTTGGTGTCCTCATGGTTGTTTGTCAGTTCTAGGATATTCTCGACATTTTCAATACTAATCTTGATATATTTTTTCTATCCAATCAAGATTAGTATTGTAAATGAAGTGTCAAGAATATCTTGACCTACATGCTTTCAGTGGTAATGACTATCTGTCTTTCTTTTTCCAACTTTCTAACAAATTTAAAGAGCTGGGACAGACAAATGATGTTTCTGATGACGTAATTGCTGGTGTAGAAACAAATGTTTGTACCATGTACGGTGATAGGCGACAATATGGAGACATGCTGCAAAACCAATGATTGAACAAGGTGATCCTGCGATAAAAGGCTGGAATGAAGATTTACAATGTGAATGAGTATCTGAAGCATATCCAAAGGATATATGCGAGCTGTTGATTAGCCATCTAGAAGATATCTGTCCCGCTCATATTATGAACTTTGGTTTTGAATCTTCTGATGAAGACTAAGAATAAACTAATATCTAAACATGTCTCTGATTTACTTTTTACTGTGTTTTAATGTACATTTCCAGATCTCTTGAAAAGTACCATTATAATTTAATATTTGGAATACCGAAATTCGTACTGAACGAAAAAGCAAACCGGTTAAAATACAAATGTATATTTCGTTTGGGTTTTCTTATACTTTCGATGGCCTACACTACATGAAGATCTGACCAGTTGCACTGGGAGGTCGCACCAGGAGTCATACTAGCGGCTTTTGACCCTATGACGACCGAAATTGATTAATCAATCAGCGTTGACGTTTCTGGGGGTTTACCCACAGTTCCGTGCAGAGCACACCAAGAACTCGCTGTAACAGACCGCTTCATTGACTAATTTTGAACCAAATGGTTTCTGTCCCCAAAATTACACCCCCGCCCCATACAATGGGAATCTTACACCCATATATAGAGATGTGCAGCGGAATTAAAAAGTATTGTTTTTACCAAGCTCTAAGAAAATCACCATTTCCCGCCAATTTTATCCCCCCCTCCATACACGCTCACCTGCTACCACCCACCCCACCTTCCCACAAATCAAAACAGTTGTCCAAGGGCATATCATACACACTTCTTTAAAGATGGACAGTCCTAGAAATTTGTGTCTTATTAATATATAACATGATAATCATTTATGTCAACATAATGACATTGCCCCCCAATTGTAGACATTGGACGCCCTATATCTCGAAAACGCCCCCTCAAACGCCTGATCACCACTCAGATTCGGAATCTACGCAAAAAACTGGTCTAGAAAAACATGGTCTCATAAATTCACAGCTCGGGTGGCGACCCCCCTCCCCCCCTCAGCCACCAGACTAAAATGCCTGGCAGCATTGGGCCAAATGACTGTAACACATGCTGGTAGAAAAAAGAGTTACCCGCCCCCCTTCAATTCAACTGGAAGCGACGACCCTTGAAAATAAATCTAATGGTTTAAAGACTTTGTTTCCCGCCCCGAAAGGACAATCTCGTCTTTAGTGAACCAGCCGGGCTAATAAAGTCGGCCATTAGGTACACAGTCTGGTATGAACATAATTTAGCCCTGATCGCGGCGCAACGGCCCGCTCCTTTTTCGAATTCCAAATGAAAGGGCGAGGGAAATGTGTGTTTGATGCTAAGAAGGGTCCGTCAAGGCTGAAAAAAGCGTTTATCGAAACAGAGCTTTGAGTGGACGAAGACCAGAATAAATTATATTAGCAGATCTTAATATTTTCTGAAAAGCGTGTGGTGTGATAATTCAAACATCTCGCTATGCCGGGGTCCAGAAAGAGTCGAATTAAAAATATATCAACACTTCGTTACGTTTTAGTGTGGTGTGATAATCCAAACATCTCGCTATGCCTGGGTCTAGAAATATACCAACACTTCGTTACGTTTTAGTTTTCGACTGTTCACTACAAAAGAGGAAACCTCAAATTAAACGGAAAGAAAATAATATATAATTCTAATTAGAACGCGTCTACCGTTGATAAGATGTTTATATATACGTGTTGTGAAGTTACATTTTTTTTATCTTTAGGTCCGAAGTCAACGCCAGTTTAATGTTTAAAATTAGTGTCAAGATCAACTGACGATTTGTTTGAATACACGTGATTCAAGAGATATAAAATTGACCTCTTAAACAATATAGAAAGCAGAAGAATTTAAAATCGTTATTCGTTTGTATAGCTGATTGAGTAGATGTTTCACATTTTCACCTGTTATTAAATATAACTTTGTCGATCTAATAATAATAAGTATAATATAAAAGAAACATACAATGAAAAATAAGAAATACAACCCTAGATCAAGGTATGTTCTAATTATCAACAAACGGGTTAATATAATAATAAGTGGGTTGATCAAAAAACCTTTAGCAAAGTGTTTTATTTGAAAACAGTGACACAACATGATAAATCAATTAGATTTTAAATAAATACGTTAAGCATCGTCACCATTGAATACATTGACAAGCTCAATATACAAGCCAGGCGTGGATGAAAAGGTTTGTAATAGGGACCGGATATTCTGTCAGTCATACAAAATCAACCATCGGCCTAATTTCAACTAGGTCTAGTAAAGACAGAGTGCTTACAGCAGTATGGTTATACTAGAAATTAAAAACGAAAAGAAGAATGAACAATATCGGGTGGACCAGAAGAAACGACTAAGGAAACGAAGTATTAAAAAACATCGGGTGGTCCAGAAGAACCGACTACAATATTTCACGTAGAATAATTCAAAAATGCGCTTACGTGCAAGACTAAACATATATTGAACATTTGTTTATGTAAATTAATGTGAGTAAGATGTGACTTAGACACTTTGCCATTCTTTTTTGGGGGGGTGGGGTGGATGGCTGAATGGTTAGCACGTGTGCGCTGTATCATAAGGTCTGTCATTGAATCAACTGGCGTGGTTGTACCTGACAAGAAGTAGAGTCGCCTGTCCAACCTCGTAGGTTTTCTCCGGG